GAATCGGCACATCGCTTATTTTCACTCCGGCAATGACTTCGGTTTGTGTGATCACTCTTGGAACTTATCGCGCATTTTCTGACAAGCTTCACAGCCTATGACTTACTTCAGAAGGCGCCGCGCTTTGGCAGGAGGATTGACCGTTGCAGGCTCGAGTCTGGGTGGTGTAATCTTTCCCCTCATGGTCAACAGCCTCCTTTCAGAGGTCGGCTTTGCATGGACGATGCGAATCTGCGCTTTCTTGATCCTTGGGCTCTGGGCTATTGCCATGCTCACCATCTCCTCCAACTTGCCTCACACTCGCAAGGAGTTCAACCTTACGAACTACCTTCGGCCTTTCACGGAATTCAACTTCTTGATCTTGTTGACGTTCTGCTTTTTCCTTTACTGTGAGCCGCCTATCATTATGTTTCATCGCAACACAGCTAACCAGGGTTTAGGGGGATTGTTTGTCCCTTTCGACTACCTTGTCCTGTCTGCTATGCATAACGGAATGTCAATGACTATGGCCTACAATCTGATTCCCATCATGAACGGAGCGAGCTTTTTTGGACGTACGATTCCCAATGGCCTTGCCGACAAGTACGGCCGTTTCAATGTGCTTATCATCATGCTCCTTTTCACTGGTGTCATCACTCTGGCCTTGTGGTTGCCTGGTCGCAGTAACGCGGCCAACATTGTCTTCGCCGCTTTATTTGGTATCGGATCTGGCACCACCATTGGCTTGACACCGCCCCTTGTGATGACTCTCTACCCACCTCAGGAGATCGGGTTTCGAATCGGGTTGGCTCTTGCTATCGCAGGCATTGGTACCCTTACGAGCCCTCCAATTGCTGGTGCAATTGCAGAGACAGATGGAGGCTCTTTCCTCTTTGCGGCCTTGTTCAGTGGCGTGAACTTCATGGTCGCGACAATCTTTTTGGTGTGGCTGAGGGGTAGAGTTTCTGGTTGGAATCCCCTCACAAAAGCTTGATGCCTAGGCAAGGGCACTGAGCGCAGCAGCCTGCTGCAATTACAACATCTGGTGAAGAAGAGGAGACTGGCGTGGAGGCAGAGAAACATACATCGGCACACGCGTGACATGAACACGATCTTGCGGATTCTCTCAAGTTATTAATAAGAATAAGATAGTGAATAGTTACCTAACTATGATTAACTAGTTAGTTAGTTAAAGCGGTCGAAATTATATAATCATATTCCGCACCGAGGGGAGTGGAATGAGAAACTCTGGGAGTTGAAAACCTCCTTTGTCTGTCAACATTTTCTATCGACTCGGCCGACCGGATGTCCCGCTCGCTTTGGAATTACATTACGTTAGCTGCTGACAACGCTTCCATAGACTTATAGGCACTTATCTGTATCCTTGTTTTTAGCGGTAGGACTAGTCGTCTCGACATGCTTGCTTTACTGCATGGGTCCACAAGGGTAGCGGTTGCTATATTCGGCTGCGAATTATGTATTTATACGTAGTTTCCTGGAAAACTCAGCAGTATCAGTGATATCACTTAGACCTTTCATTTATGGTGCGTCGTTTGCCGTACGTTGATTGGCCAGGTCCCTGTATGTTACGTAGCTGATGTGCTTGTGTGGATGTCAATGAGCCTAGGAACATTGGGCCCCCAAAACGAACGGGGCTTGGCTGACCAATGCTTTTTCATGGTGGTAAGAGAGTGCATTAGTGTCCTTATGTGTCTAGGATTACAGGAGTTGAGTGAATTGTACCTCCCACTGACCCTATAAGACCTGAGCTTCCAACTGATGGCTGGCGGGCTCCAGGAAGGCTCGTGTGTAACAGGGATAGCCCCTGCTGATGCCTTAATGTAGTCGGATTTTAGTGTCTCATCCGCCTGTCAAAAAATTGAATCAGTTAAATTATACTCTAGCTAAATCTGATTGGTTTTACCATTAGTTAGAGAAATTAAAGTCGCAAGGTTTAAATGTGTTCTATCTGGTTACTTCATATCTTAGGTGTGGTAGGTATTACTCCGTGATTGGAGACCTAGGCAACTAACTGGATGATCGTCCATTCATGTCAAAAGTCAGAACTCAAGATTAGCGCCGTAACTCTTAACATTTAAAGGCCTACGGGGAGACCCGTATCAGTCCCACCAACATCCATCGAGCTCTGGGACAGGCCCATCCTCTAAGCCGATTGGACAGAACATTAATACAGAGGATACTAAATAAGCCACTATTATTATGGTGACCAATCAACCTAGGGGATTAGCTTACTGCCGCTAGAACGGGCGCCGTCGGATCCCGCTTTTGCTGACAAGAGGCTCGCGCCGCGGATCCATTTTCTGCGTTTCCATACGCTATTCGTTGCAATGAGGAAGCACATGCATGGTCCCATTACCAAAACCATGTTGTATTTCGTGAGCTGCTGATGGTTCCCCGCTGTGAGGCTAAAGACCTTGGTGTAACGATGTCGAAGGATGCGTTATGAAACATATATCTCTTGGCTGTTGCACAAGCCGTGAGGCACAATGTCCACATCACGACAATTTCGCCTCAGTGATGGCTATTGCAAACGAAACCTCAGCCACGTCCAGCCGTCGCCGACGACCAACCTTGGCGTGTGAGCCTTGTCGACGAAAAAAGATTAGGTTGCTCATCCCAGATTTCCAAGCATACCAGGCGATCGAAGTGTCAATGCTGACTAAAAGATAGGTGCAACCGCGAAGTCCCCTGCAACCAATGCGTCCGCTCCAAGTCCGAGTACTGCGTCTACATACAGATCGACGACGACGAATGCTCTGTGCAACGTCATTTGAAGCGCAAACGGACCAATTCTGAACATGTCCACCAATTCTCAAGGCGAGAGAAGAAGGACTCGCATACCTACTGTGAAGATGTGCCGTCATCCGAAGGCGTGAGCCTCGTCTTTCGAACCGGCTTTGAGCCCCCAAGACCCGACTCAGTAGTATCAACACCTACCGAGATCACGCATAAGGGTATTTGCTCAAATGGCAGCTCATCAAGTGAGGACAGCTCAGGAGTTCTTCCGATCCGCGGCATATTTTTGGATTCTCGCTTCTTTGGACCAAGCCACTGGATAAACAGCGCTGTTCACGTAAGCGAAAGCCGTGCCCAAGAGTCAACGCACACATTACTGACTTGGAACAGTTTCGTAAAGTTCATACATTACAACGTGCTGTCGAGAAAGAGCCCGGAGGAAATCTGTACAGGCAGTGCAGGGAACTGGCGGAAACAAGACGATCACAAAATTCGATCCCGCAACTGCTGGTCAACAATCTGAAAGATCTGATTCCTCCTCAAGCCATCACCGATCAACTTATTCAAGCATATTTGCGGACCTTCGAGTCAGTGTTACGCGTGTTACACGTTCCATTGTTTCTTCACGAATGCCAAGGTTTCTGGGAGAGACCACTGGCCTCCTCGGAGGACTTCCAGCTTCAATTACTCCTAGTGATATCGATTGGGGCGTTATTCTCGCCGAAGCTGAGAGACAGCTGTAACGAGTCGGTCTGGATCCATGCTGCAGAGTCCAGATTGTTGTCCAATGGTGGGGACCGCTGGACCGGACTCACTGGTGTGCAGAACTTTTGCCTTCTCATGGTTGCCCGGCTTGTCAGTCCTTACCACTCGGGTGCTGATTTGGTCGGCTTGTCGGTGGAAAGTCTGATGCGGGCAGCGATGCGGATCGGCCTACATATAAGTCCGAAGATGTTGCCACAGATGAGTTTCTACGAGCAGGAGCTTCGTAGACGGCTATGGTCCACTGTGCTTGAGATCTCGCTGCAGTTCAGCATCGAGGTCGGGGCAGTGCCATTGATTCCGATGGATGGCGTCGACTTTGAGCTTCCTCTGAATGTACCGGACGAAAGTTTCGATCAAAATACGGAGACAGAGCCGACGTCAAAGCCGCTAGATGACCTAAGTCACACATCCATTCAGATATTTCTCATGGAGTCCTTCCCGGTGCGCCTCGAGATTGCAAGGATGGTGAATTGCCCTCGGCGTGAGATCCCTTACCAACGACTTCTACAGCTGAGCTCGCGATTAAGCGCTCACTGTAGATCAACGCAGGCACGGCTCAATGTTGGCAACAACAAGGCACAATCACAGAAATTCCCGGTGCGGCTTTTAAACCTGTTTATGTATCGCTACCTGCTAGCGTTACACGTTCCATTTGCACTCAAGGCTAGTACGGATCCAACGCTATACTTCTCGCGGAAGGTCAGCTTGGAAGTGGCGCTTTCCTTACTGGATCATCCAACGGGTCCGGACGAAGATGATTATGTACGTGTCATGATTATCGGCTCGGGCGTCATGTCTAGCTCCTTGAATTTGGCCATTCTCGTTGTCTCCGCAGAGCTTTTGGATATGCTAGAAAACGACATGTCGGCTCTCACACCCATATCCAGTGGTATGAATCGACAACCACTTCGCAAGATCTTGGATGAAAACATAGAATTGATCTCACGACGCATATCGCAAGGCCAGCCCGACATTCAGGTGTCGATGCTGTTTGCCGGGCTGACAGCACAAATCGACGCAGCTCAAGCAGGACAACCCACAGACGATGCCATTATTGACGCCTTCCACAGGTGTTTGTCGGAGAACTTCAATATCTTGAAAACGCGCATGCTTGATCATCAGGTACTCGATCCGATCCTGGAGTCGACCACTGAGTGCTTTGACCTGCTAAATGCTGCGTGGGATTCAGGCCCCTCCCAGAATGGGTGCTGCCTGATGGGACATGATGGGAATGTTCATTAGCTGACGCTGGTGACGACTATGGCCATATGTTGAGCTTGCCGACTGCAGGGCAGGATCCGTCACCAATCCTAGATACATGAGCGCATGCAAGAGAGTTTATAAACATGATACGTCTTTCCCATTATTTTGTTGCGCTCATTTCGGGCCAAATCCGGCTGTGACGGCACCTCGCATTTCCCTCACATGACTCGTCAGGTAGATGAAAGTCTCTTGTTGGCTCGACTCGAGCACCCAATTTTACTGTATGTATGTAGATGCTATTCTTTCCCAATGGCATAAACCCACTTTCGTCCCCGAATTTCACCCCTGCCCATTGCTTCCAGCCCGCGGACAATGGCGTCAAGTCCCCCGGTCTGTTCGATGTAGGGACCGGGCACGAGTGTGCCAGCCTCCAATAATTCTTGCATTTCTTCGTACCAGCCTGTGGCAAACCTGTAGTCCTGCGGTCTTTCATCGCGGTAGTAAGGTCGCTTCCAGGGGATCGTTTGATCGAATTGGGTGAACATGAAAACCCATCCTGGCTGCACGCTACGTCGTCGATGCACGCGAAGAGGGAACGGATTCAATGCTACGTATCTGCCACCATCCGAACCGATCGCATTGTAGCAAATGGTCATGGAACCCGAGTCAACGTGGCAATCCAGAGCACACCCTAACTCATTGGCTGTGTATTCGCGAATGTCGCTGCCGCACGTGGGAGACTGATAGTCGAACGTCGCCACGGCCCCCAAACGACGCAGCCGGTCGAAACTGCCCGGCGAGCTGGTCACGATGGGCTGCAAACCAGATCTGAGATGACGATCGATGTCAGTATCATAGGTTACCTGTAGGTTTCATACCGGGTGAGTAGCTAAAAGTTGTTGGTGTTGCGTGGGGCTCTGCTGGGCGGGGCATCTGCTTACAGCGTGAGGATTTGAGTGGCCAACGCGCCTGTCGCTGTCCCCGCTCCTGACACGAGCACTGGGAATCCTTTCTTTGCTGGTGCTGAAGGCGTGCACTTCAGCCTCATCCCCTGATACAGCGCCAGTCCGACCGTCGCAAGACCAACACCGAGCGTGGCCGCACTCTGGTATGGCATGCTGGGTGGAACCACCAGCACCAGCCGCGCGGGGACCGCGACGTACTCTGCAAACGCTCCGTTATCAGGCCTCATTGGATTGTTACCGAAGACGCATCCACAGACCCGTGCTCCCAATGTGACGGTCGATACGGCCTTGCCCATCTGCACGACCTCTCCGGCGAAATCACAGCCCACCGTCGCTCCATGTGTAGGTGACATTTCGACCGATTTGCTGTCGACCGGGTTGAGGGCCACGCAGACCACACGGACTAGCACTTCTTCGTCGCCAACTTGAGGCAGGTCACCTTCGCTTGTCGTGGCCACACCATCTACACTGACCTTGATGGCCCGTTGCGACTTGGGCAGGCCAATGGGTGGCATGTGGATTGCCATTGTCTTTGCTCGTCCCCTTGGATATTACCAGGAAACTCGAGAGAAAATGAGTCGATAAGGTAGGAGGTAAGATTCAGGTAAGTTGAATAGGCTGTGCTGGTCCGACAGAGCCCTTAGACAACACCACGCTTTTACATACTGCCTTTTGAATGTGCCTTGTCGATCGGACAAGTGAATGCGGCCTGTGATTGATGGGATTGTGGCAAAAGGTGTCGGACCTGAAGGTACCGGTCAACATATCTCCGGCACCGGATATCCCGACTCAAACCACATTCATGATCGGACGTAAATGTTCAGCTCCGAAAACCAGGCCTGGAAGTAAAGAAACCTCTTCACAATGGTTCCTTGGAATCAATGAATTGAATATAAGTTGTCCTGGTTGGTTCACATTTCCTCTGGCCTTCAATATTCCTTCAGCTTTCGTTTTTTCCATACCACCTCTGTTTTCTGTGCCCGGAACCTAGTGTAAGATCTCGTAGTTGCGAATTTCCCAAAACAATCGACAAAGGGAAGAATAGCCCGCCATGAACTCATCACAAACTGATCCCATAGCCATTGTTGGCATGGCCTGCCGCTTCCCTGGAGGCAGCAATACCCCGTCGAAGCTGTGGAACTTGTTAAAGACGCCTTACGATGTTCTCCAAGAGTTTCCCCCTTCACGATTGAACCTCAATCGATTTTATCATGCACAGGGGACAACCCATGGATCCACAGATGTCACCAATCGAAGTTACCTCCTCGATGAGGACGTCAAAGCCTTCGATGCCAAATTCTTCAGCATATCCCCTCCAGAAGCAGAGAGCATGGATCCACAGCAACGAATACTGCTAGAAACTGTGTATGAGGCTATGGAGTCCGCAGGCTGGACATTGGAAGATGTTCATGGCTCACAAACTTCCGTTCATGTTGGTGCCATGAACGCTGATTATACCGACATACAAAATCGAGACACAGAGACCATGTCGAAATATAACGCAACTGGAACGGCGCGAAGCATCTTATCAAATCGTGTCTCGTACGTCTTCGACCTCCACGGCCCCTCGGTCACAATCGATACTGCTTGCTCCAGCTCGTTGGTCGCTCTCCACCAGGCAATGCACTCCTTGCGCTCGGGCGACTGCAATAGCGCCATCGTTGGCGGCGTGAACCTGATACTCGATCCAGCGATGTTCATCACTGAATCGAAGCTTTCGATGCTTTCTGCCGAGTCCCGCTCCCGAATGTGGGACCAGGCCGCCAATGGATATGCTCGTGGTGAGGGCATAGCTGCCATGATCCTCAAGCCGCTCAGTCAAGCGCTACAGCATGGAGATCCGATCCAAGCAATCGTACGAGCAACTGGTGTCAACTCCGACGGTCACAGTTCCGGTATCACCATGCCTACTGCGGCGGCACAGACGGCCCTCATCCGCCAAACCTACAAACAAGCTGGTCTTGATCCACTCATCGATCGCCCTCAATTCTTCGAATGCCATGGGACGGGCACGCAGGCGGGCGACCCTATTGAAGCACGAGCAATTCGTGACGCCTTTTTCCCCACTGAGACCTCTGATGAGGTCGCTCCCCTCTTTGTGGGCTCAGTCAAAACTGTCATCGGCCATACCGAGGGCTGTGCGGGTTTGGCTGGAGTCTTGAAGGCAGTTCTCGCAATAAGGAATCAGACGCTCCCGCCGAATCTGCTGTTCAATCAACTGAGTGATTCGGTCAGGCCCTTTTACGGCCCCCTGCAGATACCCACCACATCATTGCCGTGGCCTGATACCATTTCTGGAAGTCCGAAACGTGCAAGTGTCAACAGCTTCGGTTTCGGCGGTACCAATGCACATGCTCTGATCGAGGAGTATAAACCTCAGGTCGCGCAGAGCGGTTACCATGCAGACCAAGCTCTTGGTCCGCTCGTGATCTCGGCCCATTCGGGCCCCACTCTACTGAATAAGGTACGCGATTTGCTATCTTACATGATCTCCAATCCTTCGGCGAATCTGCCCGATATCTGCTGGACGCTGCAGACCAGACGTACGACGCACAAAGTCCGGTGCTATTTCAGCAATCGCAGTTATCAATCTCTGTTGGACAGCTTGGCTGCATTCGTTCAGACAAATCAAAGCCTCCAGCCAGAGCAAATTGGGTTCCAGCCGCAACTGATGGATCGTAATGAGTCACCTGGTGTCCTCGGCGTGTTCACTGGTCAAGGAGCCCAATGGCCAACTATGGGCATGGAACTCTTCTCTCGCGTGGCACTTTTCCGTCAATCCATACAGCAGTGCGAAGTCGTTCTCAACGCGCTTCCGGATCGCCCCTCCTGGTCTCTATGTGAAGAACTCGAAGCAGGCAACGCTTCTTCCCGCCTTTCAGAGGCGGCTGTAAGCCAGCCCCTATGTACTGCGGTACAGATTGCTTTGGTGGATGTGCTGAAAGCAGCCGGCTTGAAATTCCACGCCGTCGTCGGCCATTCATCTGGAGAGATAGCTGCAGTCTATGCTGCTGGCATGTTGAGCCTCACCGGCGCTATGCAGATTGCTTACTATCGAGGTCTCCATGCTCATTTGGCCAAAGGCGATGACGGCCAGCCCGGAGGAATGCTTGCTACCGGCCTCTCTTACGACGAAGGCTTGCAGTTCTGCAATCGACGTGATTTTCGAGGAAGAATTTCTGTCGCTGCAAGCAACTCTCCCACTAGTGTCACTATCTCGGGTGACTTGGACGCAATCTCAATTGCGAAGAAGGAACTCGAAGCTCGAGACGTGTTTGCTCGCCCGTTACGTGTTGACACTGCCTATCACTCGCATCACATGAAGAAATGCGGTGACACTTATCTTCAGTCGTTGCTTGCTTGCGACATCGCCGTCGGTGCTCCGATTGAGGATTGTGTCTGGAGCTCAAGTGTACGTGGTGATACCGAGATCCTGGAAGGCGATCTGTCCCCGTTGAAGGGAGACTACTGGGTCAAGAACATGGAGCAAACGGTTCTGTTTTCTCAGGCTCTTGAATCGGCTATCACCAATGGAGGACCGTTCGATATGGTTGTTGAGGTTGGCCCTCATCCTGCGCTCAAGAGTCCTAGCGAGGATACCTTGAAGGCAGTCTTCAGTTCTGCTCCCCACTACACTGGTGTTTTGAAACGTGGGCAAGATGATTTGGTTGCAATCTCATCTGCTCTTGGTCTCTATTGGTCTACTATGGGGTCGAAATCAGTAGATTTTGCCGGCTTTCGTCGTGCATGCCTTGGCGGTTCTGAAATCGGACAGCCTGAAGTGATAACGAACCTCCCTTGTTATCCTTGGGATCATACTCAGACATTCTGGAGAGAATCTCGTCTATCACAGAGATATCGACTTGGTCAGGACAGCCCTTGCGGGCTCCTTGGTCGCCGTATGCTGGACGATGATGCACACGAGCTGCGATGGAGAAACATCTTGACTCTCGACGAAAATACATGGCTCGCTGGTCACGAGATCCTTGGCGAAGTGCTCATGCCTGGTGCAGGCTACGTTTCGATCGCACTTGAAGCCGGTAGGCAGCTTGCAGCAGGGCGCCCGATCTCTCTGCTCGAGGCACGAGATGTCGAGGTCCGCCACCCAGTCGCTGTGCCTAAGCATCCCGACTCGGTCGAAACTATGTACATCGCTCGTGTGCAACCTTCGCAGGACCGTAACATCATCGAGGCTGAATTCGATTTCTGTTATTGGCCCAGCTCTGGCACAGCAGCAGTGCGGGCTTGCAGTGGCCGTATTGTGGTTTACCTTGGCGATGGCAAGGAGGAATCTTTGCCACCTCGACGTGCCTCGCCAACAAATCTCTTGAATGTATCGGTAGCCGATGCTTATGACGTATTCAAGTCGATCGGCCTCAATTATCAGGACATTTTCAGAGGCATGAGTAGTATCCATCGCGCGTCTAATCATGCCGTTACCCAGGCCGTCTGGGATACGTCCAACCTCGATCGAGTGTACCTCGTCCATCCTGCCATTTTGGACGTTGTGTTCCAATCAATTTTCCTGGCCAAGTCGTATCCGGCCAAATCGCTGATGCATTCAGCTTTCCTACCGGTCAGAATCGCGCGGGTCACTGTTAATCCATGTGTACCGGTCACGAACACGACTGGATCGATAGAGATCGGCACGGAGTCGTTTGTCACACACAGCGATTATCGCTCCATTGAGGGAGACATGCACGTGTACAATCGCGCAAACAAACCATTCTTGGAGGTAGAAGGCCTCTCTCTGAAGATTGCCAGCGAACTCCAGGAGTCCGAAGATGTCCAAATCTTCTGTCAAACGACCTGGGGACCGGACATATCGCTCGATCTGTCAGAGCCGGAAAGAAACGACGATCACGACAGTGAACAGAGTGCAATTGCCACCACAATTGACCGCATATGCCTCTTCTATCTGAGGAACTGTCTAGACCAACTCAATGCTGTAACTCGCGAACACTGTCAATTGCATCATCAACGCATGATCAAATCTTTCGAGCGTATTCTAGACCTTGTACGAGGGGGACAGCATGCTTTGATTGACAAGGAATGGCTCGAAGATGATTTTGAGGTCGTCCAGTCGCTACTTCAAAAATATCCTGATCAAATTGACTTGGAGTTGGTGGTTGCAATTGGAAATACCTTGCCTAAGGTCGTGAAAGGTGAGACACAACTCTTGGAGGTCATGCTTGAGAACAACATGCTTGGCCGGTACTATGTCGAAGGGTGTGGCTTCGTCACGATCAATCGAGAGATTGAGCGTTTGTTGCAGAAAATCACGTTTAAGTTCCCTCGTGCGAAGATACTCGAAGTCGGAGCGGGTACAGGAGGCACCACACAAGGCATCTTGGAAGCAATCGGCAGCGCCTACGACTCGTACACATTTACCGACATCTCTACCGGATTTTTTGAAAAAGCGAATGAGCGGCTAAAAGCGTCTGACAAGCCTATAATATTCAAAGCGCTCGATATCGAGAAGCCCGTTGTGGACCAGGGCTTCACAGAAGCTGGATACGATGTGATCATCGCCGTCAACGTGCTTCACGCCACCCGCGATCTGAAAAACACTCTTAATCACGTACGATCGCTGCTCAAGCCTGGCGGTTACCTCATTCTTGGTGAGATCACCAACACCGATGTTTTACGGCATCCTTTCATTATGGGTGGCCTTCCGGGTTGGTGGCTTGGTGATGACGAAGGACGACGCTTCCATCCGTGTGTCTCAGCATTGGAGTGGGATCAATTGCTCCTGGACACTGGATTTTCAGGCTTAGACTTGACGTTCGACGATCTGGAAGACAGTGGGAGACATTGCAATTCATTACTTGTCAGCCGCGCGTTGGATCACACCTTCGAGCAGATTCGGGAACCTCTGACTGCTCTCAAACAGCTAGATGCGGACAGTCGGTTGCTGTTGATCGGTGGCGCGACTTTGCCAATCGCCAAAGCCCGGACGGAGATACAGAAGCTCTTGCCTCCAAGTTGGAGAGCTCGGACACGAGTTGTGAGTTCGATTGACGCAATTGAGGGCTGTCACCTGACACCTGGCATGGGCGTGATTTGTTTGCAAGAGTTAGACAGCCCGTTGTTCTCCAAGACAATGGACGAACATCGCTGGAAGAATTTGCAATTTGTTATGGCGAACGCCAGTCGAGTACTTTGGGTTGTAAAGAACCATCGCTCTGCTAGCCCCGAGTCTGCAATGTTCATGGGCATTGCTCGTACCCTTTCTCAAGAGCTGCCTCATCTCACGTTGCAAGTATTGGATCTGGAATCAAAAGAGAGCCCCGCCACGACAGCACGAACAGTTCTAGAATCATTCGTACGCCTTACTCTGACATCAAACCCGCCAGCACACAACGATAACGCATTTCTATGGATCAATGAGCCGGAGATTGTGTCTGTGGATGGACAACTCCTGGTCCCTCGCATCTTGCCCATAAAATCTTTGGACGATCGTTACAATGCGTCCAGGAGAGAGCTCAAAAGACCCGCAATGTTGGCTGACCAAGTTGTTGAAATCAAACCGTCCACAAGCGGTCTGGCTTTGGTTGAGGTGCAAGAACCCGGATTTTATTCCGAGAATGACCTTGTCAAAGTGCGAGTCAAGTACTCGATGCGTATCAACGAATCCGCTGCACCCAACTACTACTTGTCCGCGGGAACTATCGAGTCCTCTGGTGAGTCCGTCATGTGCCTGTCCTTGCTGAATCGTTCACACCTCCAGGTCTCAAGAAGTCAACTTCACTTCGTTGATGACGATCAGACAATTACGACCAAGGCAATCCTGGTGCTGGTAAAAAAGTTCTTGATAGCGCTTGCACTGGCAAGCGTCGTCCAAAGTCATCAGACCGCGATGGTTCACAATGCAGACGATCTTCTGGCTCGAGCAATTTCACAAACGATCGAAGGTCGTTTGCATTTCTCAGCGTCGAATGCTGTCGTGCGTCAAGACTGGATCGTCATCCACCCACGATCGTCCGCTCGTATAGTAAGACGCGATCTACCTCTTGACATCGCCGTGCTCCTGGACTGTTCCGAGCAGTCTCAAAGCAATGAAGTTCTGGTCCAGTGCGTTCCAGCTACCTGTCGAATATCTGGTCCTGATAGCTCCTTAATCAGGAATGCCATTGATCAACTCGGTACGGCTCCATTGCTCACGAAAGCAAATGGCCTGGTTCAAGAATTCATTCGCCAGAATGACATCTCAGAACTGCAAGGCTTGAATCCCGATGTACAAGGGATCGCGAACATCAGCAAGAGCAATGTGAAAAGTCTCGGGCTGGTGGACTGGGAGGCAACAGCTCCTGTTGCACTCACCGTGCAACCTATAGAGCCACGCCACATGCTCAGGCCCGATCGGACCTACCTCATGATTGGAATGACGGGCGCTATGGGGCTATCTCTCTGCCAGTGGGCAGTACAGAACGGAGCTAGATCAATTGTTCTCACAAGCAGAAATCCTAGCGTGGACGAAGATTGGCTCATCGAGGCGCGCTCACTTGGGGCAGACGTACAGGTGTGGCCGATGAACATCGCCAGTAGAGCTGCAGTTGGGTCTGTCATCTCCCGAATCAACAGTACAATGCCTCAGCTTGCAGGGGTTTGTAACGGCGCCATGGTTCTCAATGACAAACTTTTCCTGGACATGGATGCGCAAGGAATGAATGCGGCCCTCGAGCCCAAATTTCGCGGGTCTCAAATCATTGATGAGGTCTTAGGAGACCAGGACCTGGACTTCTTCATTCTCTTGTCGTCCTGTGCGATGCTCATCGGAAATCCCGGCCAAGCTAATTACCACGCCGCCAATTTGTACATGGCCAGCCTTGCTGCCAATAGACGGACCCGCGGGTTAGCTGCCTCCATCATCCATCTTGGTTATATCGCCGATGTGGGGTATGTCACTCGACAAGATCAGAGCATGCGAGAGCGACTCGAGAAACTTCTGTTCCGCCCGCTCTGTGAGTCTGACATTCACAACGCATTTGCGGAAGCAATCAGAGCTAGCAGGCCCAACGGTCGTGATGATCCTTTCGATTTCGCAATGGGTATGGGCCCTTCTAGGGAATATGTCCCTCCGAACAAGCAACCGTACTATTTTGCAAACCCTCGGTTCGCCCACTTCAACCCTCCTGCAGTGGAGGTCCAAGACGGAGTCGGGCAGAAGACAACGGTGAAGAATGTCATACATCTGGTTCAAGAGGCGACATCCAAGGAAGAAGCATCCTTGGCGGTCCAGGTGGCGTTTTCCAACAAACTGGAGTCGATCATGCAGCTTCCGCCTGGAACCGTTGATCCCAAGTCGTCATTGATGGACGCAGGCATTGATTCACTCGTTGCAGTTGAGATACGCAACTGGTTCAAGATCGAACTCGAGGTCCAAATCCCCGTCGTCAAAATCTTGGGTGGTATCAGCATTGAAGAGCTTTGCGTTGAAGCCGCGAACAAAATGCTGGCAATCATTCTTGCCAATAAGCAGTCGACTCCGACAAATGATGAGGGACAGACCTCAGAGTCGGCGGTGGTCGTAGATGAGCACGACGATTCCATTTCAACTGGCTCTAAGAGCGGTGTCGATGACAATGAACAGGATGGCTCAATTGGAAGTAGCCGCGATAATCTAGATGTTCTCACGCCTGCCACTGGCAGCGACATTGACAATCTGAGCGTGGCAGATGAAGATCTAGCTTCACTACGAGTTGCCAAAGACGCGGGGACCTGCCACCCCCTGAGATCACTCGCGAAGGTCCCATCTCGTCAGCTCAGTCGAGAGTGTGGTTCCTTTCTGCCAACTCCGGCCACCCAACGAATTGCAACCTTACCTTCGTGTACAATGTCACGGGTCACCTGCAAATCCATCGCCTTCGACATGCGCTGAATGTGGTGATGACGGGCCATGATACATTGCACAGCTGTTTCTACATGCGGCCAGGTGACAATCAACTTGTACAAGGAGTGATGTCTGAACCTAGACATCTCTTTGTACAATTGGAGAAAGGGAACGCAACTGATGCCCTCCGAGAATTTAACAAGCTCAAGGCAAAGAAATGGAATTTGGAGAAGGGCCAGATGTTGGGGATGACTGTGATTCCGCGTGGTCAGCAGCAACACACCATCATTTTGGGATATCACCACATCATCATGGACGCTTTCAGTCTCTCCATTTTTTTCCGGGATCTACACACAGCATATCGGACTGGTACATTACAACGGAGGTCTATCGACTACATGGACTTGGTGGCCCAAGAACTAATGCTTTCGGAGGACCAATTTGAGGACCTCGACACTACAGCAAAACTTCAGTTCTGGAAGAACGAATTCACCGAACCAGTTGATATCCTCCCACTCATGCCAATGGCTCGACTTGCCAAACGTCCAGCAAGTCTAGGTCATTTTACATCCTACAAATCTACGCGCGTAGAACAGACTCAATGGTCTGCCATTGTTAAGACCTGCCGTGAATTAGGCCTGACTCCGTTTCACTTCACGCTTGCGACGTTTCAGGTTCTACTCGCGCGATACGCGAATATCGAAGACACCTGCATCGGTGTCGCAGATGCCAACCGTCTCAACGAGCGCTACACTGATATAATCGGATTTTTCACGAACATATTGCCGATCCGGTGCAAGCTCTCGAAGAGAACCAAATTCGCAGATCTCGCCCGTACTGCTTCCAAAAAAGTGCTGACAGGACTCGTCAATTCAGGAGTATCGCTCGACACGATTCTAGAGCTCTCGAATGCACCCAGGTCCCCGAGCTACACGCCGCTCTTCCAAGCTGCCATCAATTACCGGATGGGTGCAATCAGCGACATATCGCTGGGCGACTGTGAGCTGACCATGGTCGACGGCCAGGACGCCGAAAATCCGTTCGACATTAGTCTGGGTGTGTTGGAATCCAAAAATGGATCCGCTCTAATCGAGGTCATTTGCAATAGTGATCTGTATGACTCAGACGGCTGTGGAATCCTCTTGGATTCTTTCTTGCGTCTACTTCACGACTTTGCAGCTCATCCTGAAATGCTTGCCAACGATGGTCAACTCCATGACCCAGCTGCATGGCAGAAAGCGCTGATATTAGGCGGAGGTCCCCGCATTGATTACAGTGCTACATGGCCTGCTACTTTGTCTGAGCGATTCGTCACCATTGCGAGGTCCCACGGAGAAAGCTTGGCCATCACTTGTGGAGGAAATGATATAATTTACAGTGAGCTACAGACACAGGTTCTCTCCATTGCTCAAACCCTCCTTGAAGCCGGTTGTGGTGATGGCTCATGTGTAGGCGTGCTATGTGAGCCTTCGCCCGACTTCATCGCAGCTATGTTGGCCATTCTGCATATTGGAGGGATCTACTGCCCACTGGATGTGAGCCTTCCTCACGAGCGGCACCGAGCTATACTTCGGTCGTCTCGCTTCATTGCTCTCATCCACCACTCTGCCACTTCTGATCGTGCTCTGGCTTTGATCTCATCAATGGCCAGCGAGGATCACCGAATGAATGTCATTGCATTGGATGGCGAGGCTCAACGAGAAGCATCTGATGTTCCCATCCAAACCCCGACAGACTCCGCTTCTGTACTACTTTTCACGAGTGGCTCGACTGGAAACCCGAAGGGCATTTTCTTGACCCAGAGCAACTTCATCAATCATATCTCTCTCAAGACCCAAGTACTCGGGCTGCAGAGAGAGACCACCCTGCAACAGAGCTCTATGGGATTTGATATGTCCATCATCCAGATCCTTAGTGCTCTGTTGAATGGTGGTCGAGTGCTCATTGTGCCGTCTGAATCCCGAAGAGACCCGGTTGAAATTGCTCGTTTGGTGTCGCAGGGAGCTGTCACCCTGACCATTGCGACTCCATCGGAATATAAGATGTGGCTTCGGTATGGTAGTGACGAGCATCTCAGAAACAAGGCAACGGCTTGGCGTCACGCCTGCCTTGGTGGTGAGCCCGTCACTGAACAGCTTTGTCGCGACTTTGCGCTGCTCGACCTCCCGCACCTTAGACTAACAAATTGTTATGGTCCGACCGAGATCACAGCTGCAGCCACCTTCCAATCGATGCATATCAGCATGACCGGTGAGAAAGATCATCGATCAATGATGAATGTTGGTAAGGCGTTGCCAAACTACTCAGTTCATATCATTGACAATAAGGGTCATTTCCTGCCCATCGGTATGCAAGGCGAGATCTGCATTGGCGGCGCTGGTGTCGCTCTGGGATATTGCGGTCTCCCAGAGCAGACGGCAGCGAAATTTATCGTGGATCCGACGACATCTACAGAGTGGCCCTTCAAGCGCTTGTACCGCACAGGAGACCAAGGACGTCTGCTGAAAGACGGATCTTTGCTCTTCATGGGCCGCCTGGACGGCAACACTCAGATCAAGTTGAATGGCGTCCGCATTGAGTTGGAGGAGGTCGAAGGCGCAATCTTAGCTGGCTCTGGCGGCAAACTGTCGACAGTAGTTGCAGCGGCGCACAAAGACCGTCTGCTTGCGTACGCGACATTAACAACAGGAATATCTTTGACAGAGACAGAAACAAAGCAGCTACTGATCTACGCATCTCTTCCCTTACCGACCACCATGCAACCCTCCAAGCTGATCATCATGGACACACTGCCGCTTACGTCCGCTGGGAAGATCAATCGGGAGGCAATTCAGCATCTCGCCACGTCGGGTCAACCGAACCGACCTATTTCCAGCAATGGAACAATAAACAAACTGACATTACGTCAGGGAGAACTCCGGCTACTCTGGGAAAAGGTTCTCGGTGGCCCAGATCGATCAATCGGTCCCGAAAGCGATTTCTTCCATGTTGGGGGAAACTCAATGGCCCTCATGCGCTTGCAAGGAGCCATAAGAGAGTCGATGAACGTTGCAGTCTCTACCAGAGATCTCTACCAGGCAAGCACGCTTGCTGAGATGACTGCTCGAATCCAGGTCCAGCAGGAGCAAAGCCAAGTCGACCAGCCACAGGATGAGATTTCATGGGACGCCGAGACAGAAATTCCAGCTATTGTTCGGGACGCTCTAAGGCAAGTTTCGACCCGTCGTAATGATGTTAAAAGTCCCAAGAAATATGAGATTGAGATTCTCCTCACGGGCGCCACATCTTTCCTTGGTGGAGCCATTCTAAGAGCTCTGGCTGAGCTCACAGGATCGAGGATAAGAAAGGTGCACTGCATTGCTGTGCTCCATGACGACAAGAAATTGATCCCAGCCTCCCAATCGGTCGCATACTATAATGGAAGCCTGATGTCACGCCGTCTGGGCCTTACAGTCCCCGAATATGAACATCTACAATCGAACGTGGATTTGATAATTCATGCGGGCTCAAATGGTCACTGCCTAAACAACTTTCATTCCCTTCGGACGGCCAATTTGAACTCCACGCACGAGCTGATCGCCATGGCTCTACCTCGATCCACCCCTCTGCTCTACCTCTCCTCCAATCGCGTCACCCTTCTCTCCGGTAGCACTGCATACCCTCCGGCATCTATTTCGCGTTCTCCACCTCCAAAAGACGGAAGTGAAGGCTACACGGCATCCAAATGGGCCAGCGAAGTGTTCCTAGAGAACCTTAAAGCCGACAAATTATGTCCACAACTCCCAATCCAAATCAGTCGACCCTGCGTGGTCGTCGGCGCGGAAGCCCCTAACTCAGACGCCCTAAACGCCATCCTCCGTTACTCGCGCCTGATGCAGACAGTCCCCGTCTTCGACCGAGTTGAGGGATACTTTGATTTCAAAGACGTGCAAGAGGTCGCGCAGGAGGTAGTGAGCGACGCTCTGGCTCTGCTTGACTTGTCGACAGATTCGTCGGCGATTCGATTCCGTCATCACTCCGGCGGTGTCCGCACTTCTCTGGGAGAGTTTCGCCAGCGAATGGAACAGATCTATGAAGTTTCCTTTGATGAATGCTCACTCCAGGACTGGATCGATCGAGCTTTGCAGGCCGGTATTGATCCCCTGATCACGGCCTACTTAGAGGGAATGGTGGAACGGCGCGAGGTTTTGCGTTTTCCATTCATGGGCGAGGAGGTTTCACAAGGGGAGGTCTCAACTGGGAACGGGAATGAAGCATAGAGTGATTGCATCTTACTTTCCTTAGTAGTGATGAGTCTAGTTATCTAGGTAAATATTGCCTCAAAAGGCTGTTCTTATCAATTCTATAGACTTCTTTCCTTTGACCTATGTAGATCAATGTCATTCCGTCCACACGATTAGGAACTACTGTACCGCTCTACTGCTATAGAAAGCAAGTGCATCCATAGCCCTCGATTTGAAATGTCTATCGAACGATATCGGCGAGCGTTGCCTCCCAGAAGCTTTCAAGACGAATATGCTAGCAGACTTATCGCATCGGTATAACTAACCGGATCAATTTCAAACTTTTCCAAGTGTACAAGGCCATACCAGACTAGTCTTGCCATATGCTAAAGCTTAGGAAACAGAAGTACTTTACGATAAGCGTATATCACTTGGGACATATCACCCCAGGCAGCACAAAAGCAAATTCAAGGCAATAAGATAAATCGAGAAAGCAACCGCGATAATAAATTTGAAATTGTGTTCTACACAACTCATAGACGAACGAGGACGACACACAACGATAATCCACATCAAGGCTGCTGCTACTGCTGCTGCCAACGCCTGGTGACAACAACCCAGCAAAGCCTTCAGATTTTGATCAACCGTACATCAGCAGCATCCCGATTCTGAAATCCTAGCTGCTTCTCGCCGACAGCCAGACTCTCCAACCGAAAACGCTCGACAACAGCCACGGTCGTCAACTTGAAAATCAGATCTGCGAGATGTTTGCCCAAGCAGCGACCCGAAGCCGCGCTCGTGCCATAGCGCATAAAGCCGCATCGCAACGCTTGAGGGGCCACTTCCAGGAACCGATCCGGGCGATATTGTGCGCCATCGTCTCCCCAGGTCACGGCTTCTTCGTTGAGGCGTCGATTGTCGATGATGACGGTTGTGTTGGCCGGGACGTGGTATCCGCCGATCTGTTTGGCTTCGCCTGTGGATTCGGGCATGGAGAACCCTATTATCTGGTCGTTAGCAAGGTCATTGACATATTGCCAATGGATTTGAGGGATCTTGCGCCGACTTACAAAACGCCGGGCTCAGTCGCATGCTTTCCATGGTGACCCGGTGCAGGAGGGTGCCGCTGTTGGTCAGGTACTTGGAGAAACCTCCCTCGTCTTGTGACTTCCATTTACTGATCTCAGATCGAAGTTCAGTCTGGATTGACGGGTTCGCGGCGAGGTTTGTTATGGTCGTGCTCAAGACGGAGGCGCTGACATCGACGTTGGCAAAAAGCACCTCGCCAAGTGTTGACAGGAACTGGGAGGCTCATTGTGTCAGTGATTTAATCTAACAGAGTGAAGTGGCCTGACGTGTGAAGTGAGAACGGCACTTACATCTTCCTCCGTCATATCCTTCGACGGATCGAAGCCGCGAGCGATTTCTTCAACCGGGCATTCCCACTTGCCCTATGAACTCGCATCAGTCCGAATAAACACCAATGATAGAAGATGGAAATATGTACACCCCGAGCGTTGTGAATGACGGCTCGATTGAGACCCCGCCACTCCGACAGGAACTTGTCCACAGATTTGCGGACTGATGTCGGAAATAAGGTCCAATATCTTGATTCATGGCTCTTACAGATCAGAATTCCATGGACAGCTTGATCGTGCAAGTGGCTGAGCTCGAGCAACTGCCAATAGAGCTGTTATGCAGGTCAGTAATCTTGAACATAGCCACGAGAAAATGTTGGGGTCAGACGCAACTCGATCATCAAAAGCGTCTCGATATAGATGGTGCGCGACGAGCCGGAAAACCAGGAACTTGAATGCTGATCTAGCATTGAGATCGGTGGATGATGAGGTGGACAGCTCTCCGACCCAGAGTACAGTCTCTCGTTGAAAGATTCCAAGGCGGCGTACTGCTTCGTGAAACTTGAACGGGGGATCGAAATGCAGGCGGATCTTTCGCCACTCATCGCCGTATCGAAGTCCTACGGCTGTCCCCATAAATCTGATTTCCTGTCAACGACGATGTCCAATGCACAAGATCGAGCTGTCAGAGACCACTCACCGGCCGAACAAGCCGCCAAAATTGAAGTTGAGCGGTTTTCCATGAACTGTTGCTCCACATCGATCGTCAGGTATCCATACTCCCCATAATGGCGCAACATGGTCCAAACGCACCTCTGTAGTCGCTGCGGTAGAAGTCGTGAACGTGTGCTGGTTGACTAATGACCAGTTCCTGATATTTTCCACAGGTGATGAGGTACGGTTCGGTGCCTGCTAAGGCTCGACCCTGCTGCGAGATGTGTGCACTATAGTCCAATAGCTGGCATCAACGTTTCAAAATCATCGATTATGTTCGAACCAAATCGATTCTAACCTTTGTAGCAGTTTGAGACGAAGATCAGTGATCTTGAGCTCTTTGATGAGTTTGGTCTGGTCGTTACAGAAGGCGTACCTCCGCTGAAGACCACGAACACTGATGCTCAGGACAACAAGCACAACACCGACGACTCCTAGGCCAAATACCAATGGCTGTGAAAGCAGTCTATCCAAGACTATGTTGCCGAAAATGGCGTCCATGATTGTATTGACGAATGTTGACAGTAAAAGTAAAAACCCGCCAGTTGTGACCGGATTTAGACTTTTTGGGGGGATGGGGGGATGGGGGGAAGGGCGGCTCTGGATGCGAAGACGAGCGACTGAGCGACGATATAAATTAATCAGACGTACACCATTCGTCGGATATTCTCATCGGAGAAGCAGAAAAATCACCTACAATCCGCGAGATGTGAGTGTGTTAGATCTGGTCCGACGGTGTGTGTCCGACGACTCTGTCGATCAGCTCGGAGCAGAATTGCAGATCGGACATAAGCTATTCGGCCCGACACCCGCCTCGGAGCAAGACAATAGGTATTCAAGGAGATCCGTGGCATCTTGCAACAAGCATGTCGTTATAATTGCGAAAACGACAAGTCTACGTTTAAAATATTCTGTTGCTTGCGACCAACAGATTTTTTCCGACAAACGAGCAAACGCAGCACCATGGAAGAGATCCGAACAATCGAGATCCTGCCCAAGGGCACTATTCTCATATCGGGAGGCGGGCCTGTAGGCCTCGTTCTGGCTTTGGTGTTGGCTCACCATGGCCAGCGTAGTGTTCTGATCGAGCAGAACATTGAAGCCACAAGGTACGGTACACCTTTCAAGATTTGAAAGGGCCTGGCATTTCTCTTGCAGAGTGCTAACCACATTCAACAGGTACCCCAAGATGCATTTGGTCATTGCTAGAACGATGGAGATTTTCCGTCAACTAGGCATTGCAGATGAGCTACGATCCAAAGGTTCTAAACCCGATTTGCAATACATTGAAGATTTCATTCGCTAATGCACGTTTGTGTAGGTGTGGCAGAAGATGAGCCTTTCACAGTCCGTTTCTCAAGTGGCTTTGGTTTCGCTGGGTCTTTGTCCACCTGGGATCTGCCCAGCGTTGAGGCGTTCAGGCAAAATATCTCGTTGAATAACGACGGTACGATGCCTCGTGAGCCTTGGGCACGTATTCCAAGCAATATCATGGAGCCATGGCTTCGAGAGAAATGCGATGCGAACCCACTGATCGATACTCGCTATGGGTGGGCCGTGGAAGGCCTAGTGGAGTACGAGGATACAGTCGAGGTTCATGTCCATGACCGAGCATCGAATATTCGCAAGACGATTCGCTCCCCATACGTTGTCGGATGTGATGGCGCATGGAGTGCGGTGCGGAAAGGTTTGGGCGCGGAGCTAGAAGGCGGGCCTATGTGAGTTCTGCTATGTATTCCGGTGGCCCATGTGCTCAAAGAGACAATAAGTCTCCTTGAAAGCTAACTCCAACAACGATAGGCATCGAGCCGTGGCCTTGACCCATTTCAAGTCAAAGGATCTCGAGCGACTCCATCGCCAGGGCCGGTTTTGGCATACCTTTTTTCCCATGGACCCTACAACCAATAACGGCTCTGTCGGCGGCGCCATCATCGCGCAAGACGGAAAGGAGACCTGGACAGTCCACGATTATTTAGGCTCTGAATACAATGCAGACGATGTGACCGCCGAGAAGACAGTCGCCCGGGTCCTTGGCGGTATGGGCTCACCCTACCCGATTTCTATTGAAGAAGTCACTGCAACCTCCATCTTCACGCCGACAGTAGCTCTCGCCGAAACGTGGAGCGGGAATCATCAGCGCGTCTTCCTTGCCGGAGATGCTTGTCATCAGACAATTCCTTCCGGCGGCTACGGAATGAATATGGGCCTTGCTGATGCTTGGGATCTTGGCTGGAAGCTCGCAGCCACTGTTCAAGGCTGGGGTGGCACTCACTTGATGAAGACATACGAACAGGAACGTCGTCCTGTGGCAGCGCTGATGCAACACTGGAGCAAAATCCACATGATGAAACTCATGGGGCTTTCAACAGCTGTGAAATTGGATCCGGTCGTCATCGAATCCATGGATGAGCGCGGCATAGCCCTGCGTGAGGAAATCGATCAGTACATTCAGCAAAACGATGACCATAACCAGAGCTTCGGCGTTGAAATGGGTCACCGCTACGAGTCGAGTCTGGCAGTACTGAACGAGCAGGTGGATGTTGAAAAGGCAGCACCACAGTTTGACTCACGCAACTACATCCCAACTACCTTTCCTGGTTCGCGGGTACCGCACGTGGCTTTGTCGGACGGCAGCGCCATTTCCGATGGATTCGGGAAAGGCTTCACCATGGTCGCGTTTCTGCAGAAAGAAGCAGTAGCAGCCGGAGACCAATTTCAGGTGCCCATCGCACTGGCCAGTTTTGAAGAAGCAGCACGCCAGCACAGTATTCCTTTAAAGAGCCTTTGTTTGATGAATGAGACGCATGCGTTCCGAATTTGGGATGCTTGTCTTGTCCTCGTGCGGCCTGATGGATTTTCAGCGTGGCGCTCAGATAGTCTGGACAAGGTGCATAATGCATCACAAGTGTTGCTTCAAGCAACAGGTCATACCTCGCCTTTGTAAGCAAACCCTTTCGAGACAGAGACGATCGAACATAGAACAGAATGGAAAGAATTAACCTCAATTAATCACGATCTTCATTTCGCAACGTAAATGGTCCTGTGAACTTGCTCTATCAAATAGTTGGAACCAAAAAGGCCGAAAAGTCCATGTAGTTGGAGTCCTGACTTCAGTCAGTAGTGCTATGTAAGAGGCGCATATTTCGTAATTTGTACTCACCATTGCGCCAAAATCCAGGCCGTCAAGAAGTCCATTATCGATCACGTCTTGCGACACTTCTCGGGGAGTGTTGGCGGCCCTGTAGGACTGTAGTACATCGTAACACTCCTTCAGGCTGTCTTTTGCAGTGTTCAGCACAGCAGACAAAATGGGTTGGCCGCGTTCCATGGCGTATATCTGGGAAAGAATGCCAGCAAGAAAGATGTAGCGTTTCAACGTAGGATGGCCCAACTTTACGATCTGCAGTAGTTGTTCGTTGATGTGTTCCAAAAGTCGAATGATGGGCGCTCGCTGGCCGCGCGCCAGTTCAGCGAGAGGATCAAGGACCAATGTGTGGTTGAGACCAATCGAAGCAGATGACGGACCGGAACCCGTTTCCTCCAGCTGAGACACAACCTCCAAGCCCAAGACTGAAATTACGTCCAGGCTCAAAGGTCCGCGAAATGACCCTGTGCTCATCACCATCAACTTGGACAGATCATCAAGAGAGTCTGCAGGTAGCCGAAGTCGCTCGGCATAAGTGGCGATAATCATTGCAGACTCCTGACAAACCCTCCGGGAATAATAGAAGCGGGGATCCTTTTGCGCTTGTAGCATGAAAGGCCGATGCAGAACCAGAATATACCGACGAATCTGCATATCAAGGAAAGCGTGATGCATGCCTAGGAATTGCGACCAATGCGACCGACAATAGCTTGCAAGAGTACGGCAAACTGTCTGAAGTTTCGTAGCTAGCTCAATGGCCATTTCGTATGAGTGCTCTAATCGCTCGTTTTGGACCGCCCTGACAACTTCAAGTCGTAACGGCAGGGACTGACGCATGAGAATTTGTATCGACGATTCCGTATAGCTTGTCAACGGTTGTGGAGATGGAGACTGTTTGCTGGCTAAATCTAAATCAGCATCGCTGACATTAAGAGGCATATGATCGTCAAAGTCGTTTGAAGAAAGAAGCAAAGGGATGGAACAGTCCATGGAACCATGGATTACGAGCTCTAGGACTGTTGTCCAAAGCCTCCTTCGTATCTCGGCTTGAAAAGGAGACAGAGAAAACAGTTGTGGATCTCGGTGCAGGCCCATAGCCATAGCCACCCGAAGTAGACCACTTTCCGACAGCCACGGTGAACGGCCGACTAATGTTATCTGCCGCGAAACCAATAGAAGACAGAAAATTTGAATTCCATCAAGATTGTTGGTAGTTTTCTCTGACGGTCCAACCATCCAGTATTGAGCAGCTTGTATCCAAGTACGCCGCGCGCGCTGTAGAACTTTGTCGTCGTCGTTGCTGAAGACGCTTCCAATGGCCAACACCAAACCCAACTTGATTGCAAAGTTTGTAACTACAGGCTGCGGCTGGCTGAAGTATTGTTCGTATTCTGCCCAGAATGTGGGAATGTGAAAACAACGATAGATCAACTCGAAAGTCCGCATGTAGTGATTCACTAGTCGGTCACAGATGGAACGAGCCGGCATTGTACTCAGAAGTTGAGGAACGGGGTCATCCATCTGCGGTGCCTGCTCATTTTTCATCGTGAGTCGCAAGTTGCGTATCTCATTCACCGAATCGGCCAGCTCGGCCTTAGTATCCACGAAGGTCAATTCAACGTCCCTGTCTCCAAAATGGCTGACTCTGAACTATTGACACGTCAGCCAATGTTCAATCAGTCAAGGTGTTCATTAGAAAGGAGCTTCAACAATACCTTCTCAGCAGTGTGCAGCCAGTGGCTTGAAGGAAACAGTTTTACCTTCTTCTGGTTGTGACGAAGTCGAGGGATGACAGATGGAATTGTTAGAGACTTATCGCCCGTGACAGCTGAAGGCGCAGGACGAGCTTGGGAGAGCTCAGCAAGCCGCTGCTCGACGTGTTGGAGGCGATTAGACAATGCCAGCAGCGTGAGGTGATTGTTGCTGCTGCTGCTGAGGCTGTGCTGCGGGGGATCGACTTCTGGTACAACCGAGTGCTCAAGCTGCTGTACACGACGCTCTACGCTCCGAATTCGCTCCGATTCATTCGTTGTTCGTTGCCTTTTTGCAGGGTGATCGATGTTGTTGTTTGGGGCAATGCTGAGCGAGCGAGGAACTTGTTGTTGGATAGTATTGCCCTCGCTTCCACGGTCTTCCAGGGCGAGACTAGGTTGCTGCTGACCTCCTTGATATATGCACGTCACCGAGTTTCTGGAGACTTGACAGGCTGAACATGGCGATTTGAGATCGCAACGTACTTTTCGGCGGCGGCACGGGTCGCAGGATTGCGCAGGTCGGCGGCTCCGACGAGCGGGTGAAGATGCTGACCGGTTACTGCCAAAGCTCTGGTCCTCAGCCATCTTGACGACAGTCCAAATTGCAGGTATTGAATGCGCGGTCAACGGACATCAATGATGTTGGAAAGGTCGGAGGGAAAGCGCGGGGTCGGCAAGCTGCTGAAGTGAGGTGCTGTTCCATCTTGCTCTCGGACTCGGGCCCGGGTCCGGACTCGGGGCTCGGACATAAAGCCCACTCTACTAAACGTTCGCCACCCACCGACCAGTTCAACCTCCTCAATACAGGTATTTTCATACAGCCCTTATTGGTGTCAACAGCTAGGCTACGAATCCCTTGCCGAGATTTGATGACACAATATCGTCGCTTTCGATCGTCGAACATAGCCTTCGCTCCTAGGCGTCAATGCATCGTCTCCGTTCGATTTCCAAGTTGTGCTGGTCCGTTGCAGGAATTTAGAAACGAGTGAAACGTGGATATATGAACAATAAAGAGTTGCAAGGCATGGATCAGTTTGGCATCTAACAGTCAAGCTAATGTTCTAAAGTGTCAGCTAACGTAATTCTCATGTCGACTGTCGTTCATCGATTCTAATTTCCTTCGCGTGCTTTGTGGAGGGCAACCAAAACACCAGTCTTGTTACTTGGTCCAATCCGCATAATAGCATGATATGGATTCGCATCTCTGGAATCGATTCGCTCGTAGCGCATTACCAAACGAGCCAACATGTATGCAGCCTCCGTCATGACCATCATCTGTGCTGGGCACCTTCTAGGACCACCGCTGAAAGGCACGAACTCCCAAAAGGGCTTCAGCTCAAGGAAGCGCTCAGGACGAAAATCGTCTGCGTCTTCACCCCAGTATTCCCGATTGCGCTGCTGTACTGTCTTGGTGACTTGGACCATGTCACCTTTGCGGACGAAGATGGGGTACTGGCCGTCTTTGCCTCCGCCACGTGGGAGGGTCGTGTCGTTCATGCAGATACGGACTTGGGTGACGTTGTTTGGGTTTAGTCGCAGAGTCTCATCAAGACAAGCATTGAGAAACTTCAAGCCTCTGAGAGTGGAGAAGCTGAGTTGACCAGCCGCTTCGTCCTCACCCCCTTGAACTGATGTCAGTACCTCCTCACGACATCTTGCCCACGCATCCGGGTGACGAGCCAAGTGCCAGAGGGCATTACTGATGAAGATCGAAGTTGTGTCGTTGTTCGGGACCAGCAGCAGGGCCAATTGAGACCGCAGGTCTTCGTAGTCGGAGTCGTGTGATGCCATGTACCATAGAAGGTCTTCCCGCTCAGGGCCTACTTTCTCTCCAGCAGCGATGCGTGCCTTGCGGGTTTCGATTTCTTTGTAAGTCGCTGTGATATGTGTGTCGACAAAGGCATGAACCTCGTATACTGCCTTCAGCCACCAGTCCCAGTTGAACCACTTGATCATGCGAACGACCTGCATACGCTGGCGACTGCCACGAAGAACATCCAGCATGGCCCATGTGATTTTGGCCTTGGCTGGATGATTGAGGGCCCCCATAGGCTCGCCAAGGATGAAATCAGTGGTCAAATCCAGGAACTATGTTCGTATGAGCATTATAATGAACGTTCAAATTGCTTTTTTTGCAAGCGCGACTTACCCATCGCTGGAGCAGGGGCTGGATGTTGAATGTCTCTCCGTCCGGCGGCAATAGAGACAATAACGAGTCCACATACGGCCTGATCCGATCAGTGTTCGTATAAACATCGCGATTGAAGAACGGCTTGATGAGGAAACGGCTGAACACCCAGTCGTCCCCGTCAACGGTGTTGACACCTTTGTCTGCGAACGGGTGGAAAGCTTTCGTACTGCGTCGGAGAGGACTGATGCCAAAATCTTTCCAGTTGATCGCTGTCATAGCCTTAAGGTTATCCGTCTCGGTGGTGTAAATTTGGCGTTTTCCGAGAAAACGGATCTTGAATGTGCTCGGTTGGCCTTCATGCATAGCTGCCAGCCATGGGATAAAAGTGTCTCCACGAAGGGCCTTCATTTGGCTCAAGGCGAGATCGAGGCCGAAAATGCGATCCCATTGGGGATAGGATGGGATAACGCCGCAGCCATGGGCTTTGCGTCCTTGGTATTCTTTGAATCGCCCCCACAGTATATTGAGGAATATGGCCAGTAACCCAGAGGCGACGGCCAGAGACCAAAGGTTGTCGACGATTATCATCGTGTGGGCAGGTTTGTTAATGATGAAAACTGTCGCCAGCCACTTTTGAGGAATGAATTCCACATCTTTGATGCGATGAAACCGAGACGCATTTAAAGCATAGAGGCGCAAAAGACCTCGTTAGAAGACTCGGAGGTCTCTTTCGATGAAGTGAGTGCAGCTCCGTGAGGTACTCATGGTCAAATATTATCCCCGATACTCCACTCTCGAATCTCGGACTTAAATTCGGGACCTTAACGCAACCATAGCTGAATGTAATATCTATCGGGTTGCTCGGATAAATAACTGTATCTACGTAGTATTTAGTAAGTTACTTCAATAAGTAAGTTACTTATTATTAGTATATTATATCTATCCATGGATAATAATTCTGATTATAGTATTACTTATATGGGTATTGTAGATATCTATATATTCTACTTGGTACGATTAGCGTCTTATATATTTACTGTCGCCTCCGTCACTATACACGTGGTAAAAGTCTAATTATCAACAGACATCAAAGTCCATTTTCTGTCAGCCCTGCAAACACCAACCATTTAGCAGGGGTTGATTACTGGTAAGATTATTGATTGTTAGCGATTAGGCACACAGCACATACCTACGTCGGCGAGTCAGCCTAAATGGGATAGTTGACATTAGGAACTGTCCAGGCGGTGATTTATCGCTCTCTGTTCTAACATACTCTACTTCTTGTTAGCTTCTATGCAGAACATTGTGCAAACTCTAAATATAGCGCATATTCAGGGCTATATCCCACCGTTCTCACCGCTTCCGAAATTAGTTCTAAACATGACTAGGCCACCTCTCCCTGACAGCATCCCCGAACACGGAAATCTGTTACTATTAGCCAAGGACCTTGGCAATGGCATCTGCGCAAAGGGCTGCCACTCTTGAAGAGCTCGCATCTTTGATCTTAGGCATCAACCAATCTTCTCCAACTCGCGTCGCAATCGACGGGCGAACAGCATCTGGGAAAACTACGCTTGCCGACGAGCTTTCAAAGATCCTCTCAGTCAAAGGAAGGAACGTTATTCGTACTTCAATCGACGGATTTCATAGACCCAAGGTCGAACGCTATGCGCGCGGCCGTTTCTCCGCTGAGGGTTATTACTATGATGCGCGTGATCTTCCAGCTATCAACACCCTTCTCCTCTCCCCGTTAGGACCAGATGGTGATCGACGTTATCGCACGGCATCGTTTGACCTTGATAAGGATGAGCCTATTGAACAACGACCGCACCTCGCCGCAAATGATGCTATACTCCTTGTGGATGGCACCTTCCTCCAGCGACCAGAGCTGCGTGATGGTTGGGATTTGACGATTTTCGTTGAAACCTCAGAGCAAGCTTCAGAGCAACGAGGTATACATCGAGATGCTAGCCATTTGGGAGGACTAGAGGCCGCACGGCAGCTCTATGCAACGCGGTATCGGCCCGCTTTTAATATCTATGACAGCCTATGCCAGCCATCCTCCCTCGCCGATGCAATTTTCAACAACGACAACTTTGATCAGCCTACGCTCAAGCTTCGAGGTGGACAGTTACCGCACTAGTGGGCCTGATTGTTTTGACAATTAACACATAATTCATCTCCCTATCGCGGCTCCGTCGTGTGATATGGTGTTCTCTAACGCCAGCTCGCTTAAGATACCGTCTGTGCCTTAAGGTTTTATTGCACCAGCGTCTGTGTGCAGTGCATGTTCGTGGCTAGAACTAGAAAAAGGGACTTCGATTCTAAGTTTCATCCAACCACTCCTAATTTCAGCTTATAAATTGCAAAACAATGTCCTGTGATATCTCACACGAGCGGCAAGGCACACCGGGGCGCGACCAGGAGCGTGAAGATGAACGAGAGTAAGGAATCATAGAGAGCAATTAACTGGCATTTGAACTGCTTATGCAGTCCCTTGAGCGGGCGACAATATCCATAGCATATTCACGACAACAGCGGCAGTGCACGCGACCCCACAACAGTCGTGTTGTACACATGGGCCGATGCGCACACACGTCTGGTTTTTAAGTACTTACCAGGGATATAGACAACTATACCCGTTGGCACAAATCATCATTGTCATGGTGAGGACTATGAAGACTTTCTTCACTGGCCGGAAGACCAACATGGCGAACGTGAGGGAGTTGATTCTAAAGGAATTATAGCCGCTGGGTAGTTCTGCATCAGGTATTGCCTCGGAATCCCAGAAAGGCGTCAGGCGTAGGAGAGGGTTGCAAACTCGCATCCTGATGCATGCTTTCTCAAATAGCAGTGCCGTTAACCTAGAGGCATGTTCTTTGGTCTGGCACTCATTGCAACGCAGCACAGGTCATCCCATCAGTGCAATGCCAGTCCAAGGACTCATTCTTGATTCAACCCCTGGCGGAGACTCTTTCATTCGTGAGGCTTCGCGATGGACGGCTGGAGTGGTGATGGGGTTTGCATTCCTACCTAAGTTCCTCGCAAAACTAGTTGCTGCTGTCATTATTCTGCTGTATTTTGGGGTGCCAAGTCTGTTTAGGATGGAAGTGCTCCCTGCGCGGGGGCAAAGAGTGTTTAATACACTGGAATATATCCCCATAAATAGTGCACGACTGTATATTTACTCAGACTCAGACCCTTGATTAGCGAACAGGACGTCGAGTCGCATTCGCGCGAAGCTGAGGCCAAAGGATATAGGAGAATCAAACTGGGCAAGTTCAGTGGGTCGGGGCATGTGGCGTATATACAACAGGACCCAAAAAGGTATTGGTTGTTGATTTCAAGGTTCTGGGATGAATACTGTATGTAAAGCGCCAAGTATAGAGTACAGTTCTCCTTTACCTGTTAAATTGCTAAGAGAGCTCTTCTGTTCTTTACTTGCCATGTTTAGTGTTTATTTAAATCAATGGAATACTCCCAATCCCTCATCTAATGTGTCCTGGATGAACATTCTCATTCATGAATTTTGCAGTATATCAATGAAAAGGAATGTTAAATTCATACCAAGGAGTCACCCAGTTTTGAGAATTGTCACCCAGGAGCTCTCGCGCAACAATAGTCACTGAATAACCTGCCTCGGCAAGCGCCCATGCTCGGCTCAATGACTCCTGCGCCGATAATGCCAATTTCCGTTTTTGATGCCTAGAGATCCTTAACTTGAATCTGTTAGTGGTTATGTTCATCCAGGATCTAAGTATGAACTCACTTGTATCTCTAACCGGATCAGTCTCCGGGTGTAAGCACCCGATTTGTAGAGCGGGCAGCGCCTGTCGAGGCTGGAACACTCTCCAAAGATGCGTCCAATCTTAGGTCGTGCATGGGTTATTGACTGAGACCTCTACTCTGATAGCTAGATATTGTCAACAGTGCGTGTCCTCTGATCCTTTCCTTGGGCTTTCACATGTCTGCTTCGAACTTTTGCACCTACTGACACCATCAATTTGGGTCCCTGGGTAGCGCTTTGTGTACCTAATCAGTAGCTCATGCACTCTAACCCAGCCATGCTCCAGCAGATATCTTACTCCGAGTATTTTTGCGTTAAAAGTGACATTCACAGTTTGCTTATCCACGAGAGTCATCCTGGTCACGCCACGAGGCCAGTCTTGCTTCACAAACTCGGAGGCATTAGGGACGACAATGTCCACCTGTGATCCTTGGTCTATGACCCTTTTATACTTGAGCTTGGTAGTCTTCTCCAAGTACCTACTCGCCTCGTCGAGTGACTGAATACCGACGTTAAGGTGGAGTCTCGTCCGCGAGAGCACCAAGCTGGTTTTGGGATTCTGGACTGATTGCAGTGTTGGCTTCGCACGCGGTGCATGCCATTTCCAGATATGCTCAAGATGATAGGCTCCTTGCTCGAAAGACACTTTCGAGGTCAGGGATAGCGGTGCTCGGGATGACCTCTATGGAATCACTAGGTTTTCCTTTGGCGACGGCACATGCAGAGAACGCTGATTTTCTGCAGCGACTGCCTGAGTAAGTGCCGGGTTTGTAGGGGTTTTCTCCCGGCAAGGCACCGGAGGGTGGGCTGGGCTTACTGCAGCAGCCGGCTGGTCCACTCGGCCTTTGGTTTACCGCAGCAACTCTTCGAGCAGTTCGTAGCCCCGATGGTCGCATTCCTTATAACAGAAGCATGCCGTTTAATAACTGCGGACGTCTTAGGTTTACTGCAACACCTATTAGAGTTGGACAGCCTTCCCCTTTTTAGTGGTAATACACTACTTAGGAACTCCAGATGCGTTAGCAGCGCTGCAACAGCTGCTTGAGCATGCCTGCCCCTTCCCCTTCGGACTTGCGCTACGGCGTTTCTCCGACCCAGTACTGCCCCTTCGCAGCAAGAGTCAAGAGAAACACGCAGAATACAGGAAGATTCCACAGAAAAATGCTCATTACCATGGAAGAGCCTCTCAGTGGTGATCAGCAGGATTCTTGCCCAAGAGCTATCAAAGTGCGGCAAATATAATTATATAACCAAAGACTTCAAGCCTGGCTGCGTATTCGGCGCGCGCGGAACGACGGTGTTTGTCATATGGTTTGCCGTCGGGTCTCTGGCAGCTAGAGCGCGGAAATCTTACGGGCGAGCGTTAATACAACCAGTAAAAGCTGTAATCAGAAATTACTGCCTAAACTTAGAGACGCATCGTAATCCACTATAGCGATCTCTCTAACACCACCCCCTCCTACATGAGTGAAACCCTACAGCTACACTAAAACCTCAACACTCCCTCCCCCTCCTTCCCCTCCAATAATTCGTACTCCTCACCAACCCTCCCAACCCCATAACCGCCCACCTCCACTTCTTCACAAACTCCTCCGTGACCTCCCAATTCCATGGATCCCACGGCACCCCCACACCACCAACGTCGCGCCGGAGTTCCTGGTATCCCAAAACGCCATGAGATCCCGACACAGCTCATCCTCATCCAACTGCCCCGTGGCCGCCGCCACGATCAACCGATCCCGCATTTCCGGCATCGGGAAGAAGTCGAGCCAGGGGTGATGCGGGATGAGGCGCTGCAGGGCCGTGGGTCGGAGACTTTCGGGGAGGGTTGATATATCTACATTCGGGATCGAGATCTCTTCCGAGCTTCTGCTGGTGGGTGGTGGCAGGTTGTTGTTGCTGTGGTAGTTGAAGATGGAGAGGGCATCGTCGGGTTGGAGCCAGGCGGGGGTCATGCACAGAATGCGGATATTCTCGTTAATGGCGCGGTGGACATTCAGGCGGAAGAGACTGAGAAGGTGTTCGAGGCGAGGGGAGTTGGTGAGGTAGCTTTGAGTGGCGAGGATGGTGAAGGCATGGCGGATGTGACGGGCGTTATGGGGGGCGAAATGGCAGCGGAGATCTTCGTCTTCCTCTGATGCAGTGGGGTCAATGCTAGAGGAGGAATGCGGAATTAAAGTGTGAGTGTTGGATGGAGAAGAAGAAAATGAGTATGATGGATCTCCCGTAGCAGCTTTTTGTTTCTGGCCTGATTGGAACGGTCAGGCCGGTCATCTGTTCTGGGGATAAGGACGGAAGGACATACGATAGGCTCGTTGATTCAGGCGGTTTTGCAGCTGGCGGCGGCGAGTTCGGTCGATGACCCCCGTCCAATCGTCTTCTAGCTTCCAGAGATGTTCTCGCTGCGGCATTGGTCCTAGAGTGACAGTATTTGACGCAGCAGCTATAGGGTTCATCGCAGGGGGTTCGTGTCGAGACATGGTGTGGGTTATTGGTGGATGCAAGTTGCTGACGGCGGAGGTGCAGGCATCGCCCACTCACAGGTCCCCTCTCCACAGCCAAACTAGCCATGCACTGTTTCATCCGCCAGAGGAGCCATACCCACCGCAGAGTAGGAAGATACGTGCTTGATCCTCATCAGCTCCGGCACCGCCTTCCTCGACGTGCCACACTCACCGCAGTACAGTGCCTTTAATGTTGATGTCGATGATGCTTAGGTCAGGTTCGGTTAGGGGGTGGTTTGCGGTCCCGGCTGGAAGATTTCATCGACGCGGTGAATGCCGGCGTTGGCGATGATGTAGTGAATCCGGTTGAGCAGGGGACGGATTTTGTACTTGGGAGGTTATTTAGGGTGGGCTGACGGCAGTGTTAGGGAATGGGATGGGATGTCGCCGATACAGACGTAGACTCTGTGAAATTTGGACTTGCGGTTAGTTGCAGGTAAAAGCAAGAGGCGGGAGGGAGGCATACCCGGCTGCAACGAGGGCCCGGACATAGGCTTCACCATGGCCATTGGCACCGCCTGTCACTATGGCGGTTTGGCCTGCCAAGGCGCTGCAGTCCACGTCCTGGGAGCAATCCACCGGGCCGGTGTTATACGTAGGGGGGCATGATGATAAAGGAGGAACGTCGGTTGTCATGGAAGGACAGAACGGCATGGGTCATCGGAGCATGCCTTTTATGTGCTTCAGAAGTGGGGAAGCAGTCGAGAAGTCCCTGGAACAAAGGCGATTCAAAAGCTTTAGTGTATGAACAATGAGAAAGACGGACAAACAAACAGCCGGTGATATCAGACTCTTGAATTGGGTAGCTTACGCCCCACGCGTAAGCAACTTGCATTGGGATGACGGAGGCCGAGAAATGATCTCGTTCTCGGGTCTTTGGCATGACGGCAATGCCCCTGACGATTATCACTTCCAACCGGGCTATCGTTGCTATCTTTCAGAGATCATGAACTATAAAGTCTCTGAGCTGACCTGCATGACCTGACGAGAAAGCATCACATCAATCCATTGTCAACTCTCATAATACTATGACCATGACGCTAACAACTGCGCTCACCCTCGCCTCAATCCTGCATACAATATGCACGGCGGCCCAGAACCTCTCCTACGGCGCCGACAACTTCTACCGCAGTAACCTGGTGACCCTCCAGCCTGTCACCTTCCCAACCGCATACCAAACCACTATCGCGGGTAACCTCTTCATCCCCAAGAACATCACATCCACCCCAGCCCCAGCCATCATCGTCAGCCACCCCATGGGCGCCGTGAAAGAGCAAAGTGCGAACCTCTACGCGACCAAAATGGCCGAACAAGGCTTCATCACGCTCTCCATCGATCTCCCCTTCTGGGGTGGCAGCTCCGGCGAACCGCGCAACGCCGTCTCCCCAGACCTCTACGCCGAGGCTTTCAGCGCCGCGGTCGACTACCTCGGCAGCAACGCCACCACCATCACAACCATCCCCAGATCCCCTCTGCCTCGGTCAACCGCAACCGCATCGGGGCCATCGGCATCTGCGGCAGCGGAAGCTTCGTCCTCAGCGCCGCCAAGATCGACCCGCGCATCAAAGCCATCGTCACAGCCAGCATGTACGACATGGGCGGCGTGAGCCGTCACGGCCTGCGCCACTCGCAGAACCTCACCCAGCGACAAGCCGCCGTCGCGGAAGCAGCGCTGCAGCGCTGGCCTGAGTATCAGCATACCGGTCCCGTCGAGTACACTGGCGGAACGCTGAATGTGCTCACGCCCAACGCTTCCGCCGTGGAACGCGAGTTCTATGATTTCTACCGCACGGTGCGTGGGGAGGTCACGCCACCGGGGTCGATGCCGGAATTGACGACTCACCCGACGCTGACGAGTAGTTTGAAGTTTATGAATTTCTACCCCTTGGAGGATTTGGATGTTATTGCGCCTAGGCCGTTGTTGTTTATCTCCGGGGATCAGGCACATTCCAGGGAGTTTAGTGAGGATGCGTTCGCTAGGGCCGGCGAGCCGAAGGAGTTGTTGTGGGTTCCTGGGGCCGGGCATGTGGATCTTTATGATCGGGTGGAGTTGATCCCGTTTGACAGGATTGCGGCTTTCTTTAGGAGGAACTTGTAGATACTTAATGTGGATGGGGAGGGGTTTGGTGTTTGGTTGAATCGAGGTTGAGGTCTGAATAGGAGTAGAACCTGATTGATACACGTTGGTGGGATTGTGGAGGGCAGCTACCTATGATCGAACATCATTGACCTTGAGACCTAACCCTATCATCGACCCACCATTTCAACGACTTTCTTGCCGTCCACCGTGCGATTGCGTTTATCACAAATCAGCGGTGCTGGAGGTTATGTAGAGAGTATCCTTCGCGATTTTGGCGAAGGAATGTAAGTGCCGATGCTCAACGAACTTGGGACAGATATTGAAACTTCAACTTTTCAGCTGGTTAGAATCAAGTTCCTTTAAATTCCATGGTGCACTTTGACTTTCTCTCCTGGTTATCCACGAAAAAGCGAATCGTGGATTCCGATCTTGACCCGCAGCCTGACTATGCTGATGCCTTATTGCGAAAGTGTCCTTCTGCACTCTGTTTCCTTGCACCTACATGGCTAATACACCTTTCGAGAAAAGTATCAAATCCCTGGTCAGTGTCATCTTCATTGAAATTGCCGGGGCCGTATCAACCTGGTCTCTCAGAAGCCTAGGACGCAACATTCGCAATGCTTCCACCATTAGGCATATGTTTCACCTCCTCCTTCATTGGATACATCGTTCCGGTAATGTTGATCCGAATTATGCGTTCCCAATCATAGTTGTCCTGACTCATGACTCGACTATCGTAGGATGTGCATTTGGGAGCGGAACCGGCAACATTAGCAACACCATCCGGTCGACCAAACTTGTTGTCAGTCGCTTGAATCCATGACTGTACTGACGCATGGTCTGACGCGTCACAGAAAGAGGAATAGAGGTTGTCAGAGCCCAGCTGTTCTTCAACCTTGGCAAGATTCTCCCTTGATACGTCCCCAATCGACACCTTAACTCCGCGAGCTTAAAGTTAAAGAAGTTGGACAACTGCTAGACCAACGCCGCTGGCACCTCCGGGGATGGTGTATACGCGGTTTTCCATTCCGTGAATAATTTTTGAATGGTGCGCGAAACTGGCATGGGGTGGGTTCAGAACAAAATGAGCGAACAAACGGCCTATAGTCGGGGTGACTGACCTGTCAATCTTGTCTAGTCATCTTATTTGCTTACCCGAAAATCTTCGGACCTTCGGCTTTGCGGTTTGATACGGTTTTACATTGTACCACAAAATTTCTTAGGTTTCTACTCATGAACTCCCAACACTAGTTAACATGATGACACACTTACCGCCCACTTCGGTTTAAGAGTACTGTCATCCTTGTCATCCCCCGGAATTTGTTATAACTCCGTACATATTAGATTCCGCCCGACTCCACTGGCTGACAACGCCCCAGGGCTGCTCAATACATCATTGGCTATGGGATAGGTGGTTCCATGGGAATTTTATGACGAAGGCGGCAGTAGCCGTGATTTGTCAATTGATCGACCTGGATTGGACGTTCTATCCCTGAAACTTTTCAATGACATCAATACCATCGCGGTTAAACGGCAGTCTTTTTCTGCCACTAGTTTATATCGGCGGAGTCGCTGATCTATATATTTTGCAGATAGGCCGTCGAAGCAAGATTTACCGAAAGGTTGTGCTCTTTTCATACCTCCCCCTCTCTGTTACGTCCAGACATATCACGTCCTCATTAGGTAAAGCATGGTGCTAGACATCAAAACGCAAGCTCCTTTCTCTGACCTGGAATCGTTAGGTTCTTCGAAAATAATATCGCCATCGTTTTCTGCAAATATCGTCGTTTGGCCACTTCCAACAAAGCTGCATGCAAAATGCCGGAATCGATTATCTTTTCTGGAGCACAGAACTCCGAGCACAATGTTCTCAAGCCGACGTCTACTTTCACTGGTGAAGTCTACCTGGACCTCATAAGCATGGACTCCAATGCTGCTTTGGCGAATGTCACGTTCACTCCGTGTGCCAGGACAAACTGGCACACTCATGAGGGTGGACAAATGATTCATGTTTCTTCCGGTACTGGCTGGATCTGTGACAAGGGAGGAGTGGCCCGTCGTATCAAGGCTGGCGATGTCATCTGGGCTCCTGCGGGAACTACGCATTGGCACGGCGCCGATAACAATTCAATTATGACCCACTTTGTCGTTGGCATCGGCGAGACGAAGTGGCATGACAAGGTCACTGATGAGGAGTACAACAAGCGAGCTCAGAACTAAGGTTCTGTGTTGACTTATCCCATGCCAGCTGCCGACACCGCCTCCCACTTGATTTCAACCCAAAAACACCACGTCGCAAATGAAGCTTTAGAGCCACATACAAATAAGAATTATATGAGATCTCTTGAGATAATAGGAATGAATACATAATGCGAGCACACAACAGCTTTTTTAAACCGGAAAGCGGGCTGGTAACCGCGTTTGCCTGCATCAGCCGTGGACTGTGGGAGGAGCCAATTTTCAACAACTTCAGATACTGGAACAACAATAGTTTTGTGGTCACTTGGTTTGATCTCGAGTTGCTTGAACTTTTGCCTTATCTATCTTAGCCTATTGAAAGTTGTTCAAAAGCTGTATATCAGCCTCCTGAACCTATCGCGCGTCATATGGCCTTAGGTTAAAGAAAAGGGGAAAAAAGCGGTCTGGCCAATTTAGTTCTGACGGCACCAGTTTGACATTAATTATATATAATAGAGATACCTATGCTGATGTGCGGTATTGCTTTGAAGACTCTAATAACTCATACTTACAGCAGATTTCTTAGTGCACATTTGACCTCTAGAGCATATGCAGCCAATGGCGGAGAGCTCTCGGACTATTTGTCCACATTATACCAATACGTTAGTTAACTATGTATGATGGGTTGACTGATTGCATAGCAACAGCTAATGTAACAACTACACCGCCGCGACGGTTCGGAGTTCCAGGAGCCGGAGCATAGAAGTCACCGACGACGATGACACCATTGGAGGGAAAGCTGACCTTGGTGAAACTCATTCTGAAAAATGGATGGCAGACGGTAAAGGACTTAGGTGGTTGGTGAAGGTATAGAGATAGTTGTTGGGAAGCATTCCCGTGGTATTTCTATGCTCCCTGCCCTGCGCAAAGCAACGTCATCGCTGACACAATTGATTAGATCCGTTCATAGTTAACGTAGATAAGACAGCTAAACCCAGAATTTCGATGATTTGATGATCCTTTGCGCGATCCTGAAAGGTTTCAGCCCGGGTCTCGTTGCCTCCACATCTACCTTTATGGATTATGGCTTGCTTGGACCCACGGTACGCTCTGTCGTGTCATGAGGACATAGTCAAAGTGCATGGATGTAGCGCGTCTCTAGCGCTTTAATTTCTTTCATGGCTCACGAGATGAAGTAAATATGGGCGTCCTGTAGGTCTGCATTGCGCTCTTTGGCAGTTTGATTGGCAGCCTTTTTGCGCTAACCTCACATTTGCGAGCTGTAAGGCAGCGTGGACGTCCACGCCTTATGTGAGGGGCCACCAAGCTCTTGAGTAAGTGGACGTTGGCAAGATGCCTAATAACAGTGCTCGGGTGACAACAGCATTAGGAATGTGGGAAGGGAAGAGTTCTTTACTTTAGTCAAGATCATTTCCTAATGAATTCCTGTTCAGAGGGGGCGTTAATAGGAGCTATCTGTGCTCTGAGGATAATCAATGTGATCTTCCAGGGGCATCTTAGGTCGATAATGACAAAATCTCCACATGATTGAAAGGATGCCCCTGTACGGGCGATTACAAGTTACAGAACATTAATCAAGTCAGTTAGAGCACTATTACCTGTCATTACAGGAGCTCATGATGAAGGTTTGGAAATTGTGTCGAAAATATGGGAAGGTTGATGGAACCAGCATACGAGTGACGCATGACACGACCCATGTCATGCACGTTGCTTATGCCCCTCTTGATAACTTCAGAGAGTATCCATGGCCACAGAAGGGAACACAGTCTCAGTTGGTCCGTGATCTGTGATTGCAAAGGTTGGCTGCTTGTCTAGACAAATCCAGCGCAGTCCGAAGCTTTTCGGAATCGTCTGTGTCAGCCACCCATGAAAATTCGGAGTTAACATTTGTGCGCACGTTTTATATAGATATAGTTGAATCTATTTTCGTCAGCCACTATGTTCCCTTCAACACGCAGTGAACATAGAAATACCGCAAGCAATTAACTGCTTCAAAAGTTCGTACCTTCATCAACCATCTGAGTTCCTACAATTTACACCATCCTTTATCATAATGAGCTTTACAAAGGTCAATTTCCCTTCCAACGGCCTCAATGTCGTCGGTGACTTCTATGCCCCAGCTCCGGGATCTCCTGACCGCCACGGCGCTGCTGTCGTTATCGGCCATCCCTACACCGGTGTGAAGGAGCAGGTGGCTTCTTTATATGCCAAGTACCTCTGCAAAGAGGGCTTCTATGCTCTTGCATTTGACGCGGCCTTCCAGGGCGAGAGCGGCGGCGAGCCTCGTGGGCTCGAGAATCCCTTCCAACGGGTAGAGGACTTCAAAAGCGCCGTGAGCTATCTTTTCTACCCTTACGGGTAAAGTTGACCCCGAGCGCATTGGTGCGATCGGTCTCTGCGGCGGTGGTGGTTACGTTTGCAATGCCGCCCAGGCCGATGTGCGCATCAAAGCCGTTGTACCTGTCGTGCCATTCTGCGTGGGGTACGCGGTCCGCCATAACGGTCCGAACAGAGACGACAAGTTCAACCCAGAGGCTATTGCTGGCGCTCTAGCGTTCAGTGCCACAACGCGTACCTCCATGGCCACTGGGAAACACGTTGATGCCATCTCGCTCCTCCCCAACTCGCCAGCCGAATGTCCCCCGGAACTGAACAGCTTCATGCGCGAAGGTACCTCCTACTACAAGACCTCGCGTGGTTTCCACGAACGGAGCACTGGACGAGTCCACCCAAAGAGCTTTGATCTCATGGTGAACTACGACTCGTTCGCGTTCAACAACTTATTTCCCCGCGTCCCATTCTGGTCATCGGTGGCGAAAAAGCAGAGACGCTGCATTTTGCTGAGGAGGCGTATAATCGCGCTCAGGAACCAAAGAAGTTGTTCGTTGTGAGGGGAAGTCTCATTTTGACCTGTATGATGATGCGTCGGAGACAGGACCAAAGATTGTGGAGTTCCTGGCAAAGCACCTTTTAGCTTAATGGTAGTTGTTGGTCACACAGTTGCTCAAATGTGCATCTTACATGGAATAGATTGTGGATGGATGATGCCGGGCGGATATACTCAGCTGTTACAGGTGCTTTACAATTTAAAATGCATTGGAAATCTGCTGTACATATGGATTATCTGAGCCTTTACAGAAATACCATGTTAGCATAGGTATGTATAGCCGTATGCTCGGAACTGAAATAATATTATACGTACGCACTTCAGGAAGTCAAGCCAAGAGGACGGTTCAATCCGTGCGTAGAGTTTCAAGCAAGGTGGAAAGAAAGATCAAATAAATCTTGGAAATTATTCTAAGAGTTGGAGGTCATTCTCTCCTAAACTGAAGTCCGCTGCAAATAAATCAACCGGCTAGATTCCTCCTAACAAGCCCACCGCATCTACCCTGAGTACCTCTTGCACACCTGGGCCGAGAAGTGCGGCTACTACTGAACCCCGAACAATCAACAAGCCCCATGGGGCGGATAGGTCCTTTGCCAAATCCGGTGTTAGTGGACGATATTTCGCGTTAATGTAGTTGCTGACAGGATCGTTTGCGCCCAGTGCTCAAAATGGACCTGACATCTTGGCGATGTCAGCAAAAACGGGGGGATCTGCACCAAAGCCTGCCGTTTCAGCGAGTTCCTTGAGCAAGAAACAGAAATATCTCAAGCTACGTGGGGCCGGACACTTGGAGACATAAGGCATTGAAATTGATCAGTGAAAATAATGCAGGTCTATATAAGGTGTGACATGCAAGGTAAAAAGGCGAGTTTACACATGGATGGTGTATACAATTATAAGTAAGAGAACATCGATTATTAAATAAAATTAAACACTACAAACCTCATAAGGAAGTCTAGTCACGCAGATATAGCCTTACCATCTAGGCTATTGGGGTTTATTATGCACTATAGAAACAATAGCCTTCCATAAGAACCAGCAGAGTGGCTTTTTCTGAGCCAGGTGATGCCTGCATGTAATGCTCTCTATTAGGTCACAAGACAGAGATAGCAACCCATAATAGCATAGTTCTGGTTTGCTCTAGGCAACTGTGGAGCTCTTCTTCAGAACCTCATTACTCTTACTAGCTAACCAGAGTTCCTGCTTCATTCAAGATTTGTTACTTGAATTTTGATCGGCATTGTATAAAACAGGCAACTTTTGCAGTTAGACATTAATTAGGGTTTTGGGTTTAGCATGTTGTCTGTCTGGGTGCGGGAAGTGTGGATCAGTGGGTCCACTAATGCATGCTTGTCACCCAGTAAGTTTGGTAAGCAGAATAAAACCATACCCCTGGTAACCAATCAGAAAGCTCAAGTTGAGCAAGCTATCTATTTATCATGTTCAGTGAAACCCAAACATCTGCTAACCTATCATATGGACGTCATTGTAGGCTCTCAAACGTATGATGCGGGATTGCGGACATATTGTACATCAGTAAGACATTTTCAAGTGTTTCTGCTTTAATGGGATAGATGAGGAGAAGCCAATAGCTCAGCAACATCCTAAAGGAGATGTCAGTGGCCCTTGATTTACAAGCACATTGGTGCGACCATTATTAGACAACAGTCCAAGCTAGAGATCTGAAAACAAGTTCGACTAAAGATAAAAATGTAGAAGCCCTTAATCCTATATGTCCTTATTCTACAACAGTGAAGCTAGCAAAACCCTGCAACACAAGAAGAATTGGCTCCATGTCACAGTCTCCCACTAGCTCCATAAGGGAAAGCTCACATGTCCTAGAGCTTAACTATGATTCTGTTGAGTGTTATACTCTCATAGTAGGTAAATAATTCGCTACATAATATAATTCATCAGATTAGCCTTACTCTTATATTGTAAGCTATTTATTATGTTTATGAAAGTTAAGGATTGCAATGGATTTTGCCAACAGACATTACCTAGTTATGCCATAGGTATTTCTGCATTCTACATTACCCTAATTAAGATTAGTAGTCTAGTGTAGGTAGTATAGTGAGAATAGTAGTAACAGTCTACCTATGTAGCTAATCAGGCTACTTGATTTCAAACAGCATTACTCCAGTTAGAAGGGTAGCTCCCAACTACTGTTGCGCTAACTGAGTCAGTTGGTAGTAACTACGTAGGTCTTGTTAGGCCAACATACCATCCCTGGGGGTTTAGACAGCTATTACCATCACCCAGTTCCTCCACTATATGCCTTAGTGCCTCTTCTGATCTTGTGGTCCCGATATCCCTGTTAATAAGGCATCTTAGCATCATATTCCTCAGCTATCTCTGTTAAGGTTATTGTCTGGAACCCCACTTCACCACACCGCTGGCTTGGCTGGTCCACCTTATGTACATACTAGTCCTTCTCAACCCAAAGAGGTAAGCGGACTTTGATAGCGACTCTGTGCTTTGCCACCTTCAAACTGTAGTTGAGCCTTGTTGCGTGTGTGGCCCGATGTCCTGTCCCGATGTCCTGTCCCGATTGTAAAATTCCTTGGCTGGCCCCACAACATACCCAACTGTGACGGCTGTTATCCATTATTTGTGGCGGTTTCTACAGTGCAGGAAGATCTGCCTCGCAGCCTTGGTGTTCAATTCGGAAAATTAAAGCCCTCAATCAGCCTAGCGACCATCTTACTATCTTGATATGTGGCGCCCTTTAAACCTCAGCACTATGCCATTCGGACATGTTTGTCGTCATGGCTGGTTCGATGACTTAGGCTGCTCAATTTTATGTTGCTGATCCCTGCAGGCATCTTTTGTGGCTCGGCATCCCCATGACTTAAATCTTCTCCCGCAGATTTGTCAGCTCTTTCTCGTATTGTTGGCAAACAGTCCACAGTCCGCTTCCCTCTATCTTGCCGGATATTGTTTGGACGGTTAGCTATCACTGCCTGATGCCTCAGGGATCGTCGATCTCTACAGGCTCTATTGTAACCGACAGACCCATCCTTCCGCTTCCGCGAACCCTGCGGCGCTTATACGCTTACGTCAAGCGCATGAAGGAGCAAGGAATGAAGTTTGGAATCTCATTGAGCGGCGACGTGACGTCCTTCGGTTATTTCAAGATACTAACTGGAAGCACCGAAGCAGTCACAGCATTGGTTGCAAACTTTGGTCTACGGATACACTTGGGTGCGAGTACTGGACCTTGGACATACCCTGGAGATCTTTCATTGACTTCGAAAACGAAGGTACCGCCAACCCACGGTCCTACACCACAATGATCTCGCGCTGTACCTTACCATAGTAGACTGGGCACCAATTCTCTATCACAAGTGATGGCTGTGCTGTCACCACCTCTCTATTAAGCTCACTATGTAGTACCTTCGTAGACCACTCATCTCTAGGAACTGTTTATTCCTGTAGGTACAGGCCTTCCTCCTTCGTTTCTTTCTTAATAGTCTATTAGATACCACCATGCTTCTTCTTGCTTCGATGATGCGCCCCAACGTCGCGCAAGCGGGGAAACGCAGCTGGATAGGTTGAGCCTGTACAGAGGCGAGCCAGCCAAGACACCATTCATCTTTGTGGCAAGGCTAGGTAGTTTCAGGTTCCCAACAGGCAACCCACAAATGCAAACACTTTATTTCTAACTGCCAGGCACTAGCCTTACATGAGTCAGTTCAGGGCAAGTGATGTCATGGAGCTGTGGTCTAGAGGGTTGGCCTATAAGCACGTCCTAGGGCTGGTGAGTTTATGTGGAAGAACCATTGGAACAAAGGTGTTGGGACTTGGATTAGCAGTTGATGGTTGAAGCTTGATTCCATTGAATGATTTTATTATGACTTCTTATTTCTGGCCTGCTTAAGGGGAAGTAACTAATGCTCCTTATGCCACATACTGTTGAGAAACCTCAGCAGGGCCTCTATTCAGATTCATCACTTTCCAGTTAGGTTGCGGCGAGAGAAGGACTATAACTTGGATAACGGCTACCAGATGGTAACTCTAGTCTATGCTCCAGAACGCTGCGCAGAAGCTCAGTGGTAGATGGACAATACTGATATAGGTCAAGAGCTTGACATTTTTCCCTAGTTCCGTGGCCGCCCTGGATTATATGACTGCACTTCTTGAAGAGCTATACAGACATCCGTCAGTTCGACATATTTCACTACGTGAGTATGCACTTACACGGTTACACCATACCATCCCTATGGGATTTTGAATAATCTACAGTGCTAAGTACAAGTCGAGCATCCGCCTTGGATACCGCCATCTGACATGCTAGGCCAAGCACTTATCTTGGCCATGCATGCACTTGTTGTTTTGTCACAATGGTCTAGGTCGGAGCCACAGTCTCTAGAACAGCTCGGCCAGGAGCCTGCGTACATCCGCTTCCGACTTCTGTGCCAAGCATGCTACCTCGAAGCGCTTGATGCGCAGGAAATGATCCAAGATGGAGCTGTCAATCATTCCTCCCAGCTCTCCCGCTTCCTTCTCCAGAAGGTCCAATGCTGAGCTCAGATCCTTTGGCAGCGCTACCGTCTTGGAAGCATGATGGCTGCCATTCGTGCCGTTGGTGCCATTCGTGCCGTTGGTATGACCATCCCGACAGAGGGTCTGCGGAATCGCCGTATCCGACCACGAGAGCGGCATCTGGTGGCTAACTCCCAGCAGTCCGGCTGCCAGGGTGGCCGCCAGCAATGCCGCCGCCCCTAAGCTAGACGAGGGATGTCCTTACAGCGACTAAAGGATGATAGCATCCTTCTACCTCGCCTCTCTTGGCATACGAGATGCATCCGCCAGAGCCGGTTACTGGAGGGGCGACGAAGGCACCTAGTACTTGCTACTGCCTCGCTTCTCCTAGCGTCCTCAGGGGAATTCGTCGTAGCTCGCTGAACGACATTAAATCCCTCAATATGTGGACCACGTTGGATGGGCCCATTGCCTGGACCCAGACCGACGCAGTTCAAGTAGGGAACAGGCAGAAGCCGAGCAGAGCGGACTGTCATTCTCAATTGGTAAAGGGGAATCAGACTGCAACCCCCTGTTAAACACATTACTACGCTACTATTTCTACTCGCCTTTTTACTTGAGTGTTTATGGTTGACACCTCCTCTCGTCCAAGGTCGAAGCGAAGAATTGGCACCATGCACCGGTTCAAGATTCCGGCGGCCTCGCTCTGGATGTTATTCATCTCTTGTTTCTTGCTCTTCTTACCAATTCAGGCTCAGGACTGCAGTGCGCTTAGTCCATGTGCGACCGGTTGCTGCAACAAATTTGGCTACTGTGGCGTGGGTGACGACTACTGTGGCGCCGACTGTGTTGCCGGTTGCGATTACCGGCCTGAATGCGATGCGTCTAACCCTTGTGCAACGGGTTGTTGCAATAAGTTTGGGTATTGTGGTTTAGGACCTGACTGTACGTATGCCCTTGCCTCGGAAGACAATGTTAACTGGGACCACATAGACTGTGCAAAAGACGTGTGTGTGGCCGGCTGCGATAGCAGAGCCGAGTGCGATCCGGGTGGCTATGGAGAGTTTGCGGATAGCGCGAAGTGCCCGTTGAATGTCTGCTGTTCTAAGTTCGGCTTCTGCGGTACGACGAAGGAATTTTACAGTACTAAAAAGGTGAAGCACCCTTCATGTTCCAAGAACAGCGGACTCAGCCGTGTCATCAGATATTATAAAGGGTGGAGCATGAGGCGACCCTGCCATAGCTTCTATCCTAAACAGATCCCTATGGGAGTCTACACTTATCTGAATTATGCATTCGCCTCCATTGACCCAAAGACATTTGAAGTGCTTCCGCCTAGCACATATAAGAAGGATTTGATGAAGCACCTAACAGCCCTTAAAAGGTCCAACCCTAATCTAAAGGTCTATATTGCTGTGGGTGGCTGGACGTTCAATAATCCCAGACCGACTGCTACGGTTTTTTCTGATATTGCATGCTCTGAGGCCAATCAGAAGGCTTTCTTCAAGTCTTTGATTAGTTTCATGTCAACGTACAACTTTAATGGTATCAACCTGGATTGGGAATATCCTGTGGCTGAGGATCGAAGTGGCTGACCTAAGGACTACAAGAATTTCCCTTCCTTTATCGCCAACCTAAAAAGGGCGTTGAAAGCCTCGGGCGGTCAAGATAGGCTTACTATCACTCTTCCTACCTCATATTAGTATCTGCAAAACTTTGATATTGTTAACTTACAGAAGGATGTGGACTTTTTCAACATTATGTCTTATGACCTCCATGGGGCTTGGGACAGAAACAATAAGTGGCTTGCGCCTGAGTTAAATTCTCACATGAATTTGACTGAGATCACGAACGCACTAGACCTGTTATGGCGGAACGATATCAACTCCGAAAAGGTTGTGCTGGGCCTGGCATTCTACGCCCGTGTGTTCTCTGCCATGAGCCCCAGCTGTATGAAGCCAGGATGCACCTTTCAGTCTGGAGGAAATGCAGAAGTATGTAGCAATGAGGTAGGAATTTTGCTAAATTCAGAGATTGTTGAGATCATGAATGACCATCAAGTGAAGCCCACCTTGGACAAGGATGCCGCTGTGAAGATCCTCAAGTTCAATAACAACCAGTGGCTGACATATGACGACGCAGATACCTTTAAGTTGAAGGCAGAGTTTGCACATGGGCAGTGTCTGGGAGGTGTTATAGTCTAGGCTGTCTCTCACAATCTTCCCTACGGCAATTACTCCAGGGCTTTAGGTGAAGTCGCTAATCACAAAGTCAAGGCACTTGCTATGAGCACTGTGACAGACAAATTGGAGACCCACAAAGTTCACCAGCAGTGTAAGTGGACAAATTGTTTCAAGAACTACCCTGCTGGCTGGACCCTGATCACTCACAGTGATAGTGGCGCGCGCAAGGGAGAAGGTATGTTAGACAACACTAGCTGTAGTCAGCGCGGAGACCATCTCTTCTGCTATCCCCCTGACTCACCTCTTCCAACTTGCGGCTGGTATGGGCACCGCAATGGTAAGTGTAATGGGAGAGGGAATTGCCCAGAAAAAACAGTGGAGATCAGATCTCATAGTCAGGATTGTGAAAACAACAATTACCAGGCAGCATGCTGCACTTTCAACACCCCAAGCATGAAGCTCTATTCTCAGTGCACATGGGCCGAATCTCCCAAGTGCAATGAAGGGGTGTGCCTGAATACCTTGGTGGCAGAGTCAAGCACAGGTAGTGGGGGGACTACTGCAAATGGAAGACCTTTAAATATACCTGGAATAGGCAGGAGGCCACCTATCAGGAGAGAAAGTACTGCTATGACCAAAAGGATGACACCAAATGGGAGGACTGTGAGTAGTTTAATAACATCAGAATCTTTTCCGTGGACAGTGCCGCCGTAGATGGATACTGTGCTAGCAGCTGCCCCAACGACCGTGTAAGAGTGGCCCTGGAAACCAGAAATGGCTGTGAGGGAGACAGCAGCCAAGCCTGGTGTTGCAAGCCCAAGTATATTACACTCAGCAAGCGCTCTTACACAGATGCGGAGACCAGCTTGGAACAGAGTGTGAAAGAGTTCATGGATGATCCATCCTGCGGCATAGACAACTATTGGAAGCGCGATCTGGTGCTGGATGACTACCTTCTCAGGAATGTCACGTCTTGTACGTAGCTGACGCGTTCTAGAGCATCGAAGGAGACTAACCCAGAACCAGATGAATTCAGCAGCCTGTCAGCACTTGTACGCCGCGCGAGCAGCAAAGCCCAGGAGGCTATGCAAGATCTTCTCAGCACGCTGCTCTTATCATACACTGTCTCAGAAGCTTCACAAGAGATCTGGAAAAGACATGTTATCTCCCTTTATCCAAATCTCACTGTGGAAAAGATCCGGGCTTATATGACCAGGGCCCGAGATTGGGTGCGAGAGGGATCCTGGCGGCTGGTAGATCTCATAGTATGCAATATGTCCTTCTACAATGCGGTGCTGGGAGACGTAGATGCGATTATATGTCCTATTCCGGACAGACACTGGGACGACGATCCTGAAGGTGACCTCAAAGATGACGCCGAAGATGACCTCGAAGCCCGGGATCTGGAGAAAAGATCCTCCCGATCATTTACGCGCACCATTGGCGGCGCAGTGTGGATTGTGCGGTCATTAGCTGTGAGTCTATCGTCATCTAAAGCTCTATTAACTACTAATGTGCATCTGCTTCTAAAATGCAGTATAGAAATAGGGGTCGGTGGCCACGCGATAACGCTATCTGGAGCGCGGGATATGGATTTCAAGACAATGACAACTGCTTGAGTACAGATATTGGAACTCGGCCAGTTACTCGACAGAACGAGGAAAACTTCGTGGTGGAGCATGTCCCTGAATTACAGACTGTTGCTGATTTTGTCGAGGATGCTCATAATGGTGTTGTGCCTTCTGGAAGCGCACCGTACCCTCCCCTCTCCGCTGATTTCATCCGGCAAGGTTTGGATGCACCGATACTTAGGAATCCACCCCCTATGAGGGGAGGTGCCCAATCGGATCGGCCCATCGTGCGGATGATGAACGCACTTGGCAGCACAAGAAATGACAGAGGGTTCGTTCTACTCGATGGTGAACTGAACCAGGTAAAGAAAAACGTATGTAAATGATCAATACTACAGACACCTAGAGCATACTGACAACGTCCAGCTTTGGATGGGGAACAAACCTTACAATGACAAAGATATGGAGAGTGCTGTCAAGGATGACAACTACACAGCTGCACTAAACAGCATGCGAGCGGCCATTGCGGTTATCCATTACTTGAACCATCCTGTCATCAACTCCCACATGGCAAGCTCGCTAAATGAAGTTCGTTCAGAATTAGGCCTAGCCAATAATAGGTGGGCGGACCTCGGCAACCGCAGAGAGTATGCACAAGAGTGGTGGAGTATATGGGTCAGGGACCATTTCCATCAAGTGGGCCTTCATACTCATAGCTGGGTTGACAGATGGGCCACGGCAATGGACAGGTATTGGGCGACACGGACAGGACTTACGGCGGTGCAGGTACGGGAGATCCTTCGCACTTTAAGGGACACAGATACCACCATAAACCAGGATGATATAGATTAGATTGTACATATGAACATTGACAGCGCGTGGTGGAATATTACCTTGGCATAGTGCCAAGTCTCTTGGCAAGGCAGACGGAAAGTATAAGTAGCCACTCAATTTCCAACCCAAACCCTCCCTCCTATCCTAGGCTTCATTAATTGCCCGGTCTAGGGAGTTTCTTTCCTCCGGTTCCTATCTCTCCTATATTTAATTACAAAGAACATGGTGCCCACTCCTTCCAAACGTCTCATAAATAGGCTTCGACTCCCTAAAGCACCATCCTGGGGTTTCGTGATTTACCGCACCACATACAGCCCTCAATCCTACCGCCAATTTCCCCGAATCATCGAACTAACAAATTCCTGCATAAAACGGGAAATCCTCGAAGAATATGCATGGTGTAAAGACTACTATGCCGGACCCCCGAAGAACTCAAAAATGGCTACCAGCTGATCAGCGCCAAACACCACCCCATCATCATCGAAGACCGCACCCGGCTCAATGGCATCTCGCTCCACGGCGTGCGATCCCACTACGAATCCTGGATCGATGACTACGCCGGCGGTAGAGGAAGAGAGAACTATAACTGGGGCTACTCTACGCAGCGCCACGTGTGTCTTGTCGTCGACGAGGAGGTGTGTCAGGCCTTAGGAAACGCCGATGAGAGACTCATCGGAGAGGCCGCGGGGAGTATTATAAAAAGTGGTGGGTGAAGGCCGTTGAACCTTGGCCGGAGATTGACGAGGTGGAGCGGGAGGCCACTGGCTTTGATGGGACGATGAAGGTCTCTGTTTTTTCGCTTTTTTGCTTGTGGACTGCTATGTACGATCCGTACCCCATGTGGATGCTGAGAAGGGATGCGAATGGGTTATATACTGGCTGAAATTATACCTAATCAAGGGTTAGATAGTACCGTACGGAATATGCAAAGCAAAATCACGGTTTATGAAGTAGCAGCAGAGACTGTGTTTATAGCAGAGACGCTGCTGAACCTTTCTCGTCTACCTGTACTCTAGCTAATGTATATCGTTTCCGGGACGCTCCCATTGCGAGCCTCTCTTCTCTATATAGAGGTGGAGAACAAGGAACAGCGATGATTATATTTTTATGTACCTGTTATATAGTACCTAGATTAAGCATCTCATTAATGAACACAGAAAGGATTTTGATCAGGGCCAGGATGTTAGGAAGAAATCCTACAAAAGCCCTATGTTAATTGTGCTATTTATAGCAAGCTCTTGTTCTTCCCGGAAGCATCTGCTTTCAGGATATCCAATGCAACCTATTGTTAGAGCCTTTACTACGGTTATTAGTTGTCTTCGGGAAGACCGTTTGCCGAGATGGCCACGTACGCCATGCATGTACAGTCGTTATATGGCAGGATGAGTTCGCAATTCTCTTTAAGCGCCTGATATCACAGCACTTTGAGGTGATAGGACCCCTTATCACGGAAACGCCATGATGGGCGGTTTTGAGTTATTTATACATTGTTCCAGGGATTAGTCCTTAATAACCTCTTGTGGCCTGAGACTTGGCATTTAATGGGCACAACGGTGACTCTGCTCCAGCATCAGCACGACCCTATGCCAAGAAATAGTATAGGACTCACCAGCCGAACTATTAAACAACATTATTTGATATATAGATCATTGTTTGAGTCTGACAAGTACATACTACTCGAGCCCTAACCCCTTGACATGTCGGAACTTCTAGAGCAATAACAACGACAAATTAATACTACTATGGTTTCACCAGCCAGCCATTCTAGACATTCCCTCCATCGCAAAGTAGAACCTCTGGTGACAACTCAAGTTGTAATAAGCTCGTACGACTTAAGGAATAGGTATCAAGTGAAGGTGGATATTGGTATAACTAGTGCTCCTTAAGAGTTGCTAAAGATAGGAAGCATCAGAACATGACTTCCATAATCAGGGCACTTTGGCTCACCGCCAGCTTCACCGCCGTATCTGGCTTTTAAGGCCGCGTACCTTTTTGAAGTTGCAGCACCGTAACGTCGATTCAGCTGAGACCTCAGACGAGAAAGATATGTATCCTATACAACAGATGGCCTACGGAAAACACTACATCCCACTCGAATCCAACCCAGTACTCTTCACGCACCTTATTCATCAAATAGCGTGTCACCTATTCTAGCATTTCATGATGTCTTGTCAGTGGACGACCCAGAGCTTCTTGCGATTACGCCACGTCCTGCGCTGGCGCTGGTTCTGGTTTTTCCAACTTCAAGCGACTATGAGAAGAATCTAGAGGAGCAAGGGAGATTAATACCCGATCATTACGAGACAGGGGACGGTGAGAATGTTATGTGGTACAAACAGACAATCAACAATGCCTGTGGGCTTTACGCTATTTTTCACGCGGTTAGCAACGGCGACGCGAGAGATCTTATCAGTAAGTAAAACATTTGAAGATAGTGATCAATGAGATAAAGATTCTGTAGCCCTGAAATTACCACTCATGGCTTTCTAATTCACTTTTCTCCTGTCGTTGGAAGGGCCGTTGATGTTTATAATCTACTGATTCGTCGGAAATCGTATCTTTCAGTTCCAGACTCTCACCTATCTCATCTGCTTGAGGTATGCCCGTCATTAAATCCAATGGAGCGCGCCCGGGTCATTGAAGATGATGCCGATTTAGAAGCAGCCTATAAGGCAGTATCTCTGCAAGGCGATTCAGAAGTCCCTGAGAACCCTGAGGATGAGGTCGATTTCCATTATGTCTGCTTTGTCAAATCTCATAGGAATGGCCATCTCTATGAATTGGATGGAGATCGAAACGGACCAATAGACAGGGGGTTGCTAGGTCCAAATGAAGACGTCCTTTCAATGAGTGGACTTAGTGTGATCCAAGAGTTTGTCCAAAGAGAAAAGGAAAGGGGAAATCAATTTAGTTTACTTGTTTTAGCGCCGCAGTAAGTTCATTACTTAGGACCAGTGAGTGGCCTACCGAGAAGAAGTTCAGCCCGCAAGAGGTGTAGTTTATTACCTTTCATTCTAGGAAATAAGCCTCCGTGGTACACCAGTGACGAGTATGAATACGATCACACATCTTCAGATGATGGAGGCTGTTCGTCAAGACAATCTGTATGATCATCCGAATAAGAGTCACAAGGTTGGTTGTCTTCTCCAAACTCGACCTCGTGCACTTCGCGCAAGCTATGATGCCGAAGAAGACGTCGGACCCCCTCGTCAAATCCAGCCCCAAGGGATAGATCCATTGCTGACTGATTGTCGTCGGTCATTGAATCCCAATCGAGCTTATTACTTCCAAATAGAGCAAGCTCTTGAATAACACCGTAGTGATTCCATGAGGCAGCAACATGTAGAGGTGTCCACCCCTCGTGGTCAACAGCATTGACATCAACTCCCTCCCTGAGCAGTAATCTTACCACCCGAAGGAACCCATCATTTGAACTTTGGAAAGCCGAATCGGCGATGATCAGATGCAGCAGAGGGGATTTTCCCTGAAGGGACTGCCTCAACTGGTGAGGATTTGCTCCGTACCTGAGCAGTGATTCAACTGCGCCTGCCCAGCCGTATTCAACAGCCCATGCAAGTGCCGTCCGACCACAGGAATCAGGAGCGTCAATAATTGCAGGTAGTAACTTAGCTTGCCCAAAAGACCCCAGATAATCTTCCAGTGTTCTGAAGCGCCGCTGCAACCCGAGAAGAACTTTATGAAGGGTTGTGAATTCACGACTCTCCACGAAATCACTGAGGAGGCCAACGGTCATGATCCAAACATATTGCAGTACCAGCCAATAAGTACACGCTTTTCACATAGATGCCGTCTGGAGTGCTTGGAGGTCTTCCCGAATCCTTGGAATGGAAACATCTGAGGGACGTCTGGATTATAATAATGACATTCGCGGATATGATGGCTGTCTCGCTGGATTTAAACCGAACGTTTTAGTTGCCAAGGTGTCAAGAGACTCTTTAAGGCTAAAGTTTGAGACCACGTGACCATATTGTCATGCCAATTTGACAGTGTCCGCAAGCCCACCCAATGTGTGTTGTGTCATGGGTCGCACCCATAAAGCGCAAAAATTGCGGCAGACCGACGAATTCCACCACGCGAGAGAACGTAGCAGATTTGTGCCAGAAGAGGTACCTAAAGCGTCAAAGGTTTGGCAATGCAGAGTCGTTTTTGGCTTAGGACCTGGGATGAGGGCTGGCGCTGCGCAGATACAATTGTTCAGCTGGGTCCATTTCCCTGGCTCTGCATTCAAGACGCCATGGTCAGATTCCTATAACGGCTATAATGCCAAACAAAGATCGTGCCCGTTTCTGAAGTACACGCCATTTGCATCAGACCACCAAGCCTCTGTAGCTGACTAGTCATGGGCACCCGTCAAGATTAGCTGAGCTCATGCTTCTGCGCTTTTCCATCGGACGGTCAATATACTAGATAAATTCTTCCCTGCCAGATTTTCCGATCTGGAGTACCGGTCAAAGGAAGCAATGCAAGTATGGTACTGCTACACTTTTGTCCAAGGTGCGCTACCCGGGTATCTGCATCGGAAAGATGCGAGAGACGGTACAATAACGGAAAAGGACACCCTAGAGCGCGTCTACATACCTGTTAAAGTAGGCCAGTGCCTGATATGCAAAGCTTGTTGGCGATATGGTCCCGGAAACTGGATACCAGATCAAAAATATACATCGAGGAAATTTCATATTCTACGTTATGCGGGTATTGCAAACAAGACATTCAGGGGCACCAAAGCCCTCCAAGCTCTCGCAGGTGTCTGTTGTCATTCGAGACACGGCCGCCCCAAGCAGAGATGCGGATGCGGAGTAGCTTCTGATCTTATGCCTGTATCTTTGTAGCTAGGACAATCCGACAAGTTCCACGGAAATAAACCTCAAAACCTGAGACTTCAGAAGATGTCTAACAGCCGACCTGTTACCTTAGCTTAGAAAAGAATTACAGCAGATGGTTCAGAGGTGTTTGGTGGTCCCCGCTTGGAGTTTCGGTGTCCCTACCAAAGATATGGGCGACAAGTGGTCTTGCATGGTATATATTCCCTGACTAGAAAATAACAGTATTTAAAACAATTGTATGCTTCTGCTTGAGAGAATCTTGACTTTGTCTAGAGGCCAGGATTCATCCATAAGCGATGACAAGTGAACTCAGGCGTATTATGACAATCTGTGCTCCCATTAAGAGCAAAATAACTTTGTCAGAAATGATCACAGGATGAACTGTTAAATAATAGCTAATCCTTATTAGAGAACTAGGTTTTAAGTTCACATGCCACAGAAATATCCAGCTGCTCCTGACCTTGCAGTGGTTGGGAGATCTTAAAACTATGGGATACATATGCATTGGAGATATTTCGCGCAAAACTACTATTATTAAAGGTAGTGAAGGCTATTTCCCCTTAGCAATTGCTTTCTGTCCAAGCTCTGAGTCTTAGTTGGTCATGGTCATAATATTCCTGAAAATGTGTAAGTGTGAAGCACACAGTTAAACAGTCACCTGATATACTGGATAAGAGTCTCTTTGTTGATCTTGACAAGCCATTGCTGGAATATAAGCTACAACAGTTGCAATTAATGTCGGTAGCCTCATTTTCAGTTTTAGGAAGACAACTATTGAGTACACGTCTTCTTTATGGCATTGCACAATGCGGTCACTTATATGTAGTGCTATAGAAAAAGAACCCCTATCAATGGATCTTTGTGCACGCTGCTTCTGGCGTGGCTGCATGCTAGTTGATAGCTATTGGCTCAGGAAGGCCAGCCCTCATAGACCTTATATTTAGCACCAACCATAATCATAAGGATAACATTTTATGAGTACTAGAGACCATGGCATTGTCTGAACCACTGCTCCGTCCACTGTCCACAATCAGCGCAGCAGTACTTAGTAAAACAGAGACATATAATGGTCATTCATCCTTAGATTATACCCGCTGTTTGATTTCATTGGCTGTTTACCTATTTCACAATGCTACAAAACACTTTGAAGCTAATTACCTTTGCATTATCCGCGGCTGCCTTGATATGTTTAGCTGTGGTCTTAAGGGATGTAGATCTACTTCATCACCCAGTGATCTATTTTTCCTAAAGGTAAGGAAGTGCACCAATTCTTAAAGTTAATCACTAATAGATCACAACCCTTTAGATAGATTGGACAAGCTTGATACAACGGAGAATCATTCAGTCATTCAGTCTGTCTGACTAGGCATCTAACCTCACAGACTCAGCCTATGATGCATTAACCCATGCTAGTAGCAGTCTATCAGACCTGTGGAGCAAGATTCAGTCAACTTTACCTGACTATTATGCAGTGGGGCTCTGGGGATATTATAGCAGCAAGGAAGGTGCATCTAAGTATTCAGGTTACTCCACGCCCATGTTAGTATTTTTATTTAACTTAGTGATAATATTAGAGTCTAATGCACTAGGTACAGCTTTGCTACTTCTAGATGCAAGCAAAGCTGTGCTTTCTAGGCTCTTGAAACTTTCTAGATTGACTATTACAGCATATATTATTAGAATAACTGCAACCACCCTAACTATCATAGTGGAGCTCTTTATAATTATATTTAAATAGGGAGCAGTCCTAATACTTATATGCTTGCTTATAAGCTAATCTACCCAGGGGATAAAAGAGCAGAAAACTAACCTGCTGGTAGGTTGCTTTAATATCCACTGTTGCTGTATTAGTCACAGTGACAATCCTGTACAGCTTGATATCTGGAGGGATCTAAACCTCTCTAGGTGATATTAGGGTTCATTCTTAACTTAGGCCACATATATTGGCTGCAATGTGGCTAGAGAGCACTTTTTCTTTGGGAGCTTCTCTTCTTTTAGTGTTAGGCGCCTGCTGCCTATGTTTTTAGCATAGTGGTACCGCGCCTGCGAACTCCCCATGTCTTCCAGGTTTATAGATTAAGTAGGCGCAGAGTACTATAGTACTGAAGAGAACACTAGAAGGTGATTAGATGAACTTAATCACATCATCCTCTTAGGAAAGTTCTTTAGTTTGGCAGGAGAGACTGTTGAAAATATTCCGCAAATAATATTCTAACTATGCTTATTATCTCTGCCCAGCAAGCCTATGATTTACTGCCTCCCAGCAAGTGATTTTAGCTTATACCTTTTGAGATCTGGATTATAGCAACTGGGTGTTGTTCTACAGTATTATTTTCTTAGTTTTCCCCTGCACATCTGTAGCCTTATTGTTCGGCATTACATGCTAGTAAACCTGTGGGTGCTCATATACTGCCATGGAAATTCTTCACCCAGATCGACTCGAATGGCTGTTGGTGCTAGTGGTAATAATTTTGGGACCAGCGGGCCAACCTGTAAAGACATCACAAGGACTGGGCTTATAATAGAAGAGATGCATTGTGCCAGTCATATCCCGCTGGTGTGACTCATAAGAGCTATGGAAAGAATGTAGTAGGTCATATATAGCCCTATTATCAAGGATGAATATTTGTTTCCCACTCCGGGCATTTCTAAATGAACAAGACACATTATCCGATCATTGTGCGCTTTAAAACCACGGAATGAAGACCACGGAATGATCCGACCCCTATGATCAGTCCTGTGGAATCAAAGGCCCTCTTTATGACCAGGGTGCGTACTGGCATTATCTAGTGGGTAGTCCTATCACGAACTGACGCATTTTTGGAACTAAGCTCGGTAATATTAGATGTTTAATATAAAGAGAAACATAAGAGAGATCAGACTTACTGGATCTGCCACGTGAACCATAATAGATTTTATTGAGATAGACATGCTACTACTTGCATTGCAGTTCCTGAGAGCTGGAGCCAATAGTTCCAGCACCTCGTTAGTGTGAACAGATATTGGCGTGGAAGCCTGTAAGCCTTATTAAGACATCATCCTGACAGTGAAATCAGTAGACCTACCATGTTTTGTAGGTAGATTGTAGTTCTTTGCAGTGTCGCTATGTTACTGCATCCTTCTGGGTACATATGTTGGAAGCCATGCCCCTCTAGAAAGGGGATAATTATCTCAAGGTGGGACCTATTAACATTTGCATTGGCAGATTTGCATAATATCTGAGGCTATTCTTGCTATCAGCCTGTGGCTGCAAACTTAGATCATGCATAGGTACATACTGTTTCTGTGCACAGTGTTGTTGTAAAGGCCAGTATATAATTTACTATGATCAAAATGGATAACATGTTGATGGTTAAACTTGCAAGTATAGTTCTGGATTGAGGACTCGTAGGGGATACTAAGCCTCTGCTCTAAATTTATACATGATGTTTCATTTACCAATATTTTGCCTTTGTTTGCCTAACAGTGGATTGTAGATTGCAAACAGTCCCCAACAGTAGCTGGAAAGAGCCACGCCAGATTTGGCGCGCATTGCTGAGTGGGGCTCCTCATGGTTCTAGTGTTGAACTTTAAAAAACCAGATACCATTGCTGCAAATCCCTATCACCACAGAACAGAAGGAAAACGAAATACTTGAACTAAAATATACATTCTAGTCCTGGGATGGGAAATCTTATCTATACCTTAGTATATGGAGCATCACAGTGACACAGGGCGGAGAAGATAAGGATGCAAGCTGATATCCTGCCTTTTGCTATCATACGTGCTATATACTCTTTATTTGATGACGAACATACTATGTTTAATGTAAATAGTTTTGATTTCCATCTTGAAAAAGGGCAATCTCATACTTAGACTATATGACTTTGTGGAGTGCCGGCGAGAGTGCACAGAAAAACGAAAGAGGACACTACCATTTCTTCAGAGTCGTACCTGAACAATATCCATTGCAACTCTATGAAGAACCAAACTGGCTTATCAACATTGCTAGATGAGTCCACATAATTATAGAAGCCACTAATAGTATGGACCTTAAATACAGCACTAATTATATCACAGCAAGCTGAAATCATAGGCAAGCAGGAAATCTTCAGGAATTAGGCTATTGCCATCCAATACCTAGATAGTAGAATGCTCATTATGGACCCCAGAAAGCTCTTTCATCTTGCATAACACTCTCCCCAATGTTTCATGAAATGAGGGAAGCTTGTCTTGTCCATCATCCTCTCCTAAAACCACCCTGATACCAGCCACCACCTGGTCCATGTCTGTGCCTTACATTAGGCCTTCATGGGCGAAGATACTGCGTACACTACCACTCAGAAGCTAGAAAACTTCAATAGCATCTAGATACTGACATGCTATCTCATCTAATAATGCAACAAGATAACTATCACTTATATAAGTATCATTTCTGCAGAGAGTTTAGTCTTCTCCAGGCGATGAAGGCAAGTAATCATACATATAAATATAATACCAGTCATTTTCTAGCAACAAGAAGCACTCTAAAAGATAGTTTTAATACTGCTAAGAGCCAACATTTTGCATGTTGATTCTCCTTAAGGTATTAGTGCTGATGCTTATACCACACCTCACTTTTCACATTATCCTAATCTGCATAGATACGCCTCATCGTGCTTTCAGTCACAGAAAAAATTCTGTTTTAAGCCTAAGAGTGTGTTTGTTCTGCGTTCTTTAATTTAGTAGAACTCTCTAAATATATGGACTGAGTAAATCCCATATAATACATAAGTCTTATCAGATAGAACCAGACTCTCTGAGCCATTGCCAATAGCTCTAGATTGCAAACTTCTATTAAGGGGCAAGGATTGTAGTTAATAACAATGCCCACTGCCCCATGAAAGATAAATCTATGTTTTTACCAGAAAGGTAAATATATTTAGAGAAATGAGGCAGAACAATGATGAATGAGATCTGACTAATAAGGGATTAGGCTCTAAACCTCTCCTAGCAGCCGCAAGCAAGGTTGTTTTGCTCTCACAACCATGTCTAAGTGGTGGTTAACAAGACCTTCTAGATAACCTTCTGCCAGTTTCTGCATTATTAAAGTTCAAGTGCTGTTATCTTTGAACATGTAGGCAAAGGAATATGGGTTCAGAATCTCATCCCCCACTATAGCAGGAGAAAGTTCATCATTTATTACAGCAAAGGGAATGTGCATTTCGCTTATGCATCTTAGTTCAGGCTAATATGATTAAAAGCTTTTCTTATCCACATAATTCTGCGTTTGTGAATGCCGGGCTGATTTTGGAGTGTGCTAGATTTAAGATTATAAATAGCTGGGTTGAACTTCGTCCAATCAGTGCTTTTGTGTTATGAGACACAAAGGAAGTTAGACATAGTGAAAGATTCTGTATGGATGGTCTCTTATAGATAATTTAGTCATACATAACTCAGATTGGGTATAGTTATCATGGGCAATGATTTAACATTTAATGCAAAGCATTGTGAAAATAATCATATCTCAGGATCCCAGCTATATGCAACAGCTCCTAACTAAGATTCTGATTATTATAGTTAGAGAACTTTCACTACTTAACTCTGTTAAGTACCTCTTATTTATTAACTAAAGACTTTGCATGATTTATAGTCCATATCTTTTCTAGAAGCTGAATATCCTATTCTCCCTTACTAGCCTAGAGCGCTTGTGTCACATCTCCTTATCACACCTAGTGGTGCATGTAAGGACTCTTCACTATAACGTAACCCACGGCCGAGCCGCGAATACGACCGAACCGCGAATTTTTTATTGCCCCCGCTGCTCTCCCAAATCAACATTCTTCAACGCGTCATTTTTTTATTATCTCCATACAAAATGCCTTTATCTAAGGAAGCCCGTCTACAAATGGCAATTACTGCTTGGAAAGAGAAGAAAGTTAAATCAAAATTAAAAGCTGCCCAGATATATGGTGTACCTGAAACTACCCTTCGCGAATGGCTTGCTGGCGTCAAACCACGATCAGAAACACGTGCTAACGGCCATAAATTAACTACTATTGAAGAAGAATCCCTTGTTAAGATACTACTAGATGCAGATAAATGAGGCTTTTCAATTCGCCCAGAGTTCCTGCGTGGAATGGCGCAGATTCTACTTTGTAAGTGCACACAGGACCCTACTGCAGTCCTTGGTATCAACTGGTCTTATTCCTTCACTAGAAGACGCCCTGAACTATGTACAAGATATAATCGGAGGATTACATACCAGCGTGCAAAGCAGGAGGATCCTAAGGTCATAAAACAGTGGTTTAAGACTGTCCGTGAAGTTATCCAGGAGCATGGCATACATAAAGATGATATCTGGAACTTTAATAAGACTGGCTTTGTAATGGGGCTTAGTACTACTTTAAAGGTTATTACATCAGTAGAACACAGTGAGAGACCTTGCAGAGTTATCCAGGGAAACCGCGAATGGGTTATAATTATTGAATGTGTGGGCTTAAAAGGGATCTCTATCCCACCAGCAGTTATCCTAAAAGGGAAGGAACACCCAGCTGCTTGATATTAAGAACTTAATCTTCCTCTAGACTGGAGGCTTACTAATAGCACCAATGGCTGGATAACAGATGAGATTGGCCTTAAGTAGCTAAAGCATATATTTGACCCCTTTTCAAGATAATATTTAACTGGTGCAAAAAGGCTACTTATTCTGGATGGCCATTCAAGCCATCTATCTGCTGAATTTGATGATTTCTGCAAAGGGAATGCAATTATCTGTCTCTGTATGCCTGCGCATACATCTCATCTTCTCCAACCCCTAGATGTTGGGGTTTTTGGGCCTCTTAAGCGCGCATATGGGAAACTAGTTGAGGAGATGATGATGGCTGGAAACAACTATATTGATAAAGAGGATTTCTTATATCTATACCCTCCTGCACGTGAAGTAGTCTTTACTTAACAGAATATATGCAATGGCTTTACAGGAGCTGGTCTTAATCCACTTGATATAGACTGGGTCCTTGCTAAGATTACCTTTCAACTCCGTACGCCAACACCACCTCTTATTGATATTGAAGGGTCAATATCTTCTGCTTTTCAGACACCCCAGAATGCTCGCCAGCTTGATAAAAAGGTCCGCAGTCTACAGAAAAGTCTTCAGAAGAAAAGGACACTTTCTAGTAGTCTGATATCATATATTCAGTATCTTAAAAAGGCTGCGCAGATGGCAATGAATGCAAACCTTCTTCTATAACAAGAAATCAAGGTTCTACGGGCTGAGAATGAGCGGAAAATGAAGAAGAAGGTAAGGAAGCGTATTAATCTAGGGAATAACCTCTTTATATCTGTGCAGGAAGGTCGTGACTGTATTCAGCAGGTTGATGAGCAGGTTGATGAGCAGGTTGATGAGCCTATACCTATATCTCATCAGCGCGCTCCGCCAACCTGTAGTGGATGTTGGACTATTGGACATACTAGAAGAAGTTGCCCTAATAAATAGCCATATATTCCGCTAGTAGATAGTCTAATTAATGACGTTGGTGGTTGAAAAGCTTCAAAGATAGGATGATTTGCGGCAAAAATTCGCGGTTCGGTCGTATTCGCGGCTCGGCCGTGGGTTACGTTAAACCTATGGAGCTTATTAAGCCATGTTAGTCATCTACAAGCTATTTTTATACTCTAACTAATATACCCAGTCATCCAGCATCATAACTACTTCTGTAATTATATCTATACTCATTCTAAGTACACTTATGATTGAAGAGATGCTTACTAGAACTCTTATGGCACGCATATCTCCTACATAATAATACAGAACTACTTTAGTCGCCTAGCGGATGAACAACAACAAATACTTAAAAGAGGAAGAGATTTAGTCACCTTTCAGATATGCTTGCCATGTCTTATTAACTTAAAAACTATCTAACTATATTTTATTAAAGGGATGGAGGAGCCGTTCTATTAGTTTGCTAGCTATATTTTTATAGACTGGAAGGATTCCTTTCTAGACCATTTTAAGTCTATACTCCATGCAATGGTCTGAGCAAAGGATAATAGCATCACAATCTATACTTTTCAAATCTCAGGATTTTATTCAAGATTATTAGTATCTAACTCTGAGCTTCCTAGCTTAGCTTCAGACGCTTTAAGCAGCATTAAAGACCTGCAGCTTATCAACAGCCTAAGCATGCTAGAATTCATGTCCCACCTACATTTACCCTCTTTACAGAGATTTACTCTGGAAAGCTGCTGGCTCTGGATACCAGAACTTGAATAATTCATCCTCGCTCATGCAGGGATCCTTTAGGTTTTACATTTATAGGACACATGGATTCAGTCTGAGATAATTCATAACTAGGGCATATTATTAAGCTTAGGAAACACCAAAACCATAGTTAAGGGGTTATCCAAGGTCTGTGCTGGAAAGATCTTGAGCCAACTCACTATTAACCAGGAAGGAGTGGATCAGTATGAATACCAGGAGATCTTTGATAGTGTATTCTCTAAATAAAATTAGTTACTTGATCATACTTATTGGCCGCCCTGTACCTTCTACTGGCTATTTAATAGCTGTACCTGATCCTAAGAAACCAGTGGGGTTCTTTGATAGTAGAGTATCCGGCATCTGTTTTCAATATCTCCGGCTGGCTTTTATTTTTTCTCGTTGGCTTTTGGTAGGCACAAGCTAATCTCAAATAGTGCTGTTGCCATGAAGGTTCATCTAATGGAATGGTATCTATACTTCCTAGTTTTGGCGCTCATTTCTTTGTGGGGCAGGCTTCCCAAACCATGATGACGTTCAGTTTGCAAAGTGGGGCATTTGATTTATAAATGAGCGTCGTCGTTGCTGTCCTCATATGCACAACATTGGTAGTATACTGGCATAGTAATGATAACCAATCAACTTAGAGTTACCATTAATCTTCGGACCAATACGTCCGCACCCTTCGGAAACATGGTTAGAGTATTTCTGCATGCTGATTTTGGAGCGGCAAAATCACTCCCTGTAAAACTATTCTCCGTACAGCTATCCTGCTGACTAGCTGCTAGAAGGAGACACAACACAATGAGCAAGAAATAAGTGGATATTCTAAGAAACTTCTTTTGCCTTAGCCACCTGAGAGAAGCAGTGCTTCCCTTTTCTCCCATCTTCCAACTTCTCAGCAGGAGGCGTCTTCTGGTGGGACATTAGACAGGATGCTCACATCACAGGCTATAAGAACACATTCTCAACATCCTTGAGTTAGTGCACAGAAAAATTTCTTATGCCATGCAATCAATTGTGGTCTATTATACAGCTGCTATTACAGCAATTACTACACTATTCATATTTAAATAAGCCTTTCATGCTATCTCTAATTTCTTCTTTTTCCATGTACGCCCCTAGTGTCTCATAAATTTAGAGTATGCACACATAAGCTTACAGCTTTTTAGTATAAAACTAGCGCTTTATTATTAACTCATTCTTCCCTCCACATACTTTGCGGGCACTGTAGTCTGCAATACCATAGGTATACACTCCATCTCTAAAGTAGGCATGTGTGCTGTGCAAATCTTAATAATAACACTTCTATTACTATGCTAGACCCTAGATTATGAGATTAGAGCATTTATTCTTAGCATAGAGCTTGTAACATATTAATTCATCCACCGCATCACTGCTTTTATAGTAGTTATTAAAGCAGCCATCCATGTTGTCATTACAGCTTAGCAGATCTATTTCTCTGCCTCTAACTCTTCTCAGTTTTATAGTCTGCTTGTAGGCTCTATTCTCTCTAACTACTTTTAAATATAGACTAAGTCTCGCAGGCAGGCTGTATATTTCTGTCACTAATTTTCCTTCTAATGGTTAAGCAGCATATATATGAACTTTTTTTAAGGGCCTATTAAGGATGCACTATCTTTATACTATATGTGATCTGGAAACATGTCTTATCTTCACAAAGCAAATATTAGGTGCTCCTTCTGGCAATACTCTCTGCTATGACTAGAGGGCTACAGTTCATCTGAATTATTTATTACAACATCCTAAGAGTGAAATTTCTAATAGAAAATTGTGGAGCTAATGCACTGCGACTAACTTTATCTTTACTGCGCCCTTAGAGAATTCATGCTGGATAATAAGTCTATGTTAGTATACCTAGAGCAGGGCTATTATACATATTCCATCTACATCTATTCACCATTGCCTGGTGGGAGGGTAACAGAAATGGTGGTATGTCTTCAATTATATTAATTATCTGAGCTTAATCTGGCTTTACTAAAAAGCTTCTTGATTGTATTAAATCTGGGTGTGAAGGCTGGGCCTAGATTAATGGACCCTATAGACCCTCTTATAACTCCATCTTTAGCTATTCTTCTAAGGTCAGAGATTATGGCCACATACTTATAGTGGTGATAGGGATGGGCATTATTGCCTAGCTTCTATATATTAAAGAGCTTGTGGATGGGTAATGCTAAGGTTAGGTATAAATATAAAGGATATTACTTATTTAGTGACTTAAGCAGGAGGATGACTATGAACTTACTTGTGACTTACTATAATCTCTTATTAAGTATGATAGTAGTTATGTCTGTAGCTCCTATAGTCTGATTTATCTTATGCTCCCTTCGTCCCTGCTCATATATTTCTCCTTTAATGATGTTACTTTCCCTCTTACACCACACCATTTCTGCCCATTAAAGTCCTGATTATGGTCTAGAGTGCCTGAAGCTAATGAACAAGACAGATGCTTAAGGTTATGGTCTATAACAAGATGATATCTCCATCAGAGGCCCCAGGGGCAGTTGGTCAACACGATCTTATAGTGGTATATGGTGGGGACATTAATTGGGAAGATGAGCTGTCAGCTGAGCTAGAGAAATAAATTAGTATACTCCTCATCATAGGTATTACTTCCTACTAGATTTGATTAATAATTTTGCTGTACTGGACTGACATTGTACATTGAGAAGTTTCTATGTGATATTCTATTTAAGCTAGTATAAGGAGTATTATAAAAAAGTATGTTTAGTAGAGGGTAGAGTTCTATGAACTTGAATTCTAGCCATAGGAGAAGAGCTGTGATTATTTATTATTATTTTAGCTATAGAGTGACGGAGAAGTTAACCATGTATATAGAGTATAGTATAGTTATTAGTTAATCAGCTAGTATATAGCAGTGACTGTCTTTCTGTTTCTTCTAATAACCTTAAGTAATATTAACCATAGACTTATGTAGGGGCCATAGGACAAAGCATAGATAGTACAGCTAGGCTTGGACTAGGGTTGCCAAATGTTACTTTGTATATACTTTCTTATAGTAGTAATAATAATCTTTATTAATAGCAGGTCCAAGTCATTAAACTTTATATAGATATAATACAGCTTAGGTTTTTCCTGTTATCACTAGTCACCTTACTGGGGAAGGGATGTCTGTTAGGCAAATAGATTCAGGTGGCAAATAGACAATCCTAAATATCTGCTACTACTCTATCATAACATATAGGCTTGTCTAGTAGCTGAGCGTTCTAACAATATTGGAGTGTCTTTGAAGAAGATATAGAAAGGATCTATAATCACAGGAGCTGCTCAGATCTTAATATGGGGTGGGGCTGAAGATCTACTTTTAACACCATTAAAGTTGGCTGTGGAAGCCGTGCCAAAAATAGTATGGCAACCTACACTTAATAAGAGGACCACCAACTGGTGCCTGTAGGAGTGCAAGACTAATATGGTTATTATATATTAACTCCAGCTGGATGCATGGGTCCACGCAGTATTTCTATTCTAAATAGGACCCTCACTCCATAGGGAGGTTCGACTCCAGCTGGATGCATGGGTCTGTGCAGAGTTTCTATTCTAAGTAGGATCCTCACTCCATAGGGAGACTTGACTCCAGCTGGATGCATGGGTCTGCATAGTGTTTCTGTTCTAAGCAGGATCCTCACTCTGTAGGGAGGTTTGACTCCAGCTGGATGCATGGGTCTGCGCGGAGTTTCTATTCTAAGTGGGATCCTTACTCTGCAGGGAGACTTGACTCCAGCTGGATGCATGGGTCTGTATGGTGTTTCTATTCTAAGCAGGATCCTTACTCTGTAGGGAGGTTCAACTCCAGCTGGATGCATGGGTCTGCGCGGAGTTTCTATTCTAAGTGGGATCCTTACTCTGCAGGGAGACTTGACTCTAGCTGGATGCATGGGTCTATATGGTGTTTCTATTCTAAGCAGGACCCTTACTCTATAGGGAGGTTTGACTCTAGCTAGATGCATGGGTCCACACAGTGTTTCTATTCTAACTAGATACTAGACACTTATAGGATATTATCTTTAATAATATTCCCACTATTTCTAATAATCTCAACTAGTTGTGCCCTAACTTATTAAGGACTCCTATAGCCTACATTACAGAAACATGCATTACTAGGCCCAGCCTCACATATAATAGATGACTAAGCTTTTAGGATTTCTATAAAGAGAACACTCTTAGAGGCATAATTTATAATTACAGAGACCTCTTAAGTTGAGCCACATATCCTGAGGTCTAGCCTTGTACACTTGCCTTAGATGAGTAGGGTTCATCTGCGCCAGACTATTTAGTTTCTGTAAGAGCCACTAAAATATTTCGCGAACTCTACTGCTCCAGGTATTTTCATTAAAGGAGCTAGAGTATGGACTCCCTATATCTTCTTACCCTATTATTTCCTTCTACAGCTATTATATATGCTCTTTTATTCATCTAAAATCATCTGCTCTTTTAGTTTAGACAATGGATTAATATGAGAAATAGTCCACCTACTTACTATACAAACTTCAGAAAGCCTCTCATCTAGGAGATGCTAAAGGCACCTTACCAAACATATTAGAGGAAAAGCTGTCCTCTCTATACACTAGTGAAGCCTGATTAATGCAGCTTTAGGGTTCTACTAGACAAGAAAGGCTAATAAGATTACTAAACCCTACCATCACACACAAAATCAGTCTGCGCCAGAGCCTATCAAGTAGAGTTGCATTTGGTGCGGGTTCGGGCGGGTTCAAGCCTAGTTGGCACCAAACCGCTGCGGTTTCGGGTTCAAAATTTAGAACTCGCACCAAACCCGGACCCGATGCGATTCGGTTGCGGTTTTCACCGCAAAACCCGCTGCTAGGCCTAGCTAGGCCTAGCTAGGCCTATACTAACTAACCATGGTTAGATTCGGTTCGGTTTCGGGTTGGTTAAACCACTAATTTTAACCGTTTTAACCCTTACCATTCCCCCTTCGGGGACCCCTCTGACGCCCCTATCAAGCATGCTTATATAAAATTATGATTTTTATATGAAATATATGGTAATTATCATCATATTAATCTAGATCTAAAATATGAATTCAATATCTATAGGTTTGAATGGGTGGTGGTTAAAAAATCATTTTTAAATATGGTTATTGTCAACAGTCAGTCGCATATATATATAAACTACCACTACTTTCATACCAACCTATGACAGAGATGAAATTCCCTTATATCTCAGCAACCACCAGGTATTTTTGAATAATATTTATATCACTAGATAGCCTTTGATTCAGGCTATCTAGTGATATTAATATCAATTAAAAATATCTAGAATTCAGTAATTTCTAGGTAAAACAGTTGCGGGTTGGTTAACCTAACTCGCAAAACCGCAAAAACCGTAACCGGTGGTTTTAACCGAACTCGAAGCGGTTCCACCCTATGGAAACCGAAACCGGTGCGATTCCCTAGGCTAGGAACTGAACCCAAACCGCTGCGAGTTCGGTGAGGTTCAGGTTCGATTTTTGCGGTTCGGTTATGCAACTCTAACCTAGTAATAGTATTAACTATTTAACATTGAATTCATTGGAGTTTATACTTGCACTAAGTCTTGATAAGTTGCTGAAGAGGTTTTTACTTCTACTCTTCACAGGTTATAGCATATAAGAGGCAGGGAGGGCTTGCAAGGCTAGTATTAAGTTAAGTAATAAGTTTTAGAGAGCTAATCCACTGTTAGAGGCACTTATCTAACTAAGATAAGTAACATACCTTTGGTATCTAACTTTAGAAATGATTCAATAGAGCAGGGAAGACCTTTATTAATGCATATAGAAAGTAATATGCCTTATATACTATTCAGGCCTGTGCTAATAGGCTTATTTTTAATGACTGCACTAGAGGGCAAGGCTATACTTAACTAAAGAAGAGACATAAACTGGCTCTAAGTCCATAGCCTAGTTAATTGGAGGTGTTATAATAATGATACAAGAGGTTACCTCTAGGGATTAATGGATTGTAGATAAATCATATAGAAAGACCAACTCTTAAAGAGCCCTTTGTTATTATTTCTAATGTAAGTCTTAGTACTAAGGTCTATCCAGGCTTCACGTGTTTTGTGGCCATATCTCCCTTAGTCATCAACAGAATCTAATAACTGCACTGCAACGGCCTGGGATAAACTGCTAGCACTTAAAAATGTTGTAAAGGAAAATAGTAGATCTAGTGCTGAGTGTGAATGACTTGATTGTTCTTTTATCATGTGACTAGGCACATGATTGACTCTATACCTAGGACTTACTGAGGTGTTTAGGTTGCAGAACTCTTGGCTGTTATGTTGCCCTTACTTGTCTTCTATCTTGATCAGTACATGTGGCCTTTTGAAAATTCCAGGCCATAGTAGTATATAGACATGCAATAATTTTGACCTTTTTTTACCACTGGGTACTTTGTATATCATAAGTTGCAACACAACTGTAGCCAAGCCACCTGGCCAGCAATATGGAAAAATAGAAACCTTAAACTATGTTATAATGATTGCTGCCTAGAGTGATCATTATGGCTGTGTTCAATGAAGAACTGAAACATCACTAATGAGAGGAACTATAATGTGGTTATTATGGGTTAAAGGCAATATCATTAGGTGAGACTGGGTGAATGTGGGTGATTGCGGGTGACCACTCACCCTGTTTATACTGCACTCACCTAAGCTCACCCAAGGTCGCGCGACTAAAAGCAGTGTTGCGCGACGGCTGCACCTACTGACCTTTTGACCGCGTTGAAGCCACACGCCGGCCGGTTAGTAGTTGGGTGGGTGACCACCAGCAAATCCCGGCTGTTGTATGTTTTTTAGTCTTTATTCTATATTCTTTCCTTTTCTTTAAACTGGCTTTAAACCAGTTTTAACGCCGTTGCTGCTCCTCGATCTTCACCTGGACAAGATAACAATCTCCCCTACTGAAGGCGGCTAAGCAGGAGACAAACGGCACGAAACCCTTTGCAACTGAAGCATACGTGACTGAGTGGGTCTTATCTCGAGATATTCTATTGTGGATTCTTGATCCATAGCCAGCTTGAGCTTGAATGGCCGGTTATACTATGCATAGTTTTGTTTAGCGATGTGGACTAGAAGGCGTCCAAAATACCAAACTAGCCACCAGAAGACTAGTGTTATGCCACGTAACCAGACACTTGAAGCGTACGGACCGATGTAGTCTGGAAATGTCAAGAAGTACGAAGAGAATATAACATAATCTGCGCGGCATATTCATTTCTAGAACTGCTAATGGTCTCTAAATTCTGATCAGATGGACTGTAAACCCAAGAGTTTCATCATGGTGTGTAAGATATGCAACAGGCAGAAATGCAGTGGCTATTAACTCTATCCTTGCTATTAATTCTGGATTAGTGCCTTACATATTAGGTACTTTTGATTGAATGGACTGACAAGGGTTTCACAGTTGCCAAATCACTATTGGAGCAAGAGCTCCTGGACAATGGCTTGAATCAGATTAGCAGCCACACAATACATGCCTGCGACCCGTTCGTGCGGCTGGTGAGAAAGGTAGCTACAGTTAGAGAAACCACAAAACAGGGGGTAGTCAGGTCAGGCTACAAGAAGTTCCCCCGCCCCAGCATCTTTCCTTCAAAAAGAGCCTATTAAACAGTAGGGCCTTCTAGAGTATTAGAGTGGAAGTCAGGACATAGTTATATAGATAGTCAGAGTACCTTTGGGGATTCCAGAGCCTATGAGGGTATAGCTCCATCTTTTAGTCCATTTTCTCATTAAACCCATGTCAAATTCCACTAATGGTGATGTAACCTACTCATCTTAGTGCTCACACCAAAGTGTCTCTCCCTATTAGTAATACAGAGTTCTACTAATCATTACTTTATTATAAAAAGGGAGGCAATATATGATCATGGTTAGTAGTGATTCAATAATACAAAGCCTTAAGTTAGTAACTCAGCTTCATACAAGCTAACTCACCGTGCTGGTAATACCAGAATCTGTCAAGTCTAAATAGCATACCTAAGGCGACCATTCCTGCTGTGGGTTGTATTCGGAGATAGTGCGAGGGAGACGTTGGAATTAGCGTCCCTGATGTGGTTTATAAGATGGACTGTACCTGCACCCGGGATGTCCGTGATATCTTGAAGTTCTTCAGTTTCTTTCTTTGGAACCACAGCAACTGGATCTACTTTCGTCTCTCACTTTTTGACTCTCTGGCACTACACTTCTCCGTCTCCTTCACACTCATGGAGAGAGTCATGAAGTTCCAAAACAGCCAGCCCAGAAAAGACAATTCCTGACGAATTTATTGCGTCCATCATCACAACCAAAAATATCAACTATGCGACGTCCGTCTTGGGCAATGTCCATTTAGCCATGTTCGATATGGCCGTCCACATGCCAGGGTCTAGGGAGGAGCTAGAGCTCATGAATTTTATCACTTTATACAATGAACTACGTGAGACTACGCTTATAGACGGACCAGAGTTCGCAGGGGTGGGTCTCGAATACAGTCATGGAAAGACACTGTTTGGACACTTAATGTCAGGCTATGACGCTGGCTACTACTGTTACTTGACCCGTCAACAGGAGGAGGAAGGCTTATCAAAGCTCCTGGGCTGCGATCCCATCTCGAGTGCTTCTCACGGTGAAACTGATCTGCCTAGTCCATCGACCAACCCTGAGAGAAGAAGCCGGTTGGTACATGGAGCAAGGCACCGGCTTCAATTGCTCTACAGACGAGCCAAAGAGTAGAAAACGGTTCTTGAGCAATGGTGATATCCAAAGCAAGGTCTTCTATCCTCCCATTATGCTCACGTACGGTGAGGAGAGGCCAAATAGGTGAAGAATGAGATTGAGTAAGCTATAGCACTTGTTGAAGAGTACCAAGGCTGACGATAGGACAATTCAAAAGCAGGAAAAGTCACTAGCATCCGAATCTCAACTCACAGTGGCAAGCAAATTGGGCGCTATTGGAGGAACATCAATTGGTCTTTCTTCTCAGCATGTCTCTATAATCCACCACCAGTCTACCTTCTATTCCACCAAGTTTGCCTTGATCCTATGCACCTCTTCTGAGTCAAACCCGAGCCCCTTAAGGAAGTACTCTGTTGCTCCTATCCTCTCCTCCTTCATTCTCCTCGGAAAGACCCTCATGCTGTCGGCCTTTTGCTCAGAAACCTATCTACCAGAGCTTCGTTCCCACCAAACATATTATGCCTGAGCATGTACGACTTCGCAAGGTCCATGCAGTTGCTGAGGCCTTCCATTGTCATCTCATACTCCCTTGCAGTCTCTTCTTCCTCTACGCCTATCAGCATCATCGCCAACACGACCAAGGGTCTCCGCGATGCGGTTGACATCGTTGCTGGATTAGATTGGGACAAATGGAAGTATTAAGATTTTGGGCTTTTGATCCCCAATTCAGTCGATATACTGTGCGCTGACATTCTGTTGAACTGCAGATTTTGCTCCTTATATGCTTGCGGTCACACGCCTAAAGCATCTCTAGGCACTGGCAGGTGCCTAGAGCTTTCCGTAGGCATCACCACAGCTTCACGATATCTGCGAAGTCCGACAGTTAGCCTTGGGACAAGCTGCCCAGCATTATTTCCTTCCTGCTTCCCAAAACGCCTTTAAGCGCACTCCCCTTACGGACTTCCGGAAGCGCGTGGAGGTAGTTCTAATGATACATGATACAGCAAGCCAACGGACAAGCCACCTGGAGCTCGTTGAGGTGTCGCCATTCACAAATCTGGTTGACAAAAAATTCTAACGTCTATAGGATGGTGAAGCGCATATCAGCAATACTGAACAAAACTCATGCATCTCAAAAAACTGGCAAATCGTATTCAATGGTCGCATGCGAAGGCGCGAGAAAAAGGCTTCGCCGCCAGCAGCCTAAGAAACTATATCCTCCAGCATCACCTTAAACCCTATGGACTTTGCCTGTGGGCTAACCACCAGCCTAGCAAACCGCCAGTGAGACACTTCTCGAGTTGAGCAATGGCGCGTTTCGTTAAGGATTAAAAACATCCAGCATCAGTTCGCTCTATATGCTGATCCAGACTCGCTCAATCCCGCATTCTTTGGTGGCCGCTGCCTATTATATCTCCTTCGCCAGGTGATTGACACAGACAAATAGGCACGCAATACTCCTGCAAATCACCGGTGCATTGCGATCGAATAGAAAGCTTCTAGAGGTGTCCAGTATCAGATTCAAATAACCTTCCCACGCCGCCCCCACCGCAGCTTTCAAGATGGATTGCTGATCTGGGTAACACTATTCGCACCCGCACTTGTGGGCTCCATCTCCTTACTACGGGAACTTTGGGGCGAGGGAGAAGCTAAAGCGGCTCAAGGAGCTCGAAAAAAGAAAAAATTAGAGTTTTGGCTTAGTGGGTCAACTTGATAGCTAATCCCGGGCGGATTATCGGTATCTGTAGGGCGCGTAGCGAAGAAATTGAATTGCTGCGGAGTGGCCGCATGGCTTGCCGTAAGGCGCGGCAAATCCCGAGATACCTCTCTGACGTATGTGTCTGTTCCGGCTCAGGTGGAATCCCTGAAGGGATCCGCGACGTGGATAGTTCATTGGACCCTGTGGTCTGCTGCATGGATAGTTGGTTTATCAAAGATGGGCACCCTATGATGACCTCATACACGATCATCTCCAAATTTAACTCTCAGTGACGCCTATGTTGAACACAGTTTGCTCGACTGCAATTAAGCTATGGCCGTATATAAGGGACCAGATTGTTCTAGGAATACAGTTTGAGTCTTAAAATTTCGGTCTGCACTTGTCAACGAACACAGTATCTATCTGTACCGCTTTAACTCTAGTCACTATGCCATCTGCGATTGTCACGGGTGCCACCGGTGAGTGCTGCCCTCGTCTCCACGTTTTGTGTCACACTCCTAAGATTCTCTAGGTATTACGGGGAGTGCCATTGTCCATCACCTATGCAAGGATCCAGAGTATGAGAAAGTTGTTTCCCTCTCCAGAAGTAATCCCGGCTACAGGAGTCCAAAAGTTCGACATCATATGCTGGATCTCCAGGCATCAGCTGCGGAGATGGCGGAGAATCTCAGAGACATCTCCGCTGATTATGTCTTCTTCTGCGCCTACCTAGCACGCGATGATCCGGTTGAATTGTCACGCGTGAATGGGCTGATGTTATCTAATTTTCTCCAAGCGTTGGAAATTACAGGTGCCACTAAGACACTGAAACGCTTCATTCTCACATGTGGCTTCAAACACTACGGTGTTCACCTAGGCCATTGCAAGCAGCCGCTTATTGAAGATGACGCCCTCCTTGAGGAAAGCCAGGGTGGTGGTTCCTGGCCTCCCATATTCTATTATGAACAAGAACGGATCCTCAAGGACGCCGCTATTCGTGGCCAGTGGGAATGGGTTGTCACCCTCCCTGAAGATGTCTTGGGCTACGCCCGCGGTAATTTTATGAATGAGGCCACCGGGCTCGGCCTATACTGTGCTGTTAGCAAAGCGCTCCCGGGTTCCGAACTGCCCTTTCCAGGCTGCAAGGCCAACTACTTTGCTTTCAACTGCTGGACCTCGGCGAACCTCCACGCCCGGTTTGGTCTCTGGGCTGCAACCGCCCCAGGTGCAGGGAATAATATGTTTAACGTGATGAATGGGGATACAGAGTCATTCCAAAACCTCTGGCCGCGGCTCGCTAAGCGCTTTGGTTGTAAGATCCCCAGCCCGATGTTCCCGCATGGGGGTACTCCCGACACCCAGGGATATGGGAAATATGAGGCAACCACGGTGAGGTTACAGAACCGGCACCCTCTCGCTGCGCACTCGCAGGAGTTGGGAGTGTCGGCCGATGGCATTCCCACGTTGTTCTTGCAGGTCGATCCGGAAAAATGGGCAAAGCGGAAAGACGTGAATGACGCTTGGGCGAAACTGCGCGATCAGTACAACCTTGACCAACAAGCGTGGGAAAAAGCCACCTGGGATTTCCTAACTTTTGTTTTGGGAAGGGACTGGAGCTGCGTTGGGACAATGAGCAAGGCGCGACGGTTGGGATGGACGGGGTACGCGGATACTTGGGATGAATTGGAGGAGACCTTTGAGACTCTTGAAAGAGAGGGCGTTTTGCCACCAGTGGAAAAGCTCAAGAGGGAGTTTAATTGATCCGATTGACATATCTAACGATTTGCCAGAAAGTCGGCAAAAGGGAGATATTGCACTATTGTCTTTAACGCTTTTTGGAAACCTTGGATGCGAGACTAGGGTGGAAACTCAATTGTCCGACCTTTGCATCCAGACGGACCAGACCTAGTAGGGTGGTATGGTAGGAAATGACACTTTGGGAGGTGAGAGCTACCAAGGATCGACTGTGCACGCCGCAGGGGTTGTCGGATCGCGTGGTTGAGGGATTACGAAGTCTCGGGTATCTACCTTACCACAGGTTACCTATGAGCGCATCATGCCTCCCTGACAACCAACGTATTTAGGAGTTGGACATGGAACTTATTTGGAATACTCTACTTCATTACTCGTGCCATTTCCAGAAGAACTATACAATCTGGACGCACATCCGTAATGGCCTCCTCCAGTGTTAGTGGCCAGCATGTTTTACTAACTGGTGCAAATGGCTTCGTTGCCTCACACGTTTTGTCCATCTTGCTAGAGGTATTCTCCTAGGCTATAGATAGGACTAACTGCGTGTGTATAGCGTGGATTCGCCGTCACGGCCACTGTACGATCTCAGACCAGGGCCGACGACCCTCCTCCCCTGCCAAGCCTCTCTCATATTGGTGCTTGGTTGGATTCCAGGTCACGTTACCCTGAAACAAGGAATGAGTGAAGAGCGCGCTGCCCGCAAAACTTTGCTTGCATTCCCCACTGTCAACCTTATTCTGATCTGGACACCGATTGATTGGTTTTCATTGCTAAGTATTACCCCTATTCACTGTTATTCCTGCACTCCTAATCTGCCTGCTTATTGTAATCTCACATGTGCAACTCCCATTTTTGCCCATTTCATAGTCACAGCCGCAGCGCGCGTCACCTAAGTTCAGTTAAGGCAGCAAGCTGACTACTATATCGGCGCATCTCTACTTTAGCCCTCAGTCACATGACATACTCTGGTGACATACACAATGAACAACTCAACGTGCGCTAAGGATAAAATTGCAGAGCTGGTCGCTCAATATGGAGCAGTTCCCCCTCCTTGGTTCATGTTCCAGGACACCAATCCATACAGCATATGCTGGCGTATGGGCGCTGGCGAAGACTATATAATATTATTCTTTACCTGGTGGGGGGAACAAAAAGAAAGCCTTGATGAGTCTCAACGCATTGAGTATTTTCGGAAATGGCCACCGCCACCTCCATGGCTTACGTGGATGATAGAGGTTATTTGGGATGTTAACCCTGAGGATTTCGATGATGATGATGATTACGGGCCCTACTTCGAACGCACTAAAGCACTTGGCTTTGGGGGTGAGGATGACTATCGACGTGACTGGGACGAAGGGGACGAGAGGCCATGAGAAGGGGCGAGTGGTTAGAAAAGAACGGTTGACGTGGGCGATAATGTCCTGAAATGACTGAATAAAGTGGAGAGGTTTACTATGTATATATACAGTGCACTAGCCGCCCATCAACCTTTGCGCTGCTGCTGTTCACACTCTCTCATGTGCTTCGGGCACTTCTTTTCATTCTATACCTGTTGCGTCCCCACGATACGGCAGCACCGGGTAAAGCTCGATTCGGTGCCCTCTGGCAGCGCGACGCTGACGCACAATGTACATGACGTGTGGTCTAAGGTCCACCATGCAATGCTGCAGAGCCATGTGGGCTTTTTACTAGGTTCCCTGGGACTTGAAAACGAAGGCGGATGGAGTATTGTGAGGGAGGAGCTCTCAGCCGTCTTACGGCCTGCTCAAGCTCCCTGGTGCCAGAGCCTGTACGGCTTTTTCTTGGTAGACACTATGCCCTTCAAGTGCTTCTTAAGGATGCGGATGGAGGGAAGTGCTGTGATGAGAGGGCCACCTACAAGATATTATGACATCGTTCTGAGTCCGCATATCTCTCGAAAGTGAACCACAGAAATGGTTCGAGAGGGCAAGTCAGGATCTAAGGCATATAAACTGGCCACAGCCCTTAAACTTTGGCGGATTTTCTTTTTCATTAGTCTCGCAGTGCACGGAATCGTCAATGGGATTGAGACGGTTGCCTGCAGACTACACTCTGGGAGGCGAAACTGATTGTGCTGAGTACTGACATTTTCAAAGGCAGGAAACATTTTTAGGGGGTCGTACCATGAACGAATCCACTGGCTCATCAAAGATGATGAAGCTATGCCGCTCTCGGAGTCGAGGAGCCTCTTCAGTCCGGCAAGGAGGCTGTCGGCAGTTCCTTTCGCTACATTACACTTCAGCAGTGAACCACTAATTCCAAGCTGCGGTCCTGACATGGTGTAGTAGCCATGGACGCCGGCATCTTGAAGGCGGTCGAATTCGCGATGCATATTGGCGACCAGCTTGTACCAATCCCTCGTTGAAGTGTCGGATTTTTGCCGTGATTATGGGACACATGAATGACATGGAAGGCATTGGGTACACCTTAATAGTTTACTCGACCATTACAAGAGACACCCCTCCTAACTGCAACATTCTGCCCTGTTACGCAGAAAGAAACGATGAAATGCAATTCACTCTGACTATACCATCACTGCCGAACCTCTCTCACAATCCTTTGGGCATGGACCAGTGCATCCTGGATTACTCCCACCCTCTGCTTCAATTCTTCAGCATGTCGGGGATCTTGCCCAGCCTCAGATATCTCGCCCTCTACCGTGACCGAAGCCCGCAAATCCCTTGTAATATTCGAGAGCTCCTCGCGAAGCTTTTGATCGAGCTGATTAAAAGTGCTCTCAATAAGTTCACGATAGTCACCAGTCAGTCTGTTGGCCAACTCTAAAAATAAAGGTGAAGATGTGAGATGTCGGTTCATGGTTTGCTTGCGTCTGGCATCGCTGCCCGTCCCTACGGGTCGCAGTCTGTGGTTAGTGAAAAAAGGAACGTGTTTGAGAGTAATATGCGAAAGTAGAGTTTCCGGTATCGTACCATATTGCTCCCTACAGGTGTTGTACACCGGACGCATGACGCCCGCAATATAGGAGCTGGCGTGTCCGCCTATTGCGTCGGACTTGATTTTTCTGATAGCAGGTCAGTCATCCTCCGCGCCGAATAGAAGCCGTGGATATAATACTCTGTTGTATAAACCAGGTCATCCAAGGAGCTATGGATGGCGTCTACTATACATCTTTGCCGCGTTTCCATGTTCAAGAGCAAATTACCCAGGCTGTCTGGCGACATGTCATGGTGTTCTAACGAGCGTAGTCAGCCACACAAATCTTGGGGTTGTCGCCTTTCTTGACGCTAGTTGAAAAGGGGGAAACTCCTACCTTCAATCGAGTCGCAGATGTGCTGAAATATATCAGACACTTCTTCGTCAAGTTCGTCTCTTTTCTCCTCAAGCCAACCAAGCATCGTATCCCAACTGATGGATAGTTGATCACTTCCCGGACCGAGGATTTCTTCGTTCCAGCAGCGATATGGTTGCTTCGCCGTTTGGTGTGTCCCGTAGTTGCGGCACCAAGCGGCGTAGGTCGAATGGTGCCACTGTGAAGCCCCATCAGGTACAAATCTATGTGCTATTTCACTTGTCTGTTTGACTTACGGTTGCCCATTCCCTGCTCGCATCGACTGCATGATCTCTCCAATTGTTCCGGGAGTTGCCTGCGCCGGGGTTACTATAATGTCTCTTGAAGGCTAAAGTGAGGTTCTGGGCGCACGTATGGTTTGTATAATCAAGGTACTAAACTGTCGCTCTAGACTGCTCTGCGCAAGCCGGACTCCTGACCGAGGAGAGGCAATGCTCTAGAATGATGTCAGCCATTATGCACTCTTGACCATCACTTCCAAGCTGCCAAAGCACTCCAAATCTTGAAAGGATAAAGAAGGAACCGGTTGCCCGATAAGACAGTCACCGTACCCGTTGGAGAGTCTGTTCGGCTTCGTTCAAGGCATCGCGCAAAACTTCAGCCCGGCCTGCAGTGACGGCATCAGAACCCGCCAATGCCCACTGAGTTAGGGAACCTAGAAGTGCGGGCACTTGATTCTGCAGAAAAGATTCCGTTGCACGAAGCTGCGCATCTGCGGGAACAGACTGGCAATAGCGACGAAGCTCTGTGATACCACTGAGCTCGAGGTATCCGTTGGCTTGCTCGGGATCGTTTGCACGGTGGTCTGCGTAAAGTTTATTGCTCACGCAGAATACCCGGGCTTGGTTGCTCCAGGCACGCGATAAAGACTCAGTTACGCGCCTATTCCGTCTTAAGATGAGGAACCGCTTCAGCCTGGCCAGCATTCAGTCAGCACAAATATCCAATCCGTGCAGCAAGCAAAAAGGGCTACCTACTCGAATTCCAGAGTCTCTTTCTCGTCGCTGTTGGTAATGTCTGGTCAGGATGCGTCCTAACCACAATTGATCGGACGAACTTACCTAAGGGCGAGTTCCTCCGCAGCGAGACTTTGACTTCTACTTCCGCTGGCTTGTCGTCTACGAGACCGCATCTGCCTGATTCTTCGTCCGAGGGTCTGAATTCGGCTGTCAAGATCGAGGATACGTCTGGCGTCACCCGCAGAGGATGTCCGTGCTGTCTCTCTAGCATCCACATCCTGGGGTTGTCTCGTTAGCTCCGGTACCCATGGGGTTGGGGAAGAGGAAGCCTGCCTCTGAACGAGTACAAACGATCCGTATCGGTTGGCCTTGTGCACATCGGCGAATGATATCACCAATTGACTGGTCTGTCGTACAACGAATGATCGTACTAACGATGAACACCTCGTCGCAACTGTGGCGAAGATACCTTTCAGTTGCCCGTTCTCGCGCATAGTTCAGATCACGAAAGCCTGAACGTATGTCAATTACTCACTGTCAAAAGGTACAGAGCCAGAATGCCTTACCAGGGAGGTCAGCCAGCACTAAGCCAGTGCGCAGAATCGGCGATCGCAAATAAACCCTAGTCACCGTTAGACACGAATCAAGAGAGAGCCTGTACACTGGATTCTCTCAAACCTGATCAACTTGACAAAAGGCCATAGCGCCGGCCTATCACCCTCCCTTGCATCAGCCATAAGGTTGTCCAGCTGCTCCATACATTCATCAGCGTGGCGAGCTACAGCGGAATACCGAAGACTGTCGCGTCCGCCAGGGCGGTGGTCCAACCCAGCCATTGCCCACTCTTCCAATGTTGTCACGATAGACTCTACCGCATCCTCTCCGTCCCTAGAAAGGAAGTCAAGATCAAGCGCCGGCTGGTTGGGGAAAAGAGAGAGCAATGTATCCCAGGCTCTCCTGGCAGCAGCCTTGATGTCCTCCTGTTCTGTTGCATCACGAACTTCCCGGTAGGCATCCGTGTAGTATTTCCTGACGTTTGCCAGCAGCTCCTCAAGAAGCTCTCGGATCTCAGCATTATCCATGAAATCTGCCTCGATGGTATAGTTTTGCGGATGCTCCTCGTTCACACTCCGGAACTCCGTGACGACAGTGGTGCAAGCAGCTCCGTCTCCGCTCTGGGGGATTTCAATGAGTATTTGAGGTCATCTACGGGAGCCGAAACACATTCGGATCTTTGAACTTACCGACCGAGCCAGACCCTCTTGGTCAAGGATGGAATTGATGAGACTACTTTTTCCTGCGGGTTCAATTAGCCCTTCGTCTCCTCGCACCCCTGAACCCAGCAAGCTTACCCATTCCCGAGTCACCGATAAATCCAACAGTCCGCGTCGCGGGATAAGTGAATCTGCTCGCCTCGAGCGTCTGTTTATACAGTTGATGAAAGGCGGTCGTGGGGTCTTGTGCCAGGTCGCGCCGACTCATAACTTGCGCGAGGTCTGCGAGCTCGCCTCTCACATTCCGTAGTGCATTCTGGAGCCGAATGTCGTAGATCGGCACCTGGGGAAGTTCCTCCTGGCGGATATTGTAGAGGTAATCCTCGTCATCGTCATCACTGTTATTGTTCTGCAGTGAGTCCTCCTCGGATTCAGTGTCCTCATCACGATCTGAATCCTTGGCTGCCGTATCCCCCGAGTCCCCCGAGTCCCCCGGATTCAGGTTCCGGGAGTGAGAGCTCACAGAGCCCAGCGGAGACGATGGCGTCTGTGGCCGCCGTTGGCTCGGTTCTGTGGAAGAAACACCTCCTGGACTAGGAGTGGCATTGTAGAGGTCCCTGTAGGTTGTATGATGGGAGTTCGGGGTCAACCCAGCTTCTCTCGGGCCACTACTGGGATCAGTCAGGGAATTATGATTTGGATGTCTCATGGTTTCGCTCAGGCGCAAATTCTGAAAGAGGGACTGGGTGTTGGGTGTAAGGGAGCGTCGTTCGACCTGGTGGTCGAGCGAGTCATCTACGGAGGATACCGGGGTCAATCTACCTGCAGATGAGGGGCTGCAGGAGAAAGTGAACTCGACCGAGGGTAGGACGTGGTCTTGGAGAGGGTTGGATGAGGGTCTGGGGCTCTTCAAAGGAGTGCTGGGACTGTCCGCGGAGTCGGCGTTGGCACCGTTGTCGCGCATGCTTCATCACCTCGGCAGGTATGTTGCTCTAGGTAATTCGGTTTGTGATCTGACAGACGGAAGAAAACTGGCGCTGGGTAGGTAGGCCATTTTATAAAAAGATTGGTCTGGAATGACTAGGCTGACTTGTGTGGGGCCGTTATATACAGCGCGAGGCTTTTGAGTGGTAAAAGATGCTGCAAGTTGCCTGCGCCGCAAAAAGAACACCGGAAGTAGTCCGCCTCGGTAGGATTGCGCCATCAGCTCGGCGTACTCCGTATAAACAAACAGCAATACTAAGTATATGTAGACTCTGCTAAAGATAGCCAGATATGGATCCTTGTCAAAACGCCTCAGCCGGAAAAGGTTCGTTATGGTCTGAGCTTACCCCATATCCAATAAGATGTACATCGACTTAAAACCAAGACCCTTTTTCTACTAGGTTTGCAAGGCAACCTCGAGAAACGGCCCCTGCTGAAACAGCATTCCACAACCTTTACAAGCGCCGGTAGTACTTGACCCGCACACACGACTCTCCTGCACTTGACTTGTATTGTTCCATCCACGCCCTTGCATAGGGGCGAAGCAGCGGCGTCGAACCGTTTGTGTTGCGCAGGCTCGTGTCCTCGAGGGCTGTATTCTGACACGGTTCTGGCATGGGCGCTACGCCGTTACCGCGCTATACTGGAATGGTGCTACTGCAGCAGCGGATCTGGAATTTATACAATCCCCCAAAGGACCAAATAACCTTTGCGCGTTGTAGTGTCAGATGCTGCAGATTGCGACCCCGAGCCCCGGTGGAGATGACGGGATCTGGAACAGCGATGTCGCTGGAGGTGGCTCCTGATTCTAGGAGGAAAGCTGGCGAGGTATTAAGACCGACGGCTCTTATTCCATATATACGGTTCATGAGAATACAGCGTCGTTACGTAAGCCGTTGCTCTCAGAAGATAAATACCCTTTGCAATAGGTACGCTCCTTTATAGGCTCCTCTTCCCCTCCCCTTGCGCGAGTAGTATCAAAAGATATGGCAAGCGCCTCATCGACTGCAATGACCGCAGGATGCATGTCCCATGGCCAACCGGGTCTGATTGGAGAGCGGGGTGTCCTACGGTGCCTTTTTCACAGACTATAGCGCTGGCCCGTTTGCCTCTCAGGAAGATATGGAGCGGTGGTTCGATGGCCGCCTTGCCGTCTGCCGGGAGTTTGGTCTTTTAGACCGGACGCAGGAGGGCTTTTGAGGTCTTTTTCGGGATTTGGTGATGTGTCATATGGATCTTCATCCACGAAATATCATTTGGAAGGCCGGGGACGGTTCTGGTTAGTTGATTGGGCGTTTGCGGGAATGTATCCTGCGTGCGTTGAGACTGCGTCTATTCTAAGGAACGGATGGACGCCATATTTTGGTGATGTGCTGAATCAGCTGGATCGTGGGCGGTTTGGTGAGGAGATTGATCGTCTCTTTGCCATATCGTTTGCGTTGACGACTGGAGCGCTACGCCAGCTAACTAGGACAACTCGTGACATGACCCGATGAAATCACCTGGGCATGATTATTTCTTAAGAGAGACAGGTCTTTCATTCTCTGTGTGACGTTACTAGCCTCGGTTATTCTCTTGACCTCCATCGTGCTCTGTTCAAACCTAAAGTCGACCTCGGAGATATGTCTGTGCTAACTTTTTTATGTACATCAGCATCATTGCCATCCTGGAGCGAGACAGCCTGACTAGCGATAGTCCTTTTGTTTTAACATGTATAGACACGCATGATAGCGAGACGTTAGACATCCCTCTCAGCCCAGCTTTGGATGAGCCCACAAACAGTAGGTTCATACTCCTTCAAGATGACACTGTCTCCATCTAGAAATGTATTTGCGTGGCAAAATGCCAATGGTGGCTCCTTCTTCATGAGTACCACTTCCCTCCATCCCAAAGCCTCTTCATTAACTGTAGTCAGATCTTCATAGAATTTGCGGCAGCTACGTATATCCGCTGTGCAGCGGTAGACATGCAAGCGGAGAAGCATCCGGCCAAGGGAAGCCTTGCCTTCCTGAAGACGAGATCGATTGACTTGAACGGTCAAATTCGGGCTCTCTTTATCTTGAATGATTCTGTAGAGGCCGCTGCTGTCACGAAGCATATGTTGGAGCATACCAAAATGTGCCTGAAATGGTTAGATACTTTTGCTTCCACGCTCAATGTTACATACCCTGCTGTGTGCTTGACCCCATTTCTAAAATAGTTTTAGCTTCAGCTGTTTGTCTTCACATAGTTGCACCTACCTTGGTGGATGGGTTGTAATTCTCCAGCGCTCGCAGTCCATCAACTCCTAGTTGCTGATAGAGATTATAGACCACTTGGGTCACAGAAAGGTCAGGCCAAATCCTATGCACTTAGCGGGCTCTTACCATCGGCAGGCTTAATCTCGCTGTCTGCAGTGCATCCGAAAAGCTCCAGAATCTCAGGAACGTCAATTAGATAAGCACCAACAAGTTCAGCGCGACACTCATCCACAGTTGTTGATAAATCTGTAAAAATCCCTGTCCAGGTTTCCCCTGGACCATACCAACTGTCAATTGGCTTTCCAGAGAGCGGGTTCAATGGCAGGTGCTCTCTGTCAAAGTTGAAATGCCCCTGGGAGTCCTCTTGGAGGAGCTTGCTTGTGCCATGGCCCAGTATCTCATGAAGAACTACCCAAATGTAGTATGCTGTAAAGCGGTGCTCCTGGAAAACTTTGCGCTCTGATTCATGGATCATGTGGATGCCTCTGGCTCGTTTACTCTCTGCTATCATGCGGTTAGCAAAGATAATGTTTTTGAAACCATCTTCTTGTCTGATGTCATTGTACTATCAATTGAGAATTAGCCGATGACCGTATGTCTTATACAGGCGATCACTTACATTTGGGAGATTGATCCCTGGAAAAACCAGGCTCGAGCAATAAGCCAGAACTAGGGTCTCGTTAGTTCTCTATGATTTGGGGAAAGTCCTATGATGAAGCTCACTTTGGACGCTGGCAAAATCAGGAATATCAAAAAGCTCCTTCTCAAATGGGCCTTTGCCATTATTCTTCTCGTACCCTTCCGCCCAAGGTAGCTGAGGAATAATATCAGAGGCAATCTCAGCGAGCCTGCGCAGCACCTTTGTTCTTTCTGAATCTGCTATTCCGACGATTCCCTCGAATTCAGCACGAACGCCAAGAGGATCTCTGTACGGCTCAACAAATCCAAAAACCGTCTCTACCTTTGGGGCCTTGTCCTTGACCCAGACCCTTTGTGCTTCCCTGTATGCGTTGAGGTCGCCGGAAGAAAAGCTTTCTGCAATTCCTGAGAGCAGTTTTTGCTGTTCGCGGTTGGCTGCGTACTTTACAGCTTGCCCCAGGCTCTGATTGATCTTCCTGAGTTCTTCTTTGTGATCACCGCGAACCAAGCGAATTCTTGTGCCATTCGCAGAATGACCATCTGGTTCCTGAAGGGTGGTTTCATCTTCTTCTACTGAGGCTTGCAGGATATCATATGTCCGATGGGAGGTTTCACCCTCCGTGGTGATGCTCTTCCTCAATCTAGTATTTTCAGGAAAGATTTTTGATGATTCCATCAGCTTGAACACGGTGGAGACCTCGTCCATATTTTCAAGGGTCCCATCTCCAAGATAGTACGTGCTCTGGGAGGTGTCGCTCGGGACACCCAGACTATTGGGCAATGGTCGAAACAATGCATCTCGAACTTTTGCAAAGATTTGCGCTGTAGTAGGGTTACAGTTTGCAAGCTTTTTCAGCTCATTTTGCGAGACATCAGGGTGAAACTTTTGATCCCCAGAGCCCTACAACATAATCAATTATGGATTCTGCGTAGGAGGCACGTGCATAGTACTCACAAAGTAATTGCCAATATTGGAGAGAAAAGCCGCTGCGTAATTAAGGAACTTTTCCACTTCAGTCATATCCACTTGCGCGCTTCTAGCTAGCTGTTCCCATTGACCACCACAGCTGTGGTACAAGGCCATGATGAAGTCAAAGATATCATTTGCTTCTGGGGACACTTGTCGAAGAATTATTCTTGTCCCATGCCATGCGGCTCTGTCTAGTTGTCAGTGTGACTGTTAAATGTCGATGTTTAGGGCCCCTTACCTGGCCGTGTGGTGGGCGTAGAGCTTCTCTTTGCTGGTGAGGCCTTTAAAGGCGGCCGCTACCGAAAGCTGAAATATCTCGGGCTTACGCATTATTCTGGTAGTTCCTGACCAGTCGATTGCAAAAGCTTAGCCGGGGGGAATTAGTAGTCTGGTACTCCGTAGAAAAGTCCGTAAGAATTGGGAGGATAATTGTAGGCCTCAACAGCAACCGCCCCGCAAACACATCTCTCTTCTCAGGTGGGTAAGTGGGCTATGAGAGGGACAACTGCCACCAAAACAAAGCATATGCAAAACTATTGGATGAGCTGCATTCGATTAAATTTAGAGGCATGGTCGAGCTTATCGCGGCTTTATTACTGGCGGCGTCTGCCCAAATTCCCCGCCACGGCGGCTTTTGAAGCGATCCTACTAGCTGCGTTGGAAACTTGGAATAATGCTTGTTGCTACATGAGACTAAGCCCTCCTAACCTTATGGACCATCAGATTGATGCATCTGCTTTACACTACCTGTAGAAGTCCAAAATAAGGTGCTCTCCATTGAATCGACTGCATATACAGATCCTTTTCACTGGAAAGGGCGAAACCCGCTGACAGTTATCCTCCATGACTATACCAAGGTATATGCAGACTGTATAACCGCCCAAGTCAAGCGCGACAAAGAGAAGAAGAGCTTACTCGCCGGATTGGTAGGCCATTTAACTGGTTGCAGTCAGGGGCACTGTTTGAGATTAACTCATTCAGCTTACAGCAGTTATTAGAATGCTGTTAAGCTGAAACAGAGGGAGAAGCAGTGCTTATATTGCTTCTCCTTTTCTTTTCCTGAGGAAGCTAAAGAGTTTATCATTTCTATGTACACTTGAAGGCGCACACATTATCAGGGAAAGTCACAGCAGACTGCCTACTTGTGAAATCATGGTGCACCATGACTTTTTCTCCAGAACAATTCTCAACAATCAAACGTCTTTGGTAATTTAAGACTCTCGAAATCTGTATAGGTGCATATCTCTGAACAGAAACCGGAGCTCCCTTCTCACCGTGGTAAACATGGTCTCCTTTCAGCACAACCATCATCCCACCAGTCTAAATGTCAGTCATGGTATAGTGCTTAGCTTGCATGGTAACGACAGTAATTGCAATCAGAATTGTTCAACATGTTAGATTACCATGAGATGAAGCATAGCCATACACAACAGCTTAAATAGTTTAAAGGCGTCTTCTTCAAGATTGCTAAGTATCTCATCACCATAGAGTTAATCACTTTTGACAAGGTGATGCCACTGCTCTGCAAAGACAGTAGTTTAAGGGAACTCAGTCACAGCAATAATGATTATATCTCAGCTTTATATCTGATTCTCTGTATCATAAGCTGGCAAACCATGCTCTTTAACCCCTAGCACATTAATCATATGCATTTCAAGATTCATAACAAGCAGGAAGGTTACAGGGGCGAATATATACCTAAAGCTAGAGGTAGCCAGTTATACATAAATACCTCTTAGCAAGTTGCTAATAGGCTTCAGGGTCCTCCTGCCATCTAAAAATCTCTATCTAAGTAATAATAAGGCAAGCTAAGATGTATTCCAGCAAAAGGTCAAGGTCAACACAAAACACTTTAATGCACACTTTCTTACGTCTATTACAGGTATTTAGTTAAAGTGGGTTAACACTCTAGCATGTCATCTAGAGTATAACCCCATGACTAAAGAACTATTTCTATTTCACTTTCCTTCATTCTTCCTGGCTTGCCCTTCGCATTCTTCTGGGACAGGGCAAAGAACAGTCTTGCAGGCATGCGCCACCACGAATAGGTTTCATTGTCAATGGGCAACAGAAAGCGAGGTTGGCTGCTTGCTCAACGAGATTTTACTGTCATATCGCCTCTTGTTCGGACAAACGAAGTCACGCTCCTTGTTTTGATCACTTGATCACTTCTATGATGTCCCAAGGGCAGTGGCTGATCCCGCTTCTTCCGATCCTCTTTGGAAAGCAGTCTTGTCATGGGTTAGTGCCCTTGGAGACTGCAGAATAGTATCTTTCCAGAGACTTTTCCGTCTTTCGGTATCGACTGTCAGTGCTGTAGGATCATCTGGCGCGGGCCATGCCGAGAAAATGGGTCCAGCATTGGCGTGATAATAGAGATTCGGCTCACTGGCTGACGTCCTGGGCTGTCATCGTCTTTAGGGCGCTTGGTACGCTGCTGGCTCTGTCGCAGGTTATTCTGCAGGCTGTTCAGATTGCTTTCCGTTGATGGAGATATAACCTTCAGAACCTCGTAATTCTATTATTCTCGATTTCTACTCTCCGTACACTTTATAACCGAACATGTATCGAGGTATCACTACTGCATATCCCCCAGAGCCACCCTCATCCTCGCACTCCACTCGTCCCGCTTGATCCGCAACAGAATCAGAGGTATCCCACTGAGCAGACAGAAGAGACAGGCTGCTGTAAAGGACCAGCCAGTACCGATAGCATCGAACAGAGGCTGCGCAATCACCGCACTCACACAGGACAGACTGTTCCGCATGAGATTGTTCACCGCAACGCCCGTGGTCGACCTCTTCGGCGTGAACTCGGTCAGCATCGTCATGGTCACATTGGTGAGGATCATTCCGGCAAGGCCGTAGAAGAAGTTGCCAATCAACTATATTGTTAGCTTTGCCAGTTACCCCATGCAAGACGTACTTACCGGCACCAGCCAGAATTCATGCTTGTCCGCCGTCCACCCCCACCACAACAATGCCCCGGGAAGAGAATACCCGCCAGCAGGCAGTTCTCGCTGAGCCGGTCAACAGGATGCAAGATGAGGTAGTACGTTGCAAAGACGATGCTGGTGTAATAGACGGTGATGAGGATGGGCGGGTACCGCAGCAAGCTAGCCGCCTGGACGGGTTTCAGCAAGAGATTAACAACTCTCATCGCTCTTGTCGAGGTAGCCCACTCGTTCCGCTGGTTCGCTTCGAGATTCGTCGCCGTCTCCGGCATGAAGAACAGCATGATTAGAAACACAGCCCACCCATAGACCACCATGAACCACTGCGTGCTGCGCCAGCTCCACCGGGTGACCAGGGCGCCGCCGATAATGGGCGCGAACATGGGCCCGAGCATCGGGCCGAGCATGAACGCACCCATGGCTTTGCCTCGTTCTTGTGCGTCGAACATATCGGAGATGGTACCGGCGCTGACGGCCTGGAGGGACACGCTGGCGGCGCCGGTGAGGAGGCGCATTGCGATGAACATGCCGATGTTGGGGCTGATTGCGGCTAGGATGCTGAAGAGGCCGAGGAAGAAGAAGGAGAGGAGGTAGACTAGTCGGCGGCCGTAGAGTTCTGCCAGGTGGGACCACCAGAGGGTTGTGATGGCGACGGAGAGAGAGCCAAAGGCGATGGACAGGTTCACCACGGAGACGGTCGTGTGAAGATCCTCGGCGATCATGATGAGGCAGGCTGTCGTTCATATCAACGGCAGTTCCGTCGGCAGAGGCAGTTAGAGAGGACCTACGGAACAAGACACCACTGCTCAGAGGCACAACCAGTCCTACCCCTGCCACTATGGCCGTCAGGAACCACTTGCGTCCTGCGGGATATTGTCGCGGGTCTTCGATTGCTGGGACCAAGCACAGAAAGGATAGAAATCCTCGACGAACATGACGAGGACCATTTCGATTATCTTTCTCCCGCTCATCACTGGCTTTTTCCGTGCGTCTCAGTGACTTCAGATTCTGCTCGTCCGGTGGTGATTGAGGTGGTTCGCTTCTGTGGCTGTCGGACATGTTGGTCTGCTTCAACTTAGCGATTTCAAGTCTGATTCTGTTATGTGTTTTGATCAGCTCTATATATACTGATCATACTTCTCTCTATCTATATCCTTCTTCTTGTATACTTCAGAGTACGCTATAATAGCGGCGCACGAGCTGTGGGTCCCCTCGGCCGAGCTAACCCTGGTCTCCTACGCTCAGCGGCCCACATCCTCTCCATACGGGATGCCCGTCTGTCGTAGGTGGTATTCTGTGTAGAAATGGGTTGTTGAGTGGCTCATGAACTTAATTGTGCGTTTCAAGTCTGAACGGATCGGACACTCATTGCTACGCTCAAAGCACCAAGCCTATGATAATACCCTGGTCACCGATAGATGCGTGAAGTCCGAGTTAGGTCAGAGTCAGAGGTCTTGCATGAGTTCAGAATGAAGGATACAGGGCGTGAAGAGAAGCAATCACAAACGTATTCTCATACAGGCTGTCATCAGACAAAGATCAAGCAACACAATGTACCTATTCCTCAAAGCCCAAATTCGAGAGGTTACAACAGACCTGCATGAAGTAAGCCCAGCGAATCGATCAGGCCGGTATTCACGCGTATCAGAAGATCAGCTCCACTGCGAAGGACAAGAAAACGACATCGGGTCAAACCCCGCAAAGTCAGGAAAGTCAAAGGACCCCAGGTTCGTGAATCCCAGAAAATCCGCGGCATCCAATTCAATTCCCATCGGACCCATGCTATCCAACCCTGATCCCGACAACTTCTGATTGTCCTGTGGCCCTGGGGTGGGATCGACTGTTCGATTGTCCTCGGTGAGACCCAGGTTCTGGGATCGAAGTCGCTCAATCAACCCGATAATGACTGGCCATGCCCCGGTGGTGTGCTGGCCGCGGATTTCATGGATTGCGTTTGCAACCTGCAGACCCCTCTGTCGAAGGTCGGCCCACTCTGGGGTTTGAAATACAGGGCTGCGAACCTCAGAAAGGACGTAAAGGATAGGGTAGAAGCCGGCATGTGAGGAAATATGCCATTGGTAGGGTTCACACTCTTTGCTTGAGGTGATTGTACACCAGTTCTCTACGGTTGTGGCGGCATCCATGAATATACTTTGGTAAGTCAGCAGATGTAAGACGTTGTTCGGACCTTGGGGGGTTACCTCCTTCGCATGGCGGGGCTGATGATCTTCTCACGGTCCTGGCGAGAAATCTGGATCCAGAATATGACCCAGAATTTGGACTTTAGATGAGCACTGAGCTGCGAGGTCATTGATTGCAAGCTGACCCTCTTGTCGCAGTATCGGACAAGATTATCCAGCGCCTTCTCCAGCTCAGCTGCCATTGCCTCGGCGGTTTTTAACAGGGTTTGTAGTTCAGACAAGACTTGATCTTCTCCCAAATCTCCCTGGGAACTGGCACGCATTCTCTTTCGCGATGCATGTGTGATCTGGATAATGCGGCCGTAACATTGGGCGGCTGTGACCCGAAGCAGATAGATGGTCATGTCTGTGAATTTAGGGGCATCTAAGAGTCTGGTAGAGGGCGTCACTCCTTCTATTAGATGAACATCATCCACATTGAGAGGGAGACGCGTATCAAAATCAGACTCATGGATCGAAGGAGCAAACCCATGTCCCTCCGCTGCTCGAAAATCCAGGTGACAGATCTGTGCCCATAATCGGCGGCGCAGCTCGACTTGCACTATGTCAATCGTTCCCAGTGGTAGTGCCAACGGGTCACGGTGGAGGCCTTGAATAGTGGCCATGCGAATGGCAAGACCCGTCAAGGGCCACACTTTGCCTATATCGTCTTCCCGATATTGAGCTGTCTGTGTATGTGTATTAGCTATGAAGGCTATCTTCCACCAATGCAAGAACCCACAAGAAAAATGACAAATGCTTGTAGAACCTCGAAGATCCTTGAGGTCATGAAGTGATGTTGTTTCAGGTATACTTCGGTCCCAGCTCGGTACCTTTGCAGGAGATGGGATTTGTCTGTGTTGAAGACTGTAGAAACATCTGTTTCCTTCATGCTATTAACGGCCGCATAGAAAATGGACATGGCCAGCGGCTCAAACGCATTAGATTGATGGGGGTCGAATGCCATAGAGTGACTGTAACTGCCGTCAACTTGAGTCTTGTCTAGGGAATAATGGGTGCGAATGAATGCATCAAAGCGACGAGCTAAACTGGGACGATGCACTATTCGCACTATGGGATCGACATTGGCCAGGAAAACATTCAACAGCAAATAGCAATCTTCTCTGCTATCGGGATAAAAGCTGTATACGTTAGATCGTGAGGTATCAGTTTCCCAGATTAGATGGTCGTCTGGAACCTCTTTGGGCGAGGACTGTTGCAACTCCGTGAGCAGAGATTGAATATCTTGGATCCGTTCGGTGAGTGATCAGATATCCATTCATCTTCACATACGTTTTTCTTCCCACAAGAGTAGGGATTCATTGTTCTGCGCACCTCTTCCGCCATCCAGGCCCAGCGTTTTCCCGAGATAAAGCGAGGTACTCCATTCTCTAAGATGAACACATCTTCCTGCGATTGGCGCTGCGGGGCTGCCACATCTCCAGGAAGAGCTGAAGATCGGGTAGTAGGATATGATTCCGGCAAGGATGAACTCTGCTCGGACGCTTCATATGGCAGTGACTGTGCTTGCGCCAGAATGTCCGCCAGACGTTGAAGTCTTGGATTGATCCTGGTCAGCGTGGAAGAGGACATCTTGGTAGCTGTGGACTTGGTCACCCGACTGGGTTCTGAGGCCAGTGCGGATGGCTGAGGGGCAGACACATAGGAACAGACATGATTGCCTCGCTCGCATGTAAAACAAATGGATTGTCGTCGATCGCATTTGACCTTTCGGCGACGACATGGTAGACAAGAGGTGATGGGACGAAAATAGTTGCCAATGAAGGGAGGGACGTTAGAGGAAGAAGGCGATGCTGAGGGAAGAAGGGAAGCAGGAGTCGATGAGGCATACATTATGGACGCTGTTGGGACAATAAACTAGAAAACAAGAACAGCACATGATATAAAAAGGGCAGAATGGAGCCACATTCAGCAGCTGTTTGTTAATTGTCAGTTAGGTGATACTGACATAGTGGTCTTCAAACCTGTCCGAACTGGTAGTTAGTTCAAGGTGCACGGAGATATATATTATGGAGTACAGCAAGTACGCTGAGAGAGAGGATCCATACCATGGTGGATAATAAAAAGCCCTAACTGCAGGGGTAAGTAAGACTGTAGTTATAAGTAACTATATTAGTTAATAATATTAGACCAGTCTAAGATACACACCTGATAGACTAACGTTCAAGACAGTTGTAATTCGTAAAGAATTTACGACATCTATAAGTCGAGGCTGAACACGACACCTACAAAATCAATACAGTGTCCAAGACGGACAAAAAACGAAAATGATCAAAAATATGAATCTATTCCGATGCGGGGAATCGAACCCCGAGCTGCTGTGTGAGAGACAGCGATGTTAGCCATTACACCACATCGGATGTTGTTGTGGGAATGGGAATATTCTGGCTTGATAATCCAATCTTGTTGGGTGCCACTTTGTACCTGATAATGGACCAACCAGTGCGTGGTTCGAAGTGGGGCGAGATTGACGCTGCTCCCGATGATCTTACTGGACACGCCTTGAAGTTCAAACCCTAAGTCCAGTCTAATCATTCAAGAATCCGCTCATCATTTCAACAACCGTCCGATGTGGTGTAATGGCTAACATCGCTGTCTCTCACACAGCAGCTCGGGGTTCGATTCCCCGCATCGGAATTTCTTCTTTTTGTCTTTTGTCCCCTTCCTTCCTGAAGGACATGCATATATTTTTCCAAATTCGCGTACGTCACAATCTTAGTGGTCACTATTGTGTTTGTTAAACGATCTTTTTAAGTGTTGTGACGCTCTATCTTGAAGACCAGTCATGATTACAAAAACAGCAAATAAACCCATCATTCCATTAACGCCAAAGACAACCATGAATCGCAACAAATGAGCAGGATAGAGTCAGCCAAACTGGGCTGCAGATATCGTAATTCACCATAGAAAGACTTCCACACTCAGCAACCAAAGTGGCTCGAGCCAATGCAGGTCGACATCAACTATGCCGACTTCTGTAGTAGTCTCTGCTGAACCTCCTCCAACAACGCCCCCAGTTCCTTGCCACCCTCACCAGTCTTCCCCTCAACGTCCAGTCCACGCTCGAGAATAGTCTTAGCCTCCTCCCAGCGACCCATCTCAGCCAGACACTTGCCCGCACGCCACCAAGCCTTCACATTCGCAACAGGCTTGCAATCACAGCTGGCCTTGGCATCGATCATTCCCTCGGGCCAGGCCTGCAGCGCCATGTACGCCTGCGAGCGGTTGGCGTACAGACCAGATAACTCGTCACGGACCAGGTTGATGGGTTCCCAGCCGGGGCGACTGAGAGCCATATCGATGGCGTAGGTGTAGAGCTTGACGGCCTCGGCGTAGTTGGATTTGCGGTAGGCCTGGTTGGCGGTGTCGCGGAGTTTGGTGATCTGGGCGCTGCGCTTGGGGTTGATGGGGAGTGGCGGAGGGGGATGTTAGGGGCGTCGAGGGCGATTAGTGAGCGGTGCAGGCTGTTGAGGGCTTGTAGCTCTTCGTTGATGGCTGTGGTTTGAGAGGCGGATTGGCTGGAAGAGGATGGGAGGGAGATGGCTTTGGAGGTCGGGTCGAGATGGAGGGGATACTGGTGGAAGATGTCGATGCTGCTGGCCATTTTGATGGGAAGGCTGGCCGACTAATATGCAGGTTTGGAGATTTGCGAAAGATCAGTCTCAGCTGTTGCGATTGTTGTCAGTATGGTACGTGGTATGGGATTATGTACGGTAGTGCACACTTACCAGAGCGTGGATATTAAAAACGAGCAACAATAACTATCGCTTGCAAAGCCTAAAGATCCTCGTAGTCAAATATGGTGTAAAAGGTTATCTTTGGAATGGTCACTAATTATTTACAATGTCAGGATCGCAAGCTGTCCTGAAGCTATTCGATACGAACGGAAGGCGGTGGCAGAACACGCATACATGTCTTTATCGGAGGCATATCACTATCCCGTTAGTTGGCTTCAAGCCAATGTCATGATTTCAAGCGCTATGTTGGCTGTCAAGATTATCCTCTAGAAATTCCCCAAATTATGCCAGTAGCATGCCTCATTGTCAGATTGACTCAAAGTGAAAGTGAATGTTAATTTGGAGTATCTATGAATATCCTAAGTCCGCCCCATAAGCTGAACACATGCGACTCCTCTAACGCTGCTCCAAAACAGCTGCAAAACTAGGGTGATCGTAAACATCGTCAAAGGAACAGAAAACTGCAAACAATTTTGAAGAGGCATTGTTCCCCACGCCGACTGACTGCAACAAATATCATCGCCTAAAGTCAAGATAAGTAAAATAATATTGAACAGACCTCGATAGACCAAAGGGCAACACACGTAAGGTCGTACAAGTATATGCGCCTGCAAACACCGCTTTAAGATCAATACCAGAATATAAAGACAATGCGCATGAGTCGAGATCAAAGACCGTCTTTAACGTCCATAGCCACTCAGGGTAGAACCGTATTCAGACGGTTGTGCATAGTGTTGCCCGTGCGCGCCGCCGTAACTGGTGTTGTAGTCATGCAGCACACTCCCTGATCCGGTAGTAGCAGTGGGATCATAGGCACCATGCATTGCAGTTCGTCCGTTGCCATTTCCGAGGTCGTCTACCTCGCTTTGATGCAGCAGGGCATAATCTTCATCCTGATCGTTACGAACAGAAGCGCCCATTCCAGCACGTCCGGAGCGGAAATCATCCTCCTCTTCCTCAAAGTCGTGCGCAGGGTTCGAGGAGAAAGCCGCCTTGCTCTGTGCAGCGAACGTAGGATCGGAAACAGCATCGGGAAGGGTACCGGTTCGGCGAAAATGCATGACATTGCGGAAGGACATCCAAGCGGTCGCAACAAACAGAAGGCTGCACACAAGCCTCATTAGCAAGGATATCGCGCGAAATATGAAAGTCAGGAGGAAGCCCTACAAGATCACAACTCCCAGAATCACAGTTGCCGTACTAATCTTGCATTTGCTGGCGTTTCCGTACTTCCATGCGTCGCAGCCACTCTTCTTGTCATCTTTATTCTTATCGCTGGCACTGTCGCTCTTGCCCTCGGCCTTTCCCTGCGCGACATAACTTGCGACGCAAATCCACGCAGAGAACCACAGAATGGCGTACAAACAGTCGACCGTAGCGAAAGCATAGACATTTCCGAATCGTCGAGCGCGTGGCCACATCGGCACTGCGACGAGGTAAATCAAACCCGGGATACTGAGCCAACACTTCATTGGCGCCGACAGATTAGCTCCATGGTCCACTTTCCTGTTCCTTCTTTGCTGGAAGTAACAATCAAAGACTGAGACTCACTAAGGCCCAGTACCAGGCTGACCGCCCATCGATCCCATCACCCTTTGTGAAGACGGCAATGGTCAAAGCCCATGCGAGAAAGATGATGAACCCTTGTACCCCATGAATGAGGTTTTTCGTTCGTCCGGGGTTGAAGGAAGGTCGTGATACTCGCATGTTTGCGGGTGGAGGAGTGAACTGGGAAGCTGACGCTGACAGAACTTCCTAAGAGGAAGTAATTCGAGTGAAGGCACCTGAATCCCAGAAACAGATATCTGATATCCTTGACGATCTCTTTCTTACTCCCGATAAAGTATTAAGGCAAAAAGAAGGGGAAGCTCGTTGTGGAATGAAGAGAAAATGCTCAAGTGTGCTTGTTTATGCTCGGATTGCGCAGCGCAACGGGGCAACCCGACCGATGCCGTGTGGACTGCGGACACTAGGTCGAGACCCACTGACGATATCAAGGGGAGAGAGTGTGCACCAAGTCGCAAACCGCAAAAATATAGTGATGGTTAACTGATAAAGGATATGAGTTGATGGAGGATATGAGTAAGAGATGAATGTGAGCTGGAATTTGGTTCTGGTGGATAGCAGGCAGTGATATTCTTTGGAATTCTTCTGCCTCGTGCCTCTGTCCAACTATATGTTAATTACCCGACATGCGTCGATCCTGATTCCTGTATCCCACAGATACCTTACTCTCAGTATGAATCTTTGTGCTCTACTACTATCCTGAGAGGATCAACTTTGAGTCGATTATCCACTCTGTACTCAATTCGATCTCTCGACAAGAGTGATATAATAATGCTGAATTGAAGCCTTGTATTGCTGAGTAGTCTCTGAGCCATATCTGGCGACCCAAATCCGCCGCTCTACGGAGTATTTGTGGAGCCTTCTAATCCTGATTGTCTAGACGGCTTGCCTAAACAATAATTTATCAGTGCCTTAGGCGCACCCTCACTGCTTCCACCTGAGCGACGACAAGGTTGGTTAATCATGTGGTCATCTTGCATATTCACCCCGAATTGACTGAGACAAGGCGGCATAGCATGGCTGACAGCAATATGGCTCAGTCGATGCTCAACCCCCGCTGGCTCCAATATCCTCCCGGCGTCTTAAAATGAGCGAGGCTTGAAGATAATTGTCGAAAACAAATCTAAAACAATATATGAAATGACTGCAATACCTCAGGAAAATTACGACAAGTGCTGACTTCTCGCCGTGCGCGCAGTGAGCCAACAGCCCCACTCTGGCACTGACATCTTCATCAGCAATGGCCCTGACACACAATACTACAAAGTCAGCTGGCTCTGCACTCTTCCTCACAAACTGGCAACAGCGCAGAAATGTTAGATGATGAACACAAATCACTCTACACCAAGGCAGCGGACTGCAATGCTTACACACTTAGACACATTAGGACACACAATGTGGTGCTGGCGTGTCTCCCAGTTGGGGAGTCTGGGGTGGTTCCAGCTGCTGTAACCATTATGAGGATGAAGGTGACCTTTCCAAAACTTGAAATTAGGCTACTTATCAGCATTAGAGGCGGGATTCCGAGTGTTAAGCATGACATTCAACTAGGGGATGTCGTTGTGGGGGACACCGGTGTGATTTAGTATGATATGGGCAAGACCATCCAGGGTGGGCAGTTTATCTGTACTTAAGAGAGCACCTTCAGCTGCTGCAAGGCCCATTACTCACAGTTTCTAAACTCCGGGCAGGCCATCAGTTGGGGAAGGAGCGGATGAGCGAATATATCAATGACATGACCTGATGTTACCCAGATTCCTCATATCCAGGTGTCGACCTTGACGTCCTATTTGCTTCGGATATGACCACCTAGAGCGAAACGCCTTATGCGCCCAGTGTGACCCATTCAAACAAGTTTTTTCAGAAACCTCAACCATTAATGCGACCGGTGGTACATTATGGGTTGATCACATCTGGGAACCAAGTGATGCACCACAGAGCCACCTGTGATGAGCTACAGACAGAGCATGATATCCTCTGTTTCAAAATAGAGGCAGCTGGGTTGATAAGGGTATTTCCCTCTCTAGTTGTTTATGGCATTTATGATTACTCTAATAGCCATAAGAATAAAATCTGGCAGGACTACGCTGCTGTGGCGGCAGCAGCTTATAAGAAAGAACTCTTAACAATCATACCTAGTCCACTAGCACACCAGGCTGGTGTGTATTTTATAGTCCCATTTGCATTAAGCCCTAAGTTTGTCAGATGAGAGACAGTCTCGGAGATGATAGACCAGAAATTAGAGGCAAAGCAGCCAGCAGTCCTCACAGGAATAGGTGGAGTTAGGTATGAATATAGCTAATACTATGTATTAAATTTGGCTAACCAAGGGCGTAGGAAGATGCAACTAGCCGTGCATTACTACTATCTTTACCAAGGAAGATCATGTATTTTGGGTAAATGCTAGCACCATCACTAATTTTAAGCAAGGATATCATGATATCATACATGCCCTCTGTCTTACCAGCCATAAAGATCCTATGATGGACACGGGGCTGCAAGTTTGTGAGTGTCTCTTAAAGAATATTACCATTCGCTGGCTTATGGTTCTTGATAATCAGGATGACGCGCAGATAATCACATTATAGACAGCCCCAATCCCCAGCTTGCGTGGTAGCAGGGGATTAATCATCATGACAACATGTAATATGTGAGTATCGCGGTATCTCCTGGAATAGGGTTATGTGGAGGCAGATCCCATTGCCCTGCTGCTGCTTGATGCATCAGATCATTCACATACCCATGACGTGATTGTAGAATTACTAGCTCTGGGACAACAGCAGAATAAAGCAGACCTTCTGGAGCTGATATAAATACTAGGATGTTTCTCCCTCACTCTTATACAGGCCATGGCCCATGGCCTCAGTGGAAAGCGACGTGGCAGGATTACTGATCGAAATCTGGGATCTAGCCAGTAGAAGCAGCGGATCAGTGGCAAACCCTAATCTCGGCAGTTCGGACTAACCGCCTACCTGGCGGCTTGGGAAGCACGAGAGATATAAACTGACGCTCACAGACCATCTACTACTATACAAGGTAGGTATCTCAAGGACTTAGCCTACCTAATCATGCATCTCAGTGGCTTGAGTAGTTTCCCAACTAAGGACACCTAGGACATGGCTGAACAGAAGAAAGATCTTATCTCAGAACACTTAACAGCCTTGTATTGTCATCTATTCCTGGTAACTAAATAATCATCAGCCTGCCTCTGAACCAGTCCCTAGTCCTTCACACTTCTCTAGCATGAATATTTACAACGAGGTCTGCTCAATAATGATCCTAGAATATAGTTCCTCACTATTTCAGCATGATAGGGTTCACTTGGCCTTTAGTCAATGCCTGTGAACATCGGTTCCAATGAAGTTTAGGTTGTACATGTTTTAAGTAGCTCCTATTAAGGCTCTGTTTGTTCATTACTACGGAAAAGAGCACCAAATTTTAGTATTCAAAACCAAGTTAATATACCCTTAAAGCTCGGTTTTATCCATAACTATCAACCCATATTAAAGGATATGTTGGCGCCTCGTACGGCAAGTAGAACGGGAGGTAGTATGTCTGGGTCATCATGGCGCCCTGGAGCAGGCAGGAAAAGGTGCAGCCTAGGAGGACAGAGCGTTGAGAAAGGGCGCGAAGGGGGATTAGGGCACTGGTTTCTGTTAGATTCGGACACGCATCAGATGGGCAGAGGGTGGCGATAACATACTCGTCCTTCTGACGGTGTTGCATGTATCCGAAGAGAGCGAGGAGCAGGCCGAAGCCCAGGAAGCAGCCCCATACACGGGAGTCAGACCAGAAATAGTCGGACCCGCCCCACTTGAAGAGCAAGAATCAGGCAGACTAAAGTACCGGTTAGGATCAAGGCGCTCTTCATGCCGAGGCTGGTCAATTTCTGTCGACGTGAACGGCTCTTGTAGGGCGCTCCGCCAAGAGAAGACGGGTAGTAGGAGCTCACAATGAACCCCTGTCAGGCCACCCAAGGCTGTAAGGCCGTCAGCTCGTGGTGTCGCATATTGACTTGTAGCTAGGAGGATTCACGCAGATTGATCCAAAAACAAAATCTCCAGGCGAGGCGGGCAGAATGGGTGAAACCACCACCTAGAGACGGGCCAACCACCGATGCAACACCATACATGCTCGTCACAATGCCCAGCAACAGCGGGCGCTTTTGCATCTCGACATCTGCGCCATAATAATCAAAGCTCCGCAGAACAGTTCGGCTGCTCCCAGCCCGGCAACGGCTTGACCGGTGATGAAGGCGGGAGAATTGGGTGCAGCTGCACAGATCACAGACCCAGCTTCGAACAGCAAGCCAGATCCAAGCCACACCCACTTCAGGTTGAAGAAGGTGTAGGCTTTGCCGAATGTCGGCTGGAAGGACATCTGAGCCAGCAGGTAGACGGAGCCATTCCACGCTAGCGGAAGGGTCATCCTTTGTTAGCAAGTCATGAGAGCTCGTGACCGCGATAGACTCGTAGCTTACTCACATCGCTGAGGCTGTCAACGTCTGTCGTGATTACTGATATAGCTGTGACTAGTTTCTGTCAAATTGGGTGGGGACAAACGGCGCTGGAATATTTGTGGTGGGGGTCAGGCTACTCACATATGATGCTGTTATCTAATGCGACTGTAAACACTCCCACCATCAGGGAAAGCGTCATCAAGACCAGGGCGCGGCCGTGAAGATACTTGTCTTCCTCATGCAGTTCGCTTAGGGCATCTGGCTGGGTAGTAATATGTAGAGCGGGTGATTCTTTCCTTGCAGTTGATTTCTCGCCTTCTGCAGTGTCTGCTCCAGCCATTTTCGCTTCCACAATGGTACCGTCTCCTCTGATGCATTGTCAGGTCGATATGTGAGGCACACAATAGCTGCGCCAATACGTATGGACTTGCCTGTTAATCACCGACTTATCGCCGAGGTTTGATGATGATGCAACAATATGCGATTGCATCATGATGTCTATCATCCACAGGTTGTGAAATCAGTAGCGCGCATCCGCTAAAGAGGCCTGTCATGAGTCCATCGTGATATATAGCCGCGGTTGGGAGGTTTGTCTCCTCCACAGCCGGCGTTAATGTGATTGCTATAGATGTGATGCATGGTTGGATACCCCGATTGGCAGATAACGAGGCCCTGCAAATGGCCCTCTAGTCCAGAGTAGATGGTTTGCATGGGCCAATATAGCCGGGATAAGGCCCTTCAAGTCCCTTCTGCTACTAGATTCAGCTCTATAGTAGTAGGTATTTCCCGAAGTCATAAGAGCTGTCGCATACATACCCTGAAAAACACAATCACATATGATCCACTAAGATTGCACGGGTAGGTTTCTGGTCGACGGGACTGATTAAGGTTAACATAGATCATTTTCCTAAGCGAGAGGGCGAGAGGAGAACAAGAAAAACTGAAAAGCTTATCTAGGCACAAACTTACACAGCTGAAAACCTTGGGAGAGCTATGAAGTGTCTCATCTAGGGGAGATGCTGAGAATATCAGGTAAATCTACCTCAATAGACAACCTCTCCAGCGTTAGTACCATGGATTACTGGTTTGATAGTTCTAGTGGAAAAAAGCCCATTTACATGAAACGACTATTGCAGCTTATATTCAAAACTCCTGCTCTGCAATATTCATCAACAGCTCCAGAGCACCGCCCAATGATCCTGTAGGGTACCAACCCGCAAAAATGCTAATCAAGAACAAATGAAAGAGAGAGGTGCAAGGAGCTCACTTCAAGCCGTTTTACCGTGAGCTTCAGTGAAAACACTGAAAGCCATTCCAAAGTGTCTACCTGGTTGATAGATATGAGCATCCCACCACCACGGTAAAGGGTCGAAAGAAGAATATCGCCAGTTCTTCCAGAAAACGAGCTGACCTGCCTGGTAAATCAAGTGGTCAAGTAATTGGATTGCTCGCGAAACGACTAGCACAAGTCGCCCACATTCGTGAGTCTTGAGCGCCTCATAAAGTCTCGATCCCTGGGACGTTGCCTTGCACATCAGACTACGAATCCCCGTATTGCTCGACTCCGTCAAGCGCGTAGACATGCCGTTAGTCTGTGCAGCCAACACAGTTAAACAGCCAGCAGGAATCGAGCAGGATGCATCTTGCAAGAGATGCCCGACGGCCGCTGCACCTTGCGTGCAGCCTGCAATGTGGAGGACATGACGCACGGAGTTTGTATCAAACACCTCATCGACCATCAACTTGACGCAAAGTAGCCCCGTCAAGCGCGGACCGCCTTTCATCGCAAATCTCTCCATGAGTTTGCGGATAGCGATGGCGAGCGCTTCGTCTAGACGGGACCGGCCCCAGCCCAACTGCTGATCCGAGGGACGGATCTTGATCGCTTCGAGGGAACCGCGAACCACAAGCATTTCAGCAAAGTATGTCCCCAAGCGGGTCTGTTGCTGCAGCATCCAGGGGCTATCCTTGGAGACTTGAATCTCGCTGACTTCGGTATAAGTCTGGCTGATGGTGCGCTTTGGCAGCACGATAACCTTGCTGCCACCTGCGATGGAGCTCGCTCTGCGCATCTGATAGACCTTGGTCGGTGACCGATGGAGTATACTGTGGATAGAGGCGCGCGACTGCACGTGATGCGTTTCCAGCACAGGTAGGTCCTTCTCGACGAGATACTGATTGAAAGACTTTGGACAACTGAATCTGTCTGTGAGTTCCGTGTCCAGATGCATGCATTTGCAGTTTATCCGACTTTCAATGACTTCTTTGGCCATCGCATCTTCCATGACGGTGGCCTTGTCCGAACACGGGATCCAAATGTCCACTTTCTCTCTGTATATGATGTCCAGCAGTTGTGGAATATATTGCGACTGGGAGATCTTGTAGAAAGCTGCGAGAGTCCGGGACATGCTTTCGCCAGATCGGATGGAGGAATCCGTGATGCTCGCACCCACTACCCGGTGGCCTTCGTAGTACCAGGATCGTGCCACCGCCAGTCCGGGCGGGGTATCTATGCCCGTCACCAGGACGGTTTTGGGATAGAAGTGTTCATTTCTCAACGCTGCCTTCCTCTGACGGCTTGGACATGAGCCCGACAGAAGTTGAGAAATAGACCCGACGATGTAAACTGCCAGCAGAATGGCATTGTCGAGGGGTAGTAGTACGAAAGCGACAGCGACCCACAGCAGATGGACTAGCATCCGTACCAGGTTTTGGACAAAATGAAGGGTTTGCTGTTTCGGTATTGAGCCAAAGGCTCGTCGCATCGTCCTGGCGGCCATTCTGTTGAGGATGAGCGTTGGAGCTCGCAGTTTCTGTTTCTCTCGGCGTGGGCTGGTTCTTGTGCATATTTGACCCCTCCTTCGGAATGCAGATGTAACCACGTCACCGTGCATTATTACAGCTATTTTGTGTAGCTGTCATGCTATTGTCTTCTTTATTATGACATATCAGATCTTGTCTCCATTCATTGATCTTGTTTCTTCTAAAATCAAATTTCTTTGCTTGATTTTTACCTCTGAATCAAGTCTTTGTGTTACACCAACAGTCCTTCTTGTTTCGTGTACTGTTTCCGATGGTCCAAGTCAGCCATCGATTACCAGGTGGCATCAGCTGTATAAGCACACATGTCATGCTAAGGATTCTCAAAGCCATTTCCAAGCCTAATTTTTAAGAATTGACTTCCATATCTTTTGGATGAATGAGGCACAACGGATGCGCTGACTAATGGTAGATGCCTAGGCCAGTGTCTCGGACTCTCGGTTGTCAATGGCTCAAGTGGGCGGTTAATACTCTAATGATAATGAAGCTGCAACTCCAAAACATGTGAAATAGGGAATACAGAGTGGCTCCAGATGACAAGAGACTGGCCACAATTGTGCGTGGCTTTTAGATCAGAAACTGGGACCTTTCCACGCTGCGAGTTGCTGCCCTAAGAGTTAAAGCTATAGTACTTAGTTTGTCTTAGTTTGCCTAATACTCTGCTCTATACATTCATCAAACTACCCATTTGAGTATATCATGACTATAAGGAAAAGGATAAAAGGTCAGTCCTCCTCGTTGTCCAGTCTTCTCCCTACGATGCTTTATTTAGTTGGATTGTTTGGAACTTCCACAGGTCCCTTGCATGCATATACAGATATAGGTCTTCAGCAATGTCACGCAAAAAAACAAAGAAGTCAGATAAAGTTGACTGGAGATCTGGAATGGCTTTGTTTACTAATCTAATCCTAATGTAAAATCAACTACGTTGATTCTACAGAGCGAGCCCTGTATAGGGTGAACCAAAATTCCATCTAAAGATGGAATATGTCCCAGTTGTTTTAAGAGTATTGCTTGTAGTAACTATGCGGACTTACTAGATTTATAAAGACACATGACTACACGATTTATCTTGGTGATCATTAGAGGATCATAAAGGAATCAAAATCCATCACGATTGAGGACTGGTAGAAGTTCAGAGACCGCGAAGCTGGTTCCCCACTATTCTCTACTCCTCTGCTGCATTATCAAAAGGCTAGTTTCTGTTATTTAAAGTAGTAAATACGTTTTCCAGAGACCATTTGAAGAGATTAGAAACATACAGACTCGATCGATGAGAGAAATCGTAAAAGAATCAACGCTGCTAGCTAACGTACTTGATGCTTTTGTAGAGAGAAGATGCATACAATTGCATTCAGCAAAAGAAGCAAAAAGAAGCATTGAAGAATTAATGCTGCTAGGCACTTGCTGGGTGTCCAGACGCCCGCTGCTCCTTTCCTAGCTAAGTGCATTTCATTTCACCGACTTCTCTCTTCACCTTTCTCTCGGAGACAAAAGGCATCGCTTTCGGCAAGTATATAGTGAGCTAGTCCAAGGATTTGAATGCTGTGTAGAAGACCACTACTTTCTACCTATAACTCCACGAGCACTTCCAGGACGATATATTATCACTACTTCTTTGATCGCATCATGATTTTCGCATGTTCCGTTTTTCTTATAATACTCATTGCCTACGGGATACACGTGCCCTGAAGGGTAGAAGGAACTTACTATTGTCTCCTGGTCCCAAGCCCTTGCCATTGATTGGAGACCTCCATCGGCATTCGTCAAGTGTGCCTCCGTGGGAGCAGTATGCCAATGGCATGAGATCTCTGAGCCTATCATTAGCCTGAAAAGCGGACAGCGAACGGTGATTCATCTTAAGACTCGACCAGTTATTCAGTTATTCGAGATCTGCTGGAAAACAAAAGCGGCATTTATTCTTCGCGCCCCCGCATGGTCGGTCTCGCCGACACCTTTTTTTAAGAGCATGCTGCCAGCATTCATGCCGTATGGGGACAAATGGAGCAGAATCCACCGCTTTCAGCAGTCTATTCTTGACAGCCCATGCGCTCACTACCCTCCTCTGGACATGGAAAGCAAACGGCTCCTCTATAAAATGCGTGACGGAAGCTGGACACCAGATTACTTCTCCCAGTTCAATGAAAGTTATGCCACGCATTGGCCTATGGAACGAAAGTATATCAACGCGATGGGAAGATGAGACAGGACTTTCTGGGCCTCCTGTCCACATTTGTCAATCACTTCGGAACCAAGGATATCTTGTTGCTGAGCTTTACCCAGCCCTTGAACCGGTAATTATATCTTTCACCTCTTTCAAAGAGTCGAAAAGCGCTGTGGCCCGTTTCTATAACGGGATTCAACGCACTTTTATAACAAGACGTTATTAGGGTATCAAAATAGGCCTTGGAATTGGACACAGTGCATACAAAAGAGCCCCCTTGCGGATTGCTCGATAGTGAGAGGGCCGTTATCTTCGCCGATGGAGTTTGCTACTACGATAACCTTTTCAGTTATGATGATGCACATGGTTGAAATTTTGAGGTATCCAGATGAAGTGAAGAAGGTACAAAGCGAGTTTGACAGCGTTGTGGGCGTACGAGGCCTCCCATCGTTTGAAGATCATGAAAGCTTGCCGTTCACAATGGCCTTCCTCTCAGAGTTCATCCGAGTCGTCGGCATGCTACCCTTGGCTGCCCCTCACGCCACATTAAAAGAGGACTTCTATAAGGGATACTACATCCCCAAAGACGCAGTCATCCTTCCCAACCAATGGGCTGCCAATATGGACCCGGGCATCTTACAAAGACCCGAAATCTTTCAGACCAGAGCGTTGGATTGAATCCCCGCGTCTGGCCCGTCCCGTCCTCTTCGGTTTTGGCAAACGAGCCTGCCTTGGTCAAGCACTCGGACTGAACTCAGTGTTTATAGGAATTACTCGCGTGCTATGGAGTTTCGAGCCTAAGCAGCAAAGGAAATGATATTTTCTGGAAAGGGCTGTTGACTATGGCGTCTTGGGAAGCTAGTTTTGTACAACCGCCAAAGCTTGCGAATGTCACAATGAATGTCCGCAGTGAGCAACACAGGCAGACTATTGAGGAACAATGGTCAGGAGCACTGGCAACCAAGACTGGACAAATATGCGCGATAGCCATTTTCTAAAACAGGAAAGAGTAAGTTTCCAATAGATTCTAATTTATGCACTTCACTCAATGTTACGTTCTCTTGAACCGCTGTCTATTTCCTGCTGCTTTGGTTGGCACCCTTGTGGCTCAGTAGGCGCTATAACCATCCTTTGCCGCTCTGCGCTGGAGATCAAGGCAGCGAAGACCATGCACACGGTCATGAAGATGGTGAAGTTGGTGGCGAACTGGCTGTGAAGGATGCAAGTGGACAAAAGAGGGATTCCGAAAGTCGATGTTGGATCGTAGATGCCGGAATTGCTTCCTACTCGCTCGCTTGTCATTGAAGGCTCGCCGTTGGACGACGATACCTCGATCCCAAGGCAGATGAAGTCTCATTTGTGAACAATCTACCTATCGCAGAGCAAGGGTGGCCACACGATGTATCGGACTGGGAACCTGAAAGATATGCCCATGATGAAACATTCGCTTTGTGGGTCGCCGGTCCAACAGGTCGAGCTCCGTGGGCAATGCCTGGAGTTAAGTGAGGTTGATCATCACGTCGATCAGCATCTTTGCAAGAGTGAGGAGGTAGTATCGGTATATCACCTTCGATGAAAAGGAAGTGGGATCTTAGTGGCTGACGTATTTTCTCATCAACGGATTCTACAGGTGTCTGAGCATATGACTCGTCTGTCACCGGACCAGGTACAAGACAGTGTGAAGTGTCGGGACGAACGGCCTGTTCAACACTGGTAAGGAGTAATGCATATCGACAGTGACAAGGAGGTCATGTCTCATATTATTCAATGTCGCGCCCTAAGGACGTTGCGTATATGCTTCCTGGCTCTACACTGCAGAAGTATACCATTAATGATGCATGTTTTACCAGCCTTGCCAGTTTCGAAGCGATGTTGACACTGAAATATTAAAAGCTGCCCGTATCAATCTGGTACAACAACATGCCATCCTTCGTACAGTTGCCGTGCGAGTTGACGGCGCTGATATCCTTCAAGTTGTGAGGAGGAAGCCTGATGTACTGTTTGAATACATGGACGCACCGGCAAAGGGAGGCCTCAGAGATTTCATTTGTCCTGTGGACTTTCTCGCAAGGATGCCGCTGTCCCTCAGGCATGGCCTGCAGGAGCTTCCACTCTGCAGTTGTCTTGGTTGGTAGGTCACTAGACCTACCTGGTGTGGACATTGAATGGGGATTTGCAAGAAATCCTTTTCTAGTATGCATCAGCTCCGGCAAATCCCATTTTAGGTAGAAATTTCTGGACATGGAAAGTTGACAAAGTTAACTCTGTCCCTTAGAGTTACACTGGTTCATGCATTATCAAGGGGCTACGGACGGCTATTGAAGTTCTCGACTCCGGGAGATTCCAAAGACCCTGAGCAGTTCGACAAGCAGGGTCTAATTACCTAAACTCCGAACACCAGTGTCCGATTGCCGAGTATCAAGGCTGTAAGGTATGTTTCATGCGATATACCTTCGTGTCTGCCTACCTAGTATGTTGAGTCAACGCCCGATAGTTCTGACAGTTACATCAACCCCACTGTATGGTCGGGTTTCATTTCCGTTTGAGGTAGTTTGTGACGAAGTACGGAAGTATAGAAATCAGCGATAAGTCCGCGAGTTTGATGAGTCACGACCAGCATTACTAAGATTGATATAGCCTACAATATCTGCATGATTGATAGGGGATATCGATAATTTAGGCTCCTACTTCGTGTCATTACGTAGTAGTGTGTAGCTTGCCAATTATACGAATTGCTCGGAGTTAACTGCTCCGTCGGTTATGGTAGAAGCCCCGAGCTCCGAGTCTTGTTGCATCAGCACTGTGGGTAAACGCGGAGGTTGTGGAGTGAAGTGCTCGAATAAAAGGCAGCTTGTTTACCCGTTTGCTTTACTATCTTCATATATCGCTCCGTCCTTCACATCGAATCTTATCTTTGTGTTAACTCATAATGGCAGATCAAAGTCAGCGTCACCCTCGTCCTGGACAGGTAAGCTATTCATTCGCTACATCTATTGTGCTACGATGTCCGTCTAACGCTAGTCCATGTACAGCATGAGAGCGGAAAAGAGCTCAAGCTCCTGCATTTCATCTACGAACAACCCGACATTGATGAGATCAGAGGCAACCCGCAACGGGTTCTGGATCTCATCCACAAGTTCGAAGAGAAATATCGTTTCATGAATGTGGGAGCCGCCAAAGGCAAGATCGTCACCGATCTCATTGCTGAGCTCAAGCCACATACAATGATCGAATTAGGCGGCTACGTAGGCTACTCAGCCATACTGTTCGGCGATGCCGTCCGCCGAGCTGGCGGCAAGCGCTATTTCAGTCTGGAGCTGAACCCGGAATATGCCGCCATCGCCAACATGCTGATCGAGCTTGCCGGTCTGCGGGACTTTGTCCGCATCATCGTCGGTCGAAGTGACAAGTCGCTGTACAAGCTGTTCACCAGCGGCGAGGTCAAGCGGATCGAGCTCATGTTCCTCGATCACTACAAGCCCGCGTACACCACGGATCTGATGCTTTGCGAACAGCTCGGCATGATTGTTCCCAATGTCTCGGTTCTGGCCGCGGATAATGTCTTGCGGCCCGGTAACCCACCGTATCTGGAGTATGTCCGCAGCACGGTGGAGCAGAAGCGCGAGGCCGCCAAGAAGGGACCGATCAAGAGCTATAACAACGAAGGCATTCCGCAGCGGACGGTCCAGTCTTTCCTGGGTGAGGATGATAAGCCCAGTTTTGAGGTGCTCGGGGACCCGAATTTAGTGTACAAGAGCACGCTACATCAGCCCGAGGGGTTGCAGGTCCGTTGACTCATTCCATGGACCATTACACATTGCATTCGGCTGACATTTCCTATTCTAGGATGCGATTGAAGTGAGTCGGTGTGTTGGGATAGAGGAATAGAGTACGCCATCGATTCATGATTGGAAATCAATTCTGCGATTTGTAATCACAAAAGCCATCACAGTCATAGCAAGATTCAATTACGCGACTCTAATCTCCGAGAATACTTAGAATGGGATGGAAAACCTCAACATCGGCCGGCGGACAGAAATCCGAGACGGGACAAGAGTCGGCTTCTGGATGGAGCCCCGCCCGCCCGATCCAGAGGTTGCGGTAGTTGCCCCTCGCCAGGACCTTCCCCCGCACCCGCTCCTTTTCTATGACGACCCTGGAAGAGAATTTCGATCAGCTTGCCAAAGTGGCACGGAGCGTTCATTTTGTGTATATAAGGCATAGGACGAGAATTACTTTCCTGGCTTTCTCAACTTTATCTACAAGCTTTGTTCTGTTGGTTCCTTTTCCTCACTCTCTCTTCTAGACAATCATCATGGCCTCCAAAACCTGGAACGTCGGTATCGTAGGCTATGGCTTCAGCGCCAAAATCTTCCACATTCCCTTCGTCGCAGAAGTCCCTCAATTCAAACTCTATGCTATTGTGCAGCGCACACCCAAGCCCGAGGACGATGCCGAGAAAGACCACCCTGGAGTCAAGTCTTATCGCACCGCTGAGGACATGATCAAGGATGCTGCGGTCGACGTTGTGATCATCACCACTGCCCCTGACTCGCATTATGCTCTGGCGAAGCTGGCTCTGGAGAACGGCAAACACGGTGAGTTTGGTCCTTTCCTCGACTATCTTGATTGCACTTTCGCTGATATGGCCTATTTATATCTAGTTGTTTGCGAAAAGCCCTTCACTCCCACCTCGCAGGAGGCCAATGACCTCGTTACCCTTGCGCAGCAGCAGAACAAGCTGTTGGCCGTATTCCAGAGTACGTTAGACAAACCGAATTCGGTCGAAAAATCCACTTCTAGGAACTGACTTCGAGGTTGACAGACCGCCGATTCGATGCCGACTTTGTCACGTTAACCAAGCTGGTGAAGAACGGCTCGCTTGGCCGAGTTGTCGAATTCGAGACTCACTTTGACCGTCACCGGCCCGAGGAGCCCGCCGCCGATGCTTCGAAATGGAAGAACAAGGTCATCCCGGGTGGCAGCGCCATCTACGATCTCGGGAGCCATCTACTCGATCAGGCTGTTCACTTGATGGGAATGCCGGATCGGATCACAGGGTTCGTTGGCTCTCAGAGGGCTATGAACACGACAGGTTTTGAGGACTCGTTCACTGTTCTGTTGCACTATAACAATGGACTTCTTGTAACCGCCAAGGCGGGTGTTGTGAGCCCTGAGGAGAAGCAGTTGCGGTACTGGGTTCGAGGTGAGAAGGGTAGCTTCAAGAAGGTGGGAAATCTGATCACTTTTACTCGGCCCAACGCTGACATGGTTTCCATAGCTCCACCTCGATATTCAGGAGGACCAGCTCAAGGCTGGAATGAGACCCGGAGACAACGGATACGCTCGGGAACCTAGTGATAGATACGGTAGGTCGCATCCGCATTGCAAGTTTTGGCAGTCATATGACTAACGATGCTTTTGCACAGGAACCCTGACCACCATCCAAGACGGCAAGCCTGTCGCTGAGATCTTCCCAACAGTTGAACCACCTACATACACCGAATACTATCGGAAGCTTGCCCGTGCTCTTGCCGGAGAAGGCGATCTTCCGGCCAGTGGTGCCGAGGCCGCCAAAGTCATCAGATTGATTGAGCTGGCGAAGGAGAGCTCGAAGCTTGGCAAGACAATTGACGTTTGAATTCAAGCAAAATGTACGATTTAGGCCGCGGCGTGTATTGATCTTGAAAATAGATAGCAGTGATGACTCTCTGAAATCCTACGCCCTGAGCTTATTACCAAGATAGGCTAGATTGGTTCCTTCCTGTAACCCCAATATACCACGGGGTGGCCGCTGTCAGGTGGTCAGCAAGTGCCGGAGTAACGGAGAACTACAGAGATCGCTGTTTGCAGCATAAAAGTACGTAATTTTACGCTAGGCTGACAATACAGAGGAGCCATTGCATTACCTCATTTATTTCGCATGTAGCCGCTAAACCCAAACAGGAATTTCCATTACCAAATGCAAACCCTCTGAATGGAAGAACCAGGACAATTGCAACATCAAAGCAGAACCGAAGGGAACAGAGCGTTTTGCTGTACAGGGACAATACATCGATGACTCTCTCCAAAACCCATACAGATTGCCACTGTCCGCGGAGATGCGGGCGTTGCTATGCCTGCTGGGAGGAAAAAGAGACAACCGGCTTGGAAATCTCTCTGCGCTAGGGCATTTATATAGGTGCAAGCATGGTGATGACAGTCAGAAACCTCACTCCAAGTCGGACTAATGATGTGCTGCTAGTCACTGGACGGCCTACTTGAATGTTGATCCCCTCTCTTCTCCTCACCTGTATTGGGGTCTCCTCATTTCAGGTCAGTTCTCCTCTCTCCCTTTCTCCAATTTGCAGCACATATATACTTCCCTTGCAGCCAATTTCCCATGTAGCTTTTTTTGCTCGCTTGATCATGTTTATCTTTTTCCTTTCTGGTGAACAGCACTTGTCGAGGAACGTGTCACAGATCTTAAAGTTACCCTAGTCTACCGAGTTCAACTTGTTTGTCCTCCTTGGGATATTTTCGTGGACTTACGAGGCTCATAGTTGTGTTATGTCCTCTGACTTGGCAGAGCCTCTTCGGTGACACAGCTTCAATCATGGTGCACCAACTTCAGCACGCACCACCCCCTCGAAGGGCTTTGACCTCTCTCGCTGGCACTTCGATATAGATGCCTATTTGAACCCGTATCTGCCCGCTCCACCATGGCGCTGGCTGCCTCGTCCTGTCTCTCATTTCTTCGGATATAGAGGGGATCAACCGCCTAAGGCTGTTGGCAACCTGGTGATTGCCTTTTGGGCCCTCATCGGAGCATTCTGTGGTGTCCTCGTTATTGCCGAGGCATCTTTGCATGTCCCGTCATTCCAGGCACACCATGCACCCATTATCGTTGCCAGTTTTGTGAGTCACCTAACCCTAGAAATTCCAGGCTCTTGCTATTGCAATAATACTGAGACTTGACAGGGCGCCACGGCGGTATTGGAATTCTCTGCCATCGATTCCCCGTTCGCCCAACCTCGGAATATGATCGTGGGTCAGCTGGCAGCGAGCATCATTGGTGTAGCGATTGGGAAGCTCTTTGCCTTGAATCACCATGCCCATGCGTTACCCCAAGTCGGAGGAGCTCTTGCTTGTGCTATCACTGTCGCTTTCATGGCTATCACGAATACCACGCATCCTCCTGCCGGCGCCACAGCTCTGTTAGCCGTCACCGAGGCATATGAGCTGGGCTGGTACCTGGTTCCGGTGGTGCTGCTAGGATGTGTGCTGATCCTTTCTGTGGCATTAATGATCAACAACATTCAGCGGCGGTTCCCCGTCTACTGGTGGACACCGCATAGCCTTGCACGTCCGAAACTCGAGGATGCTGAAAGCGTCAGACATGAGAAAGCACTCAGTATCAAACCCACTGAATCTGAGGACAGCGTCACGGATGCGCCTGAGCAAATAATCATTCGGCCTGGCGAAGTATTGATGCCTGACAACCTCTGGATCACTGCAGAAGAAAGGGAGGTGTTGGAGAGGGTCAGTCAACGAATACAATAGATCTGCTTTTCTCTAGCTTTCAGCATATAGAGAGCAGCGCTAGAGTTATAATGATAAGTTATACACGATGCCTCACTCTGAACATGTCGAACTTTTCTTCACTACATCCCACGAACATCACTCAACTGGATAGCAAAGGCCGTCAGTGCCTTAGGCTTAAGGCCAAAACTCACGTGCATCAAAGCTGCCCAATCAGGCCTGGCGGCGCCACGTACCATGCAGTGACGTCGCTTGGCCAATGAGAATCAGGCCCACTGAACGAATTTTCGATGGACGGCCACAAGGTATCTAAAGACTTCTTTATCCCTCCCAACATCTTCTTGGGTGTTGGTCTCCATAGTTTATTGCCATCCAGGCCTTTCGTTCATTGAGACTAGCTTCTCAGTACTACGTATATACCATTCTTCTTGCCCTCGATTCTAGCCCAGTTCGAGTTTCGAGTCCCACTACCGAGTAACGGCTGAGGATTCGCCTCCCCGAAGATTATCGATAAAGGGTTTTCAATAGAAGGTCAAGGATACATTTTTGGATTTCGAAAACACCCCACCTCAAAAGGCTTTGGTCGCCCCTCCCTACCTATTTTCTCCTTCCTCCCCGCTATCGATCCACTTTCGTCGAGCCTTTTTTTCATCTGCGTTCACGACCCTAGGCAGACTTTTGACCTTTTACCTGTCCTCTCCCTTGACCTCCCACCCTATCACCTTCCCCTTCCCCCAATACATACTGCCAAAATGGTGTCCGCTTCCAAAGCCGCTCGTCTCGCCAAGCGTGCCGCCGAGGGCGATAAGAAGAAGTCGAAGAAGGATGTCAAGGGTGACGAGAGCCCTTTGGTTGACGCCGATGGCGAGCCTCTCCCTACCGAAGATCAGCCCGCTACCACCGACGAGAAGATGAAGGAAGTTGAGAAGCTCACCGCACAGATGGATAAGCACGGTCTGTCCGACCGTGTCACCACCGGTGTTCTGTCCTCGATGGCTTCCTCTCGCGACGTCAAGATCACTTCCGCTTCCCTCGTGTTCCACGGCAAGGTCCTCATCACCGACTCTACTCTGGAACTCAACTTCGGTCGTCGTTATGGTCTGCTCGGTGAGAACGGATGTGGAAAGTCCACGCTGCTCAAATCTATCGCCACTCGCGAGTACCCCATCCCCGAACACATCGATATCTACCTTCTGAATGAGGGTGCTCCTCCCAGCGACCTCGGTGCACTTGAATGGGTCGTTACCGAGGCGCAGAACCAACTGGACCGCATGGAGAAGCAGGCTGAGGAGATTCTGGAAAAGGATGGTCCTGAGAGCCCCATCCTGGAAGATCTGTACGACGTAAGTTCTTTTGACTTTTCCCTATATAGCAATATCGTGTACTAACATGGACCAGCGCATGGACAAAATGGATCCTTCCACCTTCCACACTCGTGCCTCCCTGATTCTGACCGGTCTCGGTTTCAACAAGCAAACCATCCACAAGAAGACCAAGGACATGTCCGGTGGTTGGCGTATGCGTGTGGCCCTTGCCAAGGCCCTGTTCGTTAAGCCTTCTCTTCTGTTGCTGGACGACCCCACCGCTCACTTGGATCTTGAGGCCTGTGTGTGGCTGGAAGAGTACTTGAAGAAGTGGGAGCGCACTCTGGTGCTTGTTTCTCACTCCCAGGATTTCTTGAACGGTGTCTGCACCACCATGATCGACATGCGCATGAAGCAGCTCCTCTACTACGGTGGTAACTACGATTCGTACCACAAGACTCGCAGCGAACAGGAGACCAACCAGATGAAGGCCTACAACAAGCAGCAGGAGGAAATCGCCCACATCAAGAAGTTCATTGCTTCCGCCGGTACCTATGCCAACTTGGTCAGACAGGCCAAGTCTCGTCAGAAGATCCTGGACAAGATGGAGGCTGAAGGCTTCATTCAACCCGTTATCCCCGACAGAGTCTTCTCCTTCCGTTTCGCTGAGGTCGAGAAGCTTCCTCCTCCCGTCCTGTCCTTCGATGATGTTTCGTTCTCTTACTCTGGCAACTGGGACGACACACTGTACGAGCACCTTGACCTTGGTGTTGACATGGACTCGCGAACTGCGCTGGTCGGCCCCAATGGTGTCGGCAAGTCTACCCTCCTCCGTCTCATGACCGGAAAGCTCCAGCCCATTGCCGGTCGTGTCAGCCGTCACACTCACTTGAAGCTCGGCATGTACAGCCAGCACTCTGCCGAACAGCTGGACTTGACCAAGTCCGCACTGGACTTCGTTCGCGACAAATTCCCCGAGAAGAGTCAGGACTACCAGTACTGGCGTCAGCAGCTCGGTCGCTATGGTCTGAGCGGTGAATCCCAGACTGCCCTCATGGGTACTTTGTCCGAAGGTCAGAAGAGTCGTATCGTCTTCGCTCTGCTGGCCATCGAGAGCCCCAACATGATTCTTCTCGACGAGCCTACCAACGGTCTCGATATCCCCACCATCGACAGTTTGGCAGATGCCATCAACGCCTTCAGCGGTGGTGTCGTCGTCGTGTCCCACGACTTCCGTCTCCTCGACAAGATCGCCAAGGACATCATGGTGTGCGAGAACAAGACCATCCGCCGCTGGGACGGCAGTATCGGCGAGTACAAGGACCACCTGCGCAGGAAGATGGTCTCCGAGGGTGCTGTCTAAAGCGCATTTCCCGCGTCTCTGCATTTTTGTTACGAATTGGAACGTTGACGTTTAGAGATGACACATAAAAAGTGCGGCAGGGAAGGAAAAAAAAAGTTTTTTTTCTTCCAGGAGTGATGATGTATCCTGGAGCCAGTGATATAGTGGCTGACTTGCGTCTTTTTTCTTTACATATTTTTTGTTGGAGGTATTCCTCTGCTCTTTTTCTTTTTTCCTCTCTCATTGTTTGGGTGCGCCTTTTAGATGGTCCGTTTTCATACCTCTCATCCTCCTACTAGAGCTGAGCTGAGCCGAGCCGAGCGTGATGGCTGAATTCCATGTTCCTTTACTCTTTCATGAGCATCCCCATGATACCTGTTATAGACACTTCATATAGTCTTGTTGAATTCTGTCCGTCTCTGTAAGTCTGGCCGATGAATGACTATAATACATATCCATTGCACGTGAGCCACCTGATAGTCTTGATTCTATGCATGTCCTGATGTAGTGTACAGAGTAAGGGTTACTGGACTAGTTCCAACTTCTCTCGTAGATTAGATCATTGACAATAAAGTACATTGGCTAATGAAGTTGCGGTTGACCGACTACCGAAATCTATTCGAAGAAAAGAGGTATATATCAGTTTCCGACCACATTAGCTCTACGACGGATGCTGCTGCTCGCCAACTTGCCCCTCCTTGACCCGTTGCGCCACCAGCTCCCCGCCAAAGATATCCCTCGCCTCCCGATCCCTCTGCGCCCGCTCCAGCTTCCGCTTCTTCGCCTGCCGCTCGACCTCGCTTTCCGAGGTGGCGCCTTCGCCTGCCAAAGCGGCGGCAGCAGCCGCAGCAGGGATCCGCTTCTGTCCGGCAAGGGAGATCTTCTCCGGGTTCTGACAGTAGTAGAACTTCTTCCCGATGCGTTTGAGGTTCTTCATTTGCTCTGGGTCGGAGTTGAGGGGCTTGTATGATTGCAGGAGGGCAGCGCACTGGTTGAGTGTGCGGAGGAGTTTCACGCGCAGCTCGTAGAGCGGGTTCCCCGCTTGTGCGTTGGAGCTCTCAGCGGCTGGCCCGCCGAGTTTCGTGTCGAGGTAGTATTCGGCCAAGGGGCGATCGGCGAGCATGAAGGCCGCCAGCCAGATTTGCGAGGGTGTGTAGAGGAAGTAGGCGTCGGTCATTTGGGCGGCGGTTTTGAGGAGTTCGCGGGTTGTGGTGTGTGCGCGGGCGATCCGGTCGGTGATCGAGGAGGACTGTGGAGCGTTTGGTGCGGCGGGGATGGCGAGGAGTCCGCGGCGTAGGTCTTCTGATGTCTGGTGAGGGAGGTGAGGTGCAGGCTGGCCCATGCCTTCGGCCATGGCTTGGAGTTCCATGACGCCGCCTTCGAGGCCGCGGAAGGGGTGCCGGACGTCGAAGGTGAAGCGGAGGCTTTGCATGATGAGGAATTCTGGCGCGATGATGTCTTCTGCTGTTGTGTCGCCTGGGACCTTTTCGGCGAACTGGCGCAGGGACATGTAGAAATTGTCCGTCTTGGTAGCAAGGAAGAGAGCGCAGGGCATGATTGTCTTGGGAGAGTAGGTCATTGGCGAGTTGCTGAGGTAGAATCGACGGATGTACTGAATCGCAGTGGCCTGTTAGAGAGACGTGCGACGTTAGTTAATTATCATTCGACGGTTATGCGCCCTCAACATCAGACGAGATACGCACCCGCACTGTCGTCGGCAAGGGTGGCTTATATGTGTCCGCCAGCTCCACGGCCTTTTCACAATAAAACCTCACTAACTCCTTCTCTTCTTCTGGTGTCAAACAGTCAATGTCCTTCTCGTCAGCTCCCTTGCCATCTGCAGTAGCCCCTGCTGTAGGAGTCCCTGCAGCCGACGAGTTGGCTGACTGTCGCGCCTCCCGTGCTCTCCGCAGCGCCGCTCGGACTCGTTGACTAGCGACGGCATTTGTGTTCTCCCTTAAGGACCGTAAGGAGGCCTCTGTGAAAGACCAAAATTTATACTGTGATGAGGTCCGATAGATATCGTCCTCGAACATCCTGCTTTTGATGGAGCTCGACCGTTAGGCCCCGCGGACGTGGGCGATTGGAGAAGCAAGAAGAAGAAAGAACGATATAGCTGCAATAATAAGGGGGTATATTTCTTTATCCAAGGTTAATAGATTTCCATCAGTGCATCAACAAGAGAGCAAGCTGTGTTAAAACAGGAAGAGTCGGAGACAATCAAGCTAGGCGGAGTTCAAGAAAGAATGGAGATCCACCGCTTATCGTTATCAGCTTGTTGCCGGCCAATTCTAGCTAAAACTAAATTTACGACGACATTCTACAACGCTGAAGCGTATTTCAGAAGCTCAATATCAAGTTTAAAGTAAGAGACAGGAGATGGAAAGGAAGCATAAAGTAGACAGCCATAAGAGCCGGAAACAAGCAAAGAATAGTTCATGAAGACATGCCATAAGGCGTTGCTCCTCCCAACCATAAACAATGTCCATAGAAATAAGGTAGAATCTCTTGAAAACGGAGCATTCGCCAGGCACCATGCATTCGATCAGTTTCATTCGCTATTGTTGCCCAAAAATAGCCCAAAGAGTCATCACGCCGTCACTTACGGCTCACCCAGGAGCCGTGCGGTAATATCACCCATATAAGCTTCATCCAATTCATAGTCCTCACCATTCATTCGATCAATGCCGTAAAATTTGAACGCCGCGACCACTCGATCCACATCGAAGCCCATGCTGCAGAATCGATCGATCAGGTCTTTGTTATATCCGTCGTACCTATTGACATGTATGAGATGCGATTCTCTAGAGGTAATGAAACATGGCCCCTGGCTGGTTACGTACTTGGAAAGATCTTCCCTTTCTTGCTCCGCCTTGGACCTAAGTTCCTCCTGGCGAAGAGTTTCGTCTGTAGCTCCTCCACTACCCTCCCCAGCGTGTTTTCGGGGAGCCCCAGCGTGGATGACGGCCCATTCCCGGGCGACACGCTCGAACTCTTTCGGTCTTCGCAGTAGCATGGTGGCTACCTCTGCATCCTGCGGATCTTTGGGCTCAGGAGTGCTGAGTAAGGATTGCAGAGATAAAAGCGCGGATTTGATGGTCAGCACCGGCGACCATGCCGATGACAGCGTATCGAGGCAGATCGCGCCCTAAAGGAACATTAGAAATGGTCTCCTGACCAGACAGAGGGTTCGAGACGCTGACGATACTCACCGTTTGGCTGCTCACATTGGGGTGCCAGACCCTGGTCACAAACTTCATGACAGGGGGCCGAAATGGATAATCGTTGGGTATCTTGATATCAACTTCATAAGTACCACCTTCATACGGTGTACCCGGGGGCCCCGGAAACGTGCCACGTAGATGTGTTACATCGTCATCTTCCACCGGTTCGGCAGTAATTTGGGAATGAGTATCTGCCCGAATATCCGCGATCTCCTTTGCGATACGCCGCGTTCGATTAGAAGCCATAAGTGGAATGATCGACCGAGTCACAGACACGTAAGCGATGAACCACGCTTAGGAGTAGATGATGTGGTCAAGTGAACCGAATTTGATCCGAAGGATAGTGTCCGGAGTCGCTAACTATGGAACAGCTTTGGTCCTTATCAGCAAGAGCGATCAGTTATCTTCTTAATCAATCCGAAGCGTGATGGCGAGCGGGGAGAAGGTGGGACGGAACGAGCCAGAAAAAAAAGTAAACATGCTTGTTGGTATTGGTAGATGAAGGCATATTGAGCCTCGCTATCTTTCGAGGACTGGAGCTCGAGGAGTGATTGATGAGGGGACGACGAGGCAGATGAGGAGTACTTTGGATACTCACAGGATAGCTCAACAGAGCAGATATATGAACGTGTTTTGCAGCAAGACGATTTAAAGCTGAAGCTCTAAAGCTGAAGATTCGAAAATGCGAAAGGGCTTAGACTATATTGTGCTGTGTGTAAGGCAGAAAGCTACCTACCTTAAGCTACCTGACTACAGAGTGTTCTAGATACCAGGCAGTCTACCTTAAGAGGCTATATTTACTTGCCCGCAGCCGCCCTGGTGACGCTTGAATTCCACTATCATTCGCCAGTAAAATGCATCAGGCCGCAAGGCTGTCAACCGTGGATCTTCTTACCCAGATTGGTGAGGTAGCAGTACGCTACGTAACGTAGATGCCTCAGGCGATAAATAAAGCGACTAGTCACGTGCCGCGCATGTTGGCCGCCAAGGCCGGGCCAGATGGCGACAACAGCTTACCTTGAGAGCTCTCCGTCCGTCTCTCCAGCGGAAGCTGCACTCACTCAATTCTTCACGCCTTCATCCACCCTTCTATATCAACCACCCCCTCAACGACTCCTGCTGGTATCAAGGTTGTCGTCATCAGGGACTAATTCTGGTACCGCTTTTTAACTCTTAACTGCACAGTTCTCTGGGAACATGGTATGTATATCAGAGCGCTTTCGTCATTAGTGCCTTTGTTATCTTGTCCCGTTCGAGCCAGGCTAACGTGTCTTGAAAACAGGGTAACCAGCAGTCAAACATCGGTGGAGGCCCTGGCGGAGATGGGAGAGATGACAAGGATAAGAAGGTGAGTCGATGTCTTCGACATGTTTTCTGATACCGCAAGTTCACCAGCTGACAAAGCCTACGTCTGCAGAAGGAGAAGCCCAAGTACGAACCACCACCACCACCTACCACCAGGGTTGGGCGGAAGAAGCGCAAGGCTGCCGGCCCTAGCACTGCCTCAAAACTTCCCGACATTTTTCCTACGTCACGATGTAAACTACGATATCTTCGAATGCAACGAGTACATGACCACCTGTTGCTCGAAGAGGAATATGTGGAGAATATGGAGCGTTTGCGCAAGGCAAAAGCTCAGGCAACTCTGGACTCTGTGAGCCGTGGTGACCTCGATATCATGGACAGGAACGCCGACGAAAGGAGCCGGGTGGATGACATGAGAGGGAGCCCCATGGGAGTCGGCAACCTGGAGGAGCTGATTGACGATGACCATGCGATTGTCTCGAGTGCTACCGGCCCCGAGTACTACGTTTCTATCATGTCCTTTGTCGACAAGGATCTGCTGGAGCCCGGTGCCAGCATCCTTCTGCATCACAAGTCTGTATCTGTCGTCGGTGTGCTGACGGAAGAGTCCGATCCTCTGGTCTCAGTCATGAAACTCGACAAGGCACCAACCGAGTCGTATGCAGATATTGGTGGTCTCGAGTCGCAGATTCAAGAAGTCCGAGAGTCTGTCGAGTTGCCCTTGCTCCACCCGGAACTGTATGAGGAGATGGGTATCAAGCCGCCAAAGGGTGTCATTCTCTACGGTGCTCCTGGTACCGGTAAGACCTTGCTTGCCAAGGCTGTTGCAAACCAGACCAGCGCAACTTTCCTTCGAATTGTCGGAAGTGAGCTGATCCAGAAGTACCTGGGTGATGGTCCTCGGTTGGTGCGACAGATTTTCCAGGTTGCTGCCGAGCATGCGCCCTCGATTGTCTTCATCGATGAAATTGATGCCATCGGTACCAAGCGTTACGACTCTACATCTGGCGGTGAACGAGAAATCCAGCGTACTATGTTGGAGCTTCTTAACCAACTGGATGGTTTCGACGACCGTGGTGATGTAAAGGTTATTATGGCAACAAACAAGATTGAGACTCTGGATCCTGCCTTGATTCGTCCTGGTCGTATTGACCGAAAGATTCTCTTCGAAAACCCAGATCGTGAGTACCCCTGCTAAGTAGCTTGCTGTGGTTTACTGACTAACAATCCACAGAAAATACCAAGAAGAAGATCTTCACCCTGCACACGTCCAAGATGTCCCTCGGAGATGACGTCGACCTCGACGAATTCATCAACCAGAAAGACGATCTCTCTGGTGCTGATATCCGAGCTATTTGTACAGAGGCCGGTCTGATGGCGCTGAGAGAGCGCCGTATGAGGGTGCAAATGGATGATTTCCGTGCCGCTAGGGAACGGATCATGAAGACTAAGCAGGATGGCGGTCCTGTGGAGGGCTTGTACTTGTAGGGCGGGAATATGGTCAATAGGTGCCTTGTTTCTACGTAGATTGAGCAAGATGGCTATTCTTTAAGAGCCTTTCAATGATGTATTCTACTAGTGAACCGAGCTACCAATCCTCTATAGTGAAGTGGACCTGTACTCTTCGTAGTTGTGGAGACTGATAAGCCGATACAGTTATCATAGTGTACGCTTTAGATGCAAACGCCGCAAACATTGCAAAAGTGGCAAACGGAAGCAGTTGCAACATTATTGGCATCAAGAAAGTTCATTTTCCGATTAGCTTCGAACAAGCACTTTGCAAGATCTCTCGATCACAATGGACGGGTTCGATGAAGAAGCATTCAAGAAATTTTTCCCGAGTAGCTTCGGGAAACAAGAAAAGCAGCTTGATGTGAATGCCCAGATCGACCGCACCAAGCGGTCGAAAGTTTCGGCCGAACCAGATGGCGATAGAAAGGAAGATACTGACACCAAACGGGCAGTCGAAGACGCTGAAGCCGAAAATGAGACAAAAGGACACGATCGAAAAGCCGGTTCGGAAGATGAGTCCGACGACGATGATGACTCTGACGAGGAGGAGGAGGACGAGTTCCCAGTCTCTCACGAGCTTCTTATCAAAACACATGAGCGCGCAGTGACGACCATGACGGTGGATCCGGCAGGAGCGCGATTGATTACCGGCTCGACTGACTGCACACTCAAGCTCCATGACTTTGCCTCTATGACACCGTCTACTGTACGCGCATTCAAGTCCGTCGACCCGTCTGCTAAGAAACAATCTGCCGCCCAAGAAACACACCCGGTGCACTATGTCGCATTCAATCCTCTGTCCCCCGGACATGTCATGGTTGTTTCGGCAACGCCGCAACCCCGGATTCTCGACCGCGACGGCGATACTCTGACCGAATTCGTGAAGGGGGACATGTACCTGAGAGATCTTCATAATACCAAAGGCCATGTAGCGGAAGTGACTAGTGGCGCCTGGTCTCCGACCGATTACAACTTGTGTGTCACCGCAGGAACGGATAGCACAGTTCGCATCTGGGACGCAAACGTCGGGCGATCGCAAAAGGAAGTCATTGTACACAAGTCTAGGGTGGCTGGGTCCGCTGGTCGGAGCAAGATGACTGCCGTCGCATGGGGCTCCCCCAAACAGGGCGGTCCTAGTATTCTCGTCGCTGCTGCCCTCGATGGAAGCTTGCTGATGTGGGGCGGGAATGGACCGTTTACTCGGCCTAGTGGGGAGATTAGAGATGCCCATACTCGTGATACATGGACGAGTGGACTGGACATCAGCTCCGATGGAAGACTAGTCATCAGCAAAGGAGGGGACGATACCATCAAGCTCTGGGACACTCGAAAATTTAAACAGCCAATCACCACCGTCTCGCACCCATCGATTTCAGCTCGTTATCCGTCTTCCAACATTGTCTTCTCACCTACGTCGGCCAACGTCATTACAGGCTCGGAGACTGGTCATCTACACATCCTGAACCCAGCTACCCTGAAACCTGAGCTTGTTACACCAGTCACACCTGGGTCACCCCTCGTCACTGTTCTCTGGCATGAAAAGCTCAATCAGATCATTACTGGTTCCGCCAACGGCGAGACACACGTTCTCTACAATCCCAATATGTCGACCAAGGGAGCTGCCCTGGTCATGTCCAGGGCACCTAAACGTCGCCATATCGACGATGATCCGTCGCTTACCATGGACCTGTCTGCTGGTATCTCGGGCGACTCCGTTGTGGTCGGATCGAACGGAGTCCCTCACTACAGCTCGGCTACCTGGTCTGCCCGCCATCCAACCATCGGGCTCACGGCTTCGGGTCGTTCCAGGGACCCGCGACGACCACATTTGCCGGCAACTACTCCTTTTGCAAAATCGCAGCCGGATGAACGGCATATCCGCGAAAATATTCCTCTTAGTTCCATGCGAGACGAAGACCCTCGCGAGGCGCTCCTGAAGTACGCCGACAAAGCCGAGAAGGACCCGATTTTCACCAAGGCATGGAAAGAAACGCAGCCAGTACCGATATTCAGAGAGCTCAGCGATGACGAGGAAGAGCAAGAACCCGATAAGAAGAAGGCCAAGCGGTGAAAGGATCGCCCTAAAAGAACCTTTTTACGTTCCTGATTCCCTGGCATTTTCCGCTCTCCTGCGGCTTGGGTAGGCGTCTTTTCAAACGCTAATGTATATATATATGCAAGATGGACGGCGTTGTGGGGAAGCATGAATTGTCTGTTTAGTGTAATTAAATCCAAAACTATCATCGATGGTCTAGCATCAATAATCAGAGATACCCTCATCTGTATGCATCCATCAGGATTTTTATGCATACTAGACTCAAGTAGCAGCAGAGAGAGTTGTCAGCCGGTGGGAGATCTGGTGCTCGATGACGTTGGACAGTGAGGGGTGTCCACCGATGGCCTTCCAGGCTGTTGTGGAGGTCAGACCAGTAATAATGATCCTCTAGGCGGAAAATGGCACTTCAATAGTCGCTTTCTCTCTCTACCTTACTCAAAAAGGCTATAAGCTCGCACCGACCTGTCTGCCTTAGCCTTGTCACTACTCACGATGCTGCGCTTGAGTCTGTTCTCATCCGCTGCCTTCTTGATTAGATCGTCCGAGCGATCGTTCGTATTCTCGCAATTCTAAATCCACGCCCAGTCAATCCTCCGACCATCCCGGTCATTCTACGGTTGCTCTTGAACGACAGCAAGACCACCCCTTTCTGTCCGTTGCTGGCCGACATCGTTCCTCTTTTATTTTTGCCAGAGGTATTGTTTCATCTTGGGAAGTGCAGATATAAAGCATTGGAGCTTAGGAAATTCAGGAAACAGAATGCGCCATTTTTTACCAGCATGAGCGATTGTTTACAGTTGAACTCGAGCATCACTTCATCAGATCGGTTTCTTTCAGCGCCTTGAGTACACTCATCGGGTACTCA